TTGACTTTAATTCATTATATCCTTCATCATTTTCATCTAATCCTCATGATTTCATTCAATATACTGACCATAAAATGTATATGCCGGGAAGATTGAATGGAGTTATCATTTGTGATACAGCAACAAAGAAAGCAAAAGCACTGGGAATTATTAAGAAGAAAAATATTTTATTCGTGGCTGAAGTAAAGGGTCACATTGATGAAAAATATATTAATGATTACATAAACTTTTTACCGATAATAAGAAACTTAGATATTATCACAGATGAAAAAACAATTGGTAGTTTTATGTATAATTACATGAAATCAAACAATCTACCAGTTGACCAGAAACAGAGAAAATTAACTCAGTTAGCATCAACACACAACCAATATCAACCATTTTCTTCTTATTATCTTTGGTATCTAATCGACAGATTTCATTTTATCATCGATGATATTCAATCAATTTTAACATTTACTAAAAACACTTGTTTTAATGAATTTGCGAACGAATTTATGAACGAAAGACAAAAGGCTGAATTAGAAGGAAATAAAGGAAAAAGTTTATTTTGCAAAATTTCACTTAATGGATCATATGGTTACGATGCAATGAATACACAAAATTACGCAAAGACTAAAATAATGAATGCACAGAAGGCACGCGTTGCATGTATGTCAAATAAGTTTAAAAACATAAGAGAAATAGGAGAGGATACGTATCAAGTGATGCTCAAAGATAGATTTTATAGATGTGATACATGTTTACAAGAGGCATTTTTTACTTTAGATAACGCAAAATACTGGTATTTGGTTTTCATTTATGATTTTATGTATAAATGCATGGATGTTAATCGTTTTCATTTCATTGAAGGTGATACTGATTCATCATATTGGGCAATCGCTGGCGACCCAAATCTTCCTAACACTCAAGCATTTCAAGCAATTGTAACCGATAAAAAATTTTATGATAAAAACATTTTCAAATTCGCACCTTTTGATTTCTTCTGTTTTAATGAGAAATTTAAACCTAAATTAAAGAATAAAGCTGAAGAAAAAGCACATGAGAAGAAGTTATTGGGTTTAGCAATTGAGAAACAAGGTGATAACATGGTTGCTTTATGTCCTAAGTGTTATACTTCATTCAACGGTTCAATTGATGGAAGTGATTTTAAAAAGATTGCACAAAAAATGAAAGGAGTTAGTTTACGACAAAATAAACAATTAACACCTAAAAATTATTTGGATATAATAAATGATAAAGTTATTTTCGATGGTCAGAATATTAATTTACAACTTAAAAACGGGTCAATGACTCGCTTAACAATCGGTAAGACTGCATTAACAGGAGCACACACTAAGGCTGTATGTTGTGAAAATGGATGTTGTATGCCATTTATTTAATAAAATGCCACAGAAGAGACAAAAGGAACCGTAAATAATGGTTTTGATACTATGATTCAAAGAGGTGGGCGCCCTTAAAACATTTATTTTATTTTTATATAAATGAATAGCGTAGATTTAAAAATTTTGATTGATGATTTAGTACTTAATCAAGAAAATTTTGATTATTACGATTTAAAAGCATATCTCCAAAAACATGATAACAATATAACGGGTGATGATATGGATTATTATTATTCGTATTATAAAAATGAAGTTTTGAAATATCATGATAAAATAATTTCTAAAATTAAAGACAAAATTAAAAATAATGAATATTCAAAGGGAAAAATTAAATCACAACTTAAACGGTTGAAAGATTTCAAAAATAAAGTATTAACAGAAGAAGATATTGATGAATTATATAATTTATATAAATTATATAATCCTGAGCCGCAAAAACAAAAGGAACAAAACGCCCAGGTCCTTCAGACCATAAATGAAGCACAAGCTTTAATTTATGATTCATTAGTTAAACCATATTCAGCCCGACTTTTAAATAAAGATCAACTTTTGGAATTCATCCTTCAACATAAACTCGAAGCGGGAAAGTATATCAAACCTTTATATACAGCATATTTAAAACAAATGAATAGAATACATCCAGAATTAATGAAAAAAGGAATGAAATCCAAAACTTCATCATCCAAAATCAAAGCAGATAAAATTAAACCACCTGCAATACCAAAACCTCCAACGACAGTACCTGCAATACCAAAACCTCCAACGACAGTACCTGCAATACCAAAACCTCCAACGACAGTACCTGCAATACCAAAACCGCCTCCTCCTTCAGTTAATCCTTCATCATTCACTTTATTATATCCATTTCAAACATTAAAGAAACAAAAAGATTTTAAAAAGGGTTTCAAGATATTAAATAAACCAATTGACCCGAAAATTCAACCATTAAAAGAAAAATTTAGTCGCCCTTCATTTGCACCATATCCATATTCATACGAAATCGATCATTTAGAATATTCAAGAGGAAAAGTTACTTATTTATTTGCCATTAACATTAACACTAGATATTTATATTGCATTCCGGTGAAAGGGAAAATAGAACAGGAAACAAGAAGAGCTATTCAATACTTACTAGATCATGAAAGAGTAGATAATATCAAGGGTGATGATGATAAAGGATTTCAGGCAGCTATGGCTCATTATTTCCACAAATTAATTTTTACTTTTCATCTCCTATATACGTTTTCATATAAAATAGTTGATGCGGTAATGAGAACTCTTAGAGATGCGTTAGGGGTTAACGGTCAATATACTGGATGGAAATCATGACTCCATCATACAGCAGTTAGTATATTATTACAATAATACATGGCATAGAACTATTAACATGAAACCAGTGGAAATGAAAAATGATATTTCAAAAGAATGGGAATATATTAGAAAGCAAATGGAAAGGTTGAATGATGTTAAACGTGAACAAATTAATTCGGGGCTCATGAATTTTAAACAAGGGGATAAAGTTTTGATTCATCTCGATTATGGAAAAACTAATAAATCAATGACAAAAAGAAGACGAAGATTTGACACAATAGCTGAATTTGTTAGATATATTAACGGCAATGCATTAGTTGAAGTTGACAATAAATTAATAGAAATTCCAATTTATTTTATTACTCCATTATATTTAAATAATATTTAATTTTTTTATTTCGTAAGAAAATGAGTAACAACGAAGCAGTCAAGAGTCCAGACGATGAATATAAAAAGAAACTAAACAGAATTAAATCAAAAATATGTTATTACAAAAAGAAGCCGCAATGTAGTGGGGTTGAAAACGATAAAGAGAGGAAAGAAATAATCGAAAAATTAGAAACTTATCGTTCAATCCTTAAACTGAGTGAAGCAAAAATAAAAGAATTTAATAGAATAAATAAATTGATTGGAAGAGATGAATTTAATAAAGATGAATTTTTAAACTCTATCCAAATTTAATTTTTATTCCTCTTCGACAACATCTCTCTTTCCATCATTACCGCATAACCACATTTTCTCAATTTTAGTGGTTTGTTATTTTTAACATGTTCTTGCATCATTTTTATCATTTCCTCCCTTGTTATGATTCGTGGTAAATTTTGAGCTTGTGGGGTATTCATTTATGATAAAAATAAAAATTTAAATTATGCCGTTCTAAAGTTTGAGACAACAGTCATTGTGTGACGAGACCTGAAGGTCTTGACATTTTGACAACAGTACAGGAGGAAGGTAGTTATGAATTATTTTTGCATTAATCCTGCTGTGTTGTCAAAATGTCAGTTGTCACCATTTTTAAAAGAAGTTAAATGACCTGGTAGCACATGGTAGCATGGTAGCACCTCCAGTTCTTCAATAATTAATTATTTTTGAATAACCCATGATGTTGTCAAAATGTCAGTTGTCACCATTTTTAAAAGAAGTTAAATGACCTGGTAGCACATGGTAGCATGGTAGCACCTCCAGTTCTTCAAAAATAAATTATTTTTGAATAACCCATGATGTTGTCAAAATGTCAGTTGTCACCATTTTTAAAAGAAGTTAAATGACCTGGTAGCACATGGTAGCATGGTAGCACCTCCAGTTCTTCAAAAATAAATAATTATTGAATGACTGGGAAATAAATTTACGTCAAATATGCAATTTATAAAATCTTATGTCGACAGGCTACGTAGCACAGTGGTCTAAGGTGGTGTTATGGAGGGGTCAGAGTCTGTGATTCGAACCGCGACAGCGCCGTATTTTCTTATTTTCTTTGTTTGTCTTGTTTGTCGTGAATAAAAAGTGTCATAAAAGTGCTCTATCTTCCACGGGAATAAATAAAAAATTTACTTTATTTCTTCTTTATTTCTTCTTTATTTCTTTGTTCCCGTGGAAGAAGGGTTTTACTGTTTTTTCTCAGCCGAAATCAATGATTTTTTCATTTTTGGAATCCTTAGCGAATGAGGAATCTTTTCTCTCGTGGAAGCTTTGACCAAAAATATAATTTAGGTGAAGAGGTGAGATGTCACCCGTTTTTTCACCTGTTTTCTCACCCTAGTTATTTTATAAACGTTTCACATGGTAAACGTTATTTTTTTTAAATTTTGTGAAAACTCAACGGTTTGACACAAGCCCTAAAAATTATTTTACTCAGAATTTTGTTGCTGAATTCAATAAAAATAATGTTTAGGTGAAGTGGTGAAATCTCACCTCTTTTTTCACCTCTTTTTTCACCTCTTTTTTCACCCCAGTTTTTTCACAAGCGTTTTACATGAATTGTACGATGTATATTTGAAATCCTAAACAATTTCGTAGCTTCTATTTCTTCTGTCAGTATGTCAAAAGTTTTAACAATACCGAAAGTCTCTTTATACTTCTTCTTGACATCAGATAGAAGGAAATCTTCTGCTGTTGGATAATTTTTATTAAGAAATTCTAACATGTTCATTTTATCTTCTGCTGGCTTTTCTGCTTCTTTCTTTAAGTCTGCATAGTCGTTTCGCATTCTTTCTATCTCTTTGACTGAGTAGTTATATTTCCTAATTGCTGCCTTACATTTTGAACATTGCGGGTTCATTTTTGCGTTATATTCTGAAACCTTACCTGCTAGAACAACTAAGGTGTCAATTGCTCTCTTCATCTCAAACATAGCGGGTCTTATCTGTTCATTCCATACCTTACCTCTTCTATCTTTATCTCTTATCTGCCATACACATTCTGCAACTAATGAAACAAAGTTATCGTAAGTCTTAAACTCCTCAGATTTATATATGTCAGAAATGTTTTTATATACCATGTCGCAATCTTTGTCCATAACTTTATGGTTGCAATGAAAACCAAGGAATTCATAATTTACTTTACGAATGAACTTCTTTATTTCTACTGAGTCAGTTGTTTTGACTTCAATTTCGTCGAATTCAGGAATAGTTAGTTTTTGCTGTTGGATTTCAGGCAATTTGGGTAAATGGTCAATAATGTCCTGCATTTCATAAAGATACTGTTCATTTGTTTCATCTTTCGCACTACAGTCTAAAGTACTTGTTAAAAGTTCTTGCTTTATCTTCTGGATTTTTGTTTCGAAAGTATATGAAGAAGGAATGAAGTTTTTCATCTCTACTAACATTGACGTAGGATTCATGACTAACGAGTTTGGTGCTGTTGTTGTGGACAGAGTCCCGCCGTTCGCGGCTTGAATTGTTGTTGTGCCGATTGTTGAAATCATATCTTTTATACAAAATAAAAAATAAATAAAAATAAAATTAGCGTTATTTTTGGTCTTTTGTGAAAATTCATGAAAATTCAAGAGGTGAAAAAAGAGGTGAAAAAACAGGTGACATCTCACCTCTTCACCTAAAATATATTTTTTGGTGAATTCAATAAAAATAAGCCGCTAAGCGGCAAGGGCAAAGCCCATGAGTTCATTTACTCACAATATTTTTGTACAAAACAACCCCAAACTTTTAACTTCTTTTCTGCAGCTTCAAATGCTATCTTAGCGAGTTCATATTCTCTAAATTCTCTCTTTAAATCTTCTTGTTCCCATTGGTCTAGTTCGTATGGAGAATCTCTATAACCATAACATATCTCACGTTCATGTTCTAATTGTTTTTCACACATTTTTCCAACTTCTTGTTCGAACAAAGGTTTTGCATTCTCCACTGTATCTTCGAGTTCTTCTTCATCTAACTTCTCATGAACTTTCTTGTCTATGGAGTCCATAATATCTTTGACATAAAATGCATACTTTACAGAGCACCATTCAGCAACAAAATGAACGAGGTCAGGATGTATGTAAATACCTTTGAATTCATTCATAACACCCTTAGTAAGCTCATAAAATGCTTGTTTTGAGGTCGAGCCACTTTTGGCTCCACCGTATTCGTTCATCCAAAACTCAAGAATTTCCTGCATTTTAGCACTATTGAGAAATCTGTTTAAATGGTTTAACTTTCCTGCTTCTCTCGCCATCTTTGTTGCATTAATGTAACCATCCTTGTCTCTACGTAAGACTTCAATACCGTTATAAGTGCCTTTTGTGAATGTTTCGCCATTAGATTTGTTCGTGAATGTTTTTGCTTCGACTGACATTTCTGTTCTTACATACAAAATAAAAAAAATAAATAAAATTTTGTTATCAGTTATTTTATCATCATTTTATTAAGTTCATCTTTAGTTAATAATTTGAATGGATTCGCTAATGTTCCACCTTGAGTCACAACACCTGCCCCGGCTAATTGTGAAGAACCTGGGATAAGTACTCCATGAAATGATTTCATTGGTATCATTAATTTAGAAATAGTTGGCTTAATTAATTTTGTCATTTATGATAAAAATAAAATTGCATAATTTAAATTTTTTTTCTCATTTTCTCATTTTCTCATTTTTCATTCTGTTTTGGTTTCAGCAACTTTTCAAGTTGTTGTCTTGTCAGTAACTTTAATTTTAACTTTGGATCAAATATTGGGTTTCCATCTTTATCTCTTCCAATAACACCATATGGTAGAATCTTCATTTATACTAAAATAAAAATTTAAATTATGCTGTTTGCTCTTTTGGAGCTCCTAAAGTTTGTTTCACAAACATTGAGCGTTCATTGAACTCTATACCATGCGAATACAGTCATGTAAGGTGGCATGTATTCTTTACTTTGTCCCGTTGTTTGTGTATATCCTGAAACGTGATGTGTATGGTTTCCTCCTCCCTCAGTGTCACTCCAGTAACAATTTATAGCAAACTTAACGTCATCTTTAACATCATATCCTTTACCTTTTGTCATTCCTGACCAATCCCAATATCTATGCTTATGCCAACCCGCTTGAGATGTGCTTAAATCTATGTAGTGACTGTGTGCAGGTAAATTTTCACCTGTAATCGTTTTACTTCCACCTGTTTCCTTTGAAGAGTTTGCACAATACAAAAACCTGTCGACTATTTGTTCCCATGCACCAACACCAAACATTGCTTGAGGACCTCTCACATCCATAGATGTATAAATAGAACCTACTGGGTTCATTAAATCAAACATATGAGATATTATAGGATTGTCTCTTTTGAACTTAAAATATAGTGTAACTATTTCGGGTTTCTTCTGATTTAATATTAATTAAAAAATATATTTCATCACTTATATTCTAATTTTTATTTAATCATAAATGAAACCGATTTTAAAAATAAATGAAACAGAGGAGGAAGAAATAAATGAAAGTGAAAATGTTCAACAAAAAAAAGTTGTTAAACCAATTACTGAAATAAAAATTTTTTCATCTGTTGAAGAATTTAATGACTATTATGCCAATAATAAAAAATTATTTGAAGAATTGACAACGTGTAAATTGAATAAAATGTTTAAAGTTGAGGACAGAGTCCAAGACCCAGAGGGTCATGGATTCAAAATTTCAAAAATAAAAGGAGTGGTTAGTTTGAAATCTATTCCTCAATCAAGAATCACCTCATTAATGAAAATAGATGATTTAACAAAAAGAATAGAAGAGATTGAAGAAAGAATAAATCAAATAATCAATTTCATAAATTCAAATAATCATTAGTTTCTAATTTCTTTTACTCGTTTATGAGGTCTTTGATTATGACTTCATTGATTCCATTCAGGATTTAAACAATGTTTAATTAATCGTGGAATATCTGACATCATCTATATATAGCTTCTTTTATAAAAGATAAAATAAATTATTTTAAAATTAATGTTAATTTTTTTAATGATTTATAAATAAATATATTTTAATGCATCGTCTATATATAGATGTAACAAAAAAAGTCACTAAACCCTTTCACATATACTACTTATCTTTAAAAAATCAATTTCATGTTTAAATTTTACCATATTTCTCTTTTAAAGTCATTTTGTATACTAAATCTGTTTAGTTTATAATCATGTATTCTTTTGTGCTTGATTTTTCGTAGAGGACAAACTTCTGCATAAAAATCATTCATTACATAGTAAGAACATTTAATAGTAGATGCATTTAATTTATATGGTACTATAGATAATATGATTAAAGTAATGGGCGCTAAAACTTTATCTGTTCCAGTAAAATTTGCGAAAATTCTTCTCCATCTTCAACTAAAATTTTGTAAAAATTTGATGTTTGAAGACAATTCGGATCCTGAAGATTATGGCAGCAAGTCATTCGGTAAAACGCAGCCATATGAAACAACTTTTGCTCAACGTTATAAAATCAATGCTTCAGGCATTACAAACGATATAAATAATTGCGACCTTAAAAAATTCCAACCTGGAATTAATAAATTAACCAAGTATTTTGAAGAAAAAGGACCTCCTCTAATAGGTTATACTGGTGCTTTGCTTTTCGAACGTTTACAACTTTGTTTTGATAGCAATGATCCTCTTGTAGAAGAATATCACGCAAACGAAGAACTCCGAAAAGCTGCATTTCACCTTTTATGTTGGTTTGGATATGATAAATGCACTACATATCCAGCTGATCAGTTATCCAATCCAGAATACGTAGAACAAGCTTTTAACAACATTAAATCAACAAATATTGAACTCGTAAACGATGGTCTTGGACTTCTTACCGGAGTTATTCATAACATTGCTGTTTATAATTATTTTATTGAAAATAACGGTTTAGATATTATCTTCCAACTCGATAATCGTACTTTTATACCAATATTCCTACGAAAACTCTTCAAATTATGGAGTAATGACAAGAATAATTCAGAAAATGACTTTAGATCTTCAGTTTATCATAGAACAGTCCCCTTTATCTATCAATTTTTAGATTCACGATATTCGGTTGTTAAGAATCGTACGTTTAATGTCTTGCGTGTCCTTAAAAAACGAGGAATTGAAGTAGATCCGAACGAAATCATCAATAGATTGCCCAATTTACTACAAGACCCTTACAATGCTGTGATTGCCGCAGCTTTGACATACATTCGCAAAGTCCCTGAAGTTTCTCAAGAATTATTCAAACAATTAATAGAAGTTAGTAATAAAAATCAGAAAATAGGTATCGAAGTCTTTAAGTATCTCTATAAAAGAGTCGATACCTTGTCACAAGAGAACATTTCTTTGTTAGTTGAAGCTTTACTCGAAGCAGCTACAAATGGCCCAGCAAAACTCGGTGAATACGCTTTACCAATCCTTACAGAACTCACCACAGCTAATAATATTTGGGATGAAAGACTTATCGACGCTTATATGAAATTCCTTCAAGAACCAAGGACGATCAAAGTTTCTATTGAAGGGCTTTGTAAGTGCCTTGAAATTTCTGAGGGATCAGGGCATAATCAGGATGTTATTGATCGTTTATCTGAATATACTGATATCTTCTCAGAATTAATGCAAAATGATGATGAAGTTGTATCCCATTTTAGCTCACAGATATTAGAGAGGCTAGAACAATTATAGATTTTATATATTATTTTAATAGAGAATAAAAATCATGAAATTTTTCTTTCATTTTATAACTTTTTCGTATGTAATAGAAAATTAAAATCTTGGTAGATGTTTTTTTGTAGAAAAAAAATTTATTGTAGATCAAGAATTTAGTAAAATGAATAAGTGTCGTATTTACTGAACTTTCTCGCAGACACCACCAGCAGCCTTGATCTTCTTCTCAGCTTCCTCAGAGAAGTCCTTAGCGCGAACAACGAATGGGATCTTTGGAAGTTCACCACGAGCAAGAACTTTGAAGAAACCGTTCTGGACGCAGTCGATAACTGGGACAGCATCGCCCTTCTTGGCAGCAGCAGCCTTGACGCGAACTTCTTCTGGAACAAGTGTCCAAAGCTTATCAACGTTAATTGTTGGCTCATACTCGTCAGCACGGTTCTTCATGAGGTGGAGATGGCGCATACCAACCTTGCCGAAGTAACCTGGGTGGAAGCGGTCGAACCATGTTCTCTGATGGTGCTGACCACCAGCACGACCGTGGCCACCTGGCGAAACACGGTGCTTACCGACACGACCGAAACCCATAGAGACTTGACCACGGAGTTTTCTGCTCTTGTGGAAACGAGTTGGCATTAGAAAAAAGGATCGCCCAAACCGCACTCAATTTCTATCGTCTTCAAGACAAACTAAATTTTTTTACGGAAAAAGATTGCAAATTTAATGAAGCTTCAGTGCGTACATCATTGTTCGTAAGCAAAATTATCGTTTTTCAAGAAAAATTCGAAATGGTCAATCTAATTTTATTGGATATCTTGCCGTAATATGATATTCATTGAAAGCAAACAAAGTTTAGTTAACTCATTTACTTTTTAACCTGAAATTTGAACTTTTGAAAATATTCAATTTTACAAAAGCAGTCCCAAGATACTATAGCGATTAAATCTATTTACTAGATCATAAAAAGGTTTCAAATCCTAAAGAGATGATCATAGAAAAGGTTGATTTAGGAAAAATATTCAAAATTGAATTTAAAAGTAAAACCAGATTATGCAAATCTGTTTAGCTCAATGAATCAGAATTATTTGAAAAAAAATGAAGTTGATTCTAAGACCAACCTTGAAATAGTAGGTATTGTTTAGAAGACACGGAATTGTCTCTTGTCAGCACCGACAGCGGCTGGCTTAACGTGGATAACGTTGAAGTGGACTGTCTTGGAGAGTGGGCGGCACTCAGCGACTGTAACAAGATCACCTTCCTTGACGAGGAAAGCTGGGGAAATGTGAGCTGGGATCTTTGTGTGGCGCTTCTCGAAACGCTTGTACTTGCGGATCCACTGAAGGTAGTCGCGGCGGATGATGATTGTGCGGCGCATCTTTGTAGAAACGACGACACCACGGAGGACACGGCCACGGATGGAGACTGTGCCTGTGAATGGGCACTTGGCATCGATGTACTCACGCTCTTCAGCTGTCTTTGGTGTTTCGATCTTAAGACCGATGGACTTGACGTAGCGCTGCTTCTTCTCAGCGTTAGCATGCTTCTTGGAAGCAAGGAAAAGTTGTGGCTGCTTCTGGAAGGCACGCTCTGTCTGAACTGTGGACATCAAAAACGAAAGGCCATGACTTTCGTAAACTTCAGAATTTTTTTGTGAATCTTGAAAAAAGAAAAAGAAAAGTTTAGGGGCAGGCCGGAATCGAACCGACTACCCAGGGATCTGCAATCCCTTGCTCTACCGGTGAGCTACTACCCCTTTTACATATATTTAATGTAATAATTATCCGTAATACATAAAAAACCTAACAATAACTTTTTCATTAGAAAATCTCTATTAGATCTGAGGTTCAATCTTAATAAGTATCAAATTACTTGATATCACTTTAGATCGATAAAAATAATTCTTACTCACATCAAATTTGAATGAAATATCCACTCTATTCAAAAAATTATTTTAAAAATTCTATTTTCTTCAATTACCCAAAATAAGAAACAATATTTACTAATTCTATGCATTGTTACAGTTGCATTCAATCAGTAATCAAAACTATATACTCAACTACTTTCGTCATCATCAACAAGAGGTTGATTTGTTGATTTTTCGGAGTTTATATGGACCTTCTGTTGGTCTTCAGTGTTTGTTGTATCATTATCATTACCGTTATCTGAATTGCTATTTCCAGTATGTTGGATTGGGAAGAAATAGACAGTAGATGTACTCTTGATATTTGTGAGTTGGTTTTCTGTCTCATCGCCTGAAACTCTCTTCTTTGCCTTCATACTGACACAGATTAAAATTGCGACAGCGCCAACTACAAATATGAAGCCACCAAATGCTATACCAATAATAGCACCTGTGGAAATACCATCAGAATCATAATAATACTTAGAAGGATCAATAAATTCGACAAATAAAATTGAATCATTATCAATTATTCCAGAAACAGTTACTTGTTGTGGAAGTTCACTGTATGTAGATGATAGTTTTATATAGCCTTGATTCAACTGAGAATCGGAAGACCAATGTGCAAATGCAAAGGTTGAAGTAAATTCTTCTGTCTGTGAATAATTCATCTTTAAACTATTTGATCCAAGCTCGTCATTTGTATAATTAAGTTCGTCATCAGGATCTAATCCAGATGTTGTAATAGTAAAGGTTAATTTTTGAGGATTTACGTAAAGGAGACAAATTTCTTGGTTATCAGCCATTGTAATGTTTGCTTCTTCGCTAAAAGTTGATGTTGAACTCTTTATAATGTAAGGGGTTCCAGAACCGACATATGTAATCACATTCTTGCAATCAGAATATAAATCACCATACTGAAATATTGTAAAATAGCATGTTTTTGCTACATTATTTGGATTTGTAACAGTAAATGATCCATTGTATGTTGTGAAGTTAAGACCAATTGTATCATTACTTCCTAATATTGTATCTTGGGAAGCTTTGACTTGACCTGTAAAATCTTTTGGATTATGAAATATCAAAAACGTCTTCGGCTCAATATCAATGACTATAAATTCACCACTTGCAATGTTGGTGCTATGGGAGCCTGATGAATATACCTCTGATTTTGAGCAGATCAGAAAGATGGATAGGAGCATTGAATTAAATTGTAAACTAATCCAAAATCTTTATAAATGTAAAAAAATACCATATGGCGTATTGATATAATGTTTGACTATTATGTTGAACGAAGTAATATTATTTAATTTTCCTCAAAAACCATATTGAATTTTGATAAGAAAAATTTTTTGCCGAGATCGGCTCATATATTGGAATTATCTATATTTTTTCAAAGCTTACTTTCCGTTACATTTTCATTTAATGAGCCATGTATCATTCAAAAATATCTGAAATTTGAGAATAATACGTCAAAATTAAAAAACAACTCGATTTAGATTAATATCACGTCATAACTTAAATTCAGCTAAATTATAGTTAGGCAAAGTAAATTGTACAATGGGGAGAAGCTTCCTAAACTTTTTAATCCCATAAATATGGTCATTATCTGGAATAAAGAGTTAAGCGTCATATGTCACTTTTTGTACTCAGGAAACATCGACTTTATGCGTTATGACTTTTCGATGAGGAAACAAGTGTTCACGTATTATAAACTTCCTTATTCCAATAAACCGACCCTAAACATAATTAATTCTAAGCATGATAATGGTCTCTTTTCTATGATAACCAAATCAATTTGGTTATCATAGTAAAGCACCAAAAACTGGAATAGGAATCGGCAATATGGAATCATGAAGCAACTCCGATAAAATAAATATGGAACATTCATACATCCATTCCCTATTTTTAACCATATTATATTTTCAAACAAAATTCTCGTACTATTTTCAATAAAATTTGCATAACCTTGTTATTACTCTTAGGCGAAAGATGATTTTAATGTTAATTTTATAGAAGAACTTTTAATGCATAATAAAATAAACATTTCCTATAAATTTAGACTTAAAACGGTGACAATAAACAAGCTTTAGTCTAGAAATTAATTTTCTACTACTATAAATGCATCTTTATCTTTAATTAGAAAAAAATTTATCAATTTTATTATCCAGATGAAAAAAGAAGTGACATATGATATTTTATCTAATTTAAAATCTTTTATTGATTGTTTTTAAAAACTTTGCATTTTGTATGAGTATTTCATGTTTAAATCAGTATAAATACGCAAAATACTTATGAAATTCCAGCTGTTATTCAGTACTATTCATTTTTCAGCAATCATTAACTGTGGAAGAGTATGGCAAACGTTCGATAATGATCATGTATACTCAGATCATCAAGAATGAATTAAAGTCAATGCAGGGAAATGGATAATCCGATTAAAAACCCCAAAAAGGAAAAAGATATTATATGAACGTCTCACAAATGGTTAGTACTAAGCTCTTTCCTGATGATTGAATATTCTTTCATATTTTTGTATATTGTAAGGGATTTTCTCCCCAAATATATAATACCTTCCTTATAAACGATCTACTTTCTTTGAATACAAGTATAATTTTACATTTTAGGAAAAAAATTTATTTTTTCAAATTTATCTTATAACAATAGAGATTTATATATGTGTGTGTCAATATAGGCTTTAGTGGTATAAAATTGGGTAGATTTTGTTTTATTTTGAGTAAAAAATTCAAAAAATACTACCTCATTTTGCGTGCAAAGGAATAGTCAGAGCTATTTAATAACATTTTACGAATGAACTATGGAATTACTATAACTTTTGAAGAAATTTCAAAGTTAATAGAAGATTGTATTTTAGAAATCAGCTAAAAGAATGATGTGCATGCATCAAGCGTTAAAGTATCCTAATCAGAATATAGTAATATACAATGATTAGCAAAGCAGATTTGAATCGGCAAGAAGAGTTGTTTAAAAAATCAGTTGAGTCTTCTCTAGTTTCCACACTGCCTATTCCTGTTTAAGTGCGGTTATTCCTATTCCAGTTTTTGGTGCTTTACTATGATAACCAAATTGATTTGGTTATCATAGAAAAGAGACCATTATCATGCTTAGAATTAATTATGTTTAGGGTCGGTTTATTGGAATAAGGAAGTTTATAATACGTGAACACTTGTTTCCTCATCGAAAAGTCATAACGCATAAAGTCGATGTTTCCTGAGTACAAAAAGTGACATATGACGCTTAACTCTTTATTCCAGATAATGACCATATTTATGGGATTAAAAAGTTTAGGAAGCTTCTCCCCAATTTTTTTTCAAGCTTACTACCATAAAAAATTTATCAACGATTTATGATCGAGCGCAATATCAATACTAGTTGTTTTTGATAAAGCATATCCTTACCAGTTAAAACGCATGCAAATGATGGTGATAATGTCCTAAATATTTCGTCGAACACAATAATTCCGTTCATAAATATGATTTGAATGTTTCCCCATATTGGCTACCCATTGTATTATTCTGGATATGAATAGAAAGCATTAATTCCATAGGATACAAGGAATGATTTTTGATGGATCTGCTCTCTTGCTTAATTTATAAACAATATCTAGGTTTGTATTTTTTGTTATGTTTCCGTGGACCAAATTGAAATTCGCTCCTTAATTAACATTTCAAGAGCAAGCATATTAGCAATGAAGCATAAAAATACAATATATTTAATCTATAATTTAAAATTTGATCTGGGGTTATTTCCTTTTTGAACATTTATATAATCATTTATTCGAGATTTGATCAAAATGTAATTTGAAGTAGAATATTGTGTAAATTTTGTAAATGTACAGGAATTTAAGAGATTTATTTATAAAATAGCTTATAATAACATATTTTTGAGGAAAATATTTTAAAAATTAAGCAGTAATTGGTTTTAATATAGAAAAATAATAAGAACAGTTTATTATACTACAACACAAAAACAAAAGAGCCGAGTTAAACTAAATCCGTTTCACTCGATTTGACAATAGGAAAAAACATCATGGATAAAACAAAATTAATTAGTAAATATTCATTGGTGATCTCATTTAAGTCAAATGAATCAGTTTTCTTTGTTATCTTCTCGGAAATGATTTCGCATCATATATTCGAATGAAATCATGGTATTTTCTGATCGATTTACCAATATCCTTCGATAACTAAATGATTTGCATTAAATAAATCTATTATTATTGCTTTTTTGAACAAAATATGAAATTGAATTTGTTAAAAATCCAAAATCATTCAGTAATAGCGAGAGTATCAACAGTACTCTAATATTAAGCGAACTACGAAGCATAATCGTTGCGAAATTAAAAATAATAATGGAAAATTTTCGAAAAAAATTCGGTCAAACGGGTCTAGATGTAATTCCATTGCAATGAGAAGGCTTCTTGAATAGTAATTGATTAGCTGTAACTCTCGCTGTTTGTCTTAATTGAGTTTTTTCGTTAGAATAGACTCCACCTAAGGATCGTTCGATTGGTCCGCATGTAACGCTTGCGCATTTATAAAGAGGAAGTTCCCCGAGGTAATTTGAACTTGTATCTCTATCGAAAAACTTATCGACTTGTCTGAGGCTTACGGAAAGCTTTTTTGGCGCTGTAACAGACTTATGAGAAGGAGCTGACTGTAACCATGGATGAGATAACGCTTGTTCGACGTTTAATCTTGTTTCTGGGTTTGGATCCATTAAACCACGAATGAATCTTTTTCCGAGCTCAGAAACATAAGATGGTATTGAGTAATCGGCTTTTTGAATTTGATCGAACAATTGAGATTGGTTTCTTTTTGTCCACGGTAATTGGCCTGTAAGCATTGCGAAACAGAGTACGCCGCAGCTCCACATGTCGCTCTTTCTGCCATCATACGATCCACCTCTTATGCACTCAGGAGAAGCGTAACATGGAGATCCACATGGTGTTTCTGCAAGTCCAACAGCAGTTACGAATCTTGAAAGGCCAAAATCGGATATTTTTGCATGACCTTGCTCATCGAGTAGAATATTTTCTGGTTTGATATCGCGATGACAGATGCCAAGATTATGAACGTAACATAAAGCTTCAAGAATCTGTTTCATGTAATATTTTGCTTCTATTTCTGATAGTCTCTCATTTTCGATGATTTGCTCATACAGTTCTCCGTTGGAACAGAGCTCCATTATGATATAATAATTATTTTCATCTTTGAATAAATCATATAATTGTACAATGCCCGGATGGTTTAGCTGACGGATTATTCTGATTTCGGTTTCGAATCTTTCGGATAAGTTTGAAGCAACTAATTTGTTTTTTGGAATAATTTTCGCAGCAAAAAGTTGCCCGGAAACAGAATCTTCCACAATCTTGACTACTGAGAAGGAACCTTTGCCAATCGGACCCATGAATCTGTAATTCTCGAGAGTAGGGGGTGTAATAACATCATTCACGGGCTCCATATTTTGCATGTTAAATTTTCATAAGTTTACAATTTTGTCTAAAAATTCTCAGTGAAAACTGCGGAGTGGTTTCGATAACTTTTCTTTTATATGATCATTGGGCATCATTTTAGACAAGAAATTTTCGCAAAGGGGTTTTCAAAATTTTCTCTCCCCATAAACCAAATTGTGTCATGTTTTCTTTCAATTTTTCACCAATCTTTATCTGCTGAATTTTCAATTGGAATTAAAGCGCATCTCGATATTTTGATCGCAATAATAATTTTATAGTCGAATGTCTATATTACGAAATCCTTTCATTAATCTCTTTAAATTCCTAGTTCTTTATCTACCAAACTGCGGATGTGCATATAAATATTAATTGTAAAACTGCAACTCTTCATTCTTATAGCATGATACCCCCTTACTGCAAAAAAAATTATCTCGATTATTTTGGCATTTTAAATTAGACCGTTGAATGGTTTAAAGAAAAGGGGGGAACTCATTTTTTAGACCAAAAAAGTGGCACCTGAGTATATTGTTTCTGCTTTATCTGATCATTGAAACGGAATTGATCCACGTTATTAGTATGAAACAATGATATACTAGGGACTAAAGAATATTAGTATTACAAAAACCCAATTATTCGATGTTCAACTCATCATATCTTGCATTAAAGTTGATACCTTTATTTTTTCGAAATATTACAACAGTAGCAACCTTACGTATTACCAATGATAGCCAGAGTACTACTTTGGCATAAAAAAATTAAAACGATATTAAAACAACAGATTGACTAGTCATTCTGGTATAGTATCATGCATACTACCAGGTGATAAAATCTCAAATATCTTAGCTTAACTTCTGTTTGATTATGAGATACAGATCTAATGTTGCTTGTTTTGTAGCCATAGTCACTAACTAATAACATTATTATGATAAGAAGACTAAGTGTGCGAGTTTAATATACATTTGATTCAGATTTATTATCGAAAATCAAATCACAATATATATCTTGAACTCATCTGTTAATAAAATCATGATATTATTGATTGTTTTCTAGATGTTTACAATATTTTCTAAACATGTGAAGATATTCCTTAATTTGAACCAGAAATAATTTTAAATTACTAACAATGGATGGTTAGCTATATAGAATAATATATTATTTTTGATAGTAAACTATGACTGATTTATAATTTAGGAATATATTCTTCTTTTCTATATCTTTGAAAAATAGTTATATGATTTTGCTGTATAAGTGATATATTTTAGTAGAAATATTATAGAATAGCAAAAATAAAAAGGTTTTGTCGATTTATAACACAATGAAAATGGTTTATTTCTCTCTAAATTATAAATTTTCAAAAAAATTAACCTCATTTTTCCAAAAAAAATCGAGAATTGAAAAAAACGTTATCATTTTCTAGAAAATTGCATAGGCTTTTTCTAAAATGAAAAAAATTTGGAGAAACTCACCAAGGAGAGCTTCATTCTAAGTGTCTAAAGCAATTGCTATCAGTCAAAAAAACCTCGAAAATTTTAAATATTGATATCGATTTTGATCAATCACTTAAAATCGATTGTTTGCAGTCGTTGTTATCACATATTATTAAATTCTAATATACTTGAACATACTACAAATTGTTTTTGAAACTTATCAACATTTCGCGCAATTTAACAATACTCCAACTCTCATACACAGTTCCCATTACCACAGTCTCATTTTAAGAAGAAATGATTAATAAAATCTAAGATCTAACAATTTAATTACCCAATTCGAATAATATTTTTAATTATAAATACTTATTTGTGCATGTTTTATATACAGATGTAGAAAGAAAAACGAATAAAGTGTTTCTTCAGAAAAATACCTGAAAGCACCCTAATCATTAAACAATTTACTTTTTTAGCATCGAATTTTGCTCGTCTTGAGCTATATTTTTCGTTTAATTTTCATAATACGATAATACATATGGGTTATCAAGTAAAGTATGGATATTTTAGAAGATGATAATATATCTCGAAATCAAACGAAAGTCATTCTATGAGTCCATACACACTATTACTATACTTCATATGTCAAGCATAATGGGAACAATTTTGGTCGATACCTTTGTTGTCGACGAAGTTCCCCCCTTTTGTTTAAAGACATCATTATTCTAAACTCGTAGTGAATTATTTCACTAACCCATTTTCAAAAAGACATTTGTCAGAAATCGTCATCGACATTTAATGTCTTGTTCTTATTTTTCAAAAATTAAGTGAAAATATGAAGAATAAACGCGAAAGACAATATATATCTTTTTTGTGCAGTTCCAATCTCCCGTCAGTTTTTCAATTTGAGATGATTTCGATTGGATAGCATTTGAAACAGATTTATGTGAATATGGCGATATATACTTATTGAATCTTTAGGAGAAATATTTGCATAAAAGATAAAATCTAATAAAATATACGTTTAAATTATTTTTTGGCCTCTTATGGCGAGTTCTACGAGTAGGCTGAAAAATCTTGTTATGGATATATCGGATTACAAGAAAAGACTTGATTCATTAGATTTATTTATTGGAAATCTTGAGCATCGTAATGGTAAGAAAAATTCATCGAAATCTTCAAGCAACATTCAATCTCCTCCTATTAAAACAACAGTATCGTATGTAAATAATAAGAAAAGTAGTACAAAAACATCAAAAAGTAAAAGACATAATAAAATAATGTCGAGAGATCTCAATAACATTGACTTCAATATGGATAGTCACATTGAAGAAGATCTGTATAATCAACAAATTCAATCCCTTCGCTTTATTGAATCATCTCTAAAAAATAAAATGCAAATCCTCCAAAATAAACTAGAAGACTTAAATAGCCGCGCTGCAATTGCAAACAAATCCTTAAGTATTGAATGCTTAGATATAACTGCCCTTGAAAAACGTATTTTAGGAATGGAAACATTTAATTCTGAACTGAAACGCATAGATAATGAAGCTCCAGATGAGATATTTCGATTAAACATGGTTGTAAATACACTAGAATCTGATAATTCTTTAAGAAAACAAGAATTACAGTCAAGAAAATTAAAATTGGAGCAAGAAATTGAAGAAATGAATCAAAATCAATTTAACAAAAGATTAAATCATACTTCATTTATAGGTGGTTTAAATCCCACTCAAAACGAGAGAAGATTGAAAATTGTTGCAATGTTCGACAATATTGATGAACTAATAAGACAAAATATGATAGAACGTGAGAGAATTGAATCTGAGTATAGAAAAAAGATGAAGAAAATCAGCAATCTTCAAAAAATTTTGAATCACATTGATAACATAACAATATCAATTCATGATCAAAATATTTCAATTTCGAAGTTAGATGCCGAAGAAAAATCGTTAATTATGAACAAAAACTCAATATCACGCATTCTGAATTCTTCATCCATGATTTCACAAGAAATAAACGTGAAAGATAAGATCTCAGACCTGAGAAGAGAGATTATAGAAAATGACGCAAAACTTAAAGCAAAGGCTTCCGAATTAGAAGAGAAAAGAAAGCAAATTGCTGAATTCGAAAATATTTTGAATCGCAGAACAGTTCAAATTGAAGAAATTGAGAATGCAGCATACTTGGAATCGCCACGTAAATCTACATCTCCTCCTCAATCACCTGACCCAAGAAATAAAACAGAAGTCACTCAAAGTAGTTTCGATTCAATATCAGATATTTTATAATTTATTTTTTATTGTTTGTCTGTAAAAATACCATGAATATGTTAACATGATAAATACTAGTGAGAATTCTTTGATACAACTTAAGAAAAAGCTGTATTTTACTGAGTAGGTGACAAAAGTGCATACTCTTAAACAACCGTCGGATTTCCGGGTGAAATCGTGACACACTTTCGTCTTTCGTAGGCAGTGGTGGTTGTTACAAAAGGTAACTTCGAATGTAGCGTGAAATCTGCAAAAAAAATTCTGAAATTTGAATGGAGAACACAAAAATTGAATAGTTTACGTCAATAAAAAAGAGAAAAATGAAGCCAATGTGTCTCGAACCTAGGACTTAGAGCAGCAATCCCACTGTTTATCCCATTACACTACATGCATCTCTCACATCAGTGAATGAGATCAACTATATGATAACTTTTTTCCCATTATATTCTTGTGGAAAAGTGACAAATAGCAACTTTGACCCTCTCTCGTAAAAATACCATGAATATGTTAACATGATAAATACTAGTGAGAATTCTTTGATACAACTTAAGAAAAAGCTGTATTTTACTTACCGTTGTGATATCGTCTTGTATTCTCTCATGAATCGAGCTTATTTTTATAATGAAAGGCTCTGAATATCAATTGCATAGAGAATATTGACTGTGAAAGATTATTGTTTGATACGATTCATATTTTTCTGATAGAATTTACAAGTCTCAACATCTCAAATTTTACGTTCTATAATTTTCCATCTAATGAAAATGATCTTAATTAGAATGTGGTTAAAAAATATAAAATGTATTCAATTTTGCGATCACGTTTTATCGTCTTTTCAAAAATTCAATCAATTGGAATTTTTTTCGAGTTTTTATATGTACATCAATATAATATTGATAAAATAAGGATTAAATTTTTCAAAGCGATTAACGATTTATTGATTTATTCAATTTTATTGGCCTATTTTGATTGTATCATATGCATCAGTAATATGAAATGGATCTAATTATTAATTCTTGCAAAGTGAAATTATTTTTGATTGATTAGTTTTCATTATTTTCTATAAAGAAATCGGTTTTCCTCTATCTACCAATTATTAAATACTTATTCATTCATCAGAAATATAGTATGTACGAAAATTCTGGTTTAAATCCTTCGATTTCAGTTCAAATTAGATGAAGGAATTCAAATTTCACCGGAACCTTGATTCATATTATATAACAATACTCCTTTATGGTTATGTAAAATTATTTCGATCACTAGAAAAATTCCGCTCATCCAATTTATTTTGAGTTGAGCGGAAAACCAGAAAAGTGACAAATTTGACTGCATATAAATTTTAGATCTCTTTTCACATATGCTTCTATTATCGTGCTTGACTAATCATGCGCGATCAATGTGTGATTCGAGTTCTGATATATGTTTCGAAAAACAGACTACATTTTCCTTTATCATCGGATTTATTATCGGAATTAACTTAATCATCCTTTCAATGATACTAATCAGGTGGTTTAGCCGCTCTGAAGAAGAAATAGATATAGAAAAACCGCAAGTTTTCGAAGTTAATAATGAAAAAGATAAATGTAATTGCCTTACTTCTTGCTGGTAATATATTTACTTAGAATAAAATTGTTTGTATCTTTTATGTTAAAAATATTAATTTTTACATGCTCCTTTCTTTATCTTATAAAGATTTAAATATTTGATCGGTATTAATGGCATAATATTGCAGATCTATTCGATTTATGCACAATGTTTGATAATTTTATTAATTATCCCTCAATCAAGCATAAGGTTTCTTCCGATTTTGTTGTAATTTCATATGGAAGCAATTAATTCGGAAACCCCTTTTGTGGTTCACCTCTTTGAGTGAAATTTATTACAAATAGAGCTATGTTAATATTGGCAATTTCTAAACGTAATATTTTCCAAGCTTTTTCTTATGAAAGAGCAATAATTCTGCAATATGTAATTGTGCTTGTAGTAAAACTATGAATGATACTAAAACTAGGAGTTAATAACAACATACAATCTTTAATTTAATAACAAACAAAAAAATTATAAGTTTCCGTGCAATATATTCTCTGAAAGAACAGCAGCGATATCAGGATTAGTAGAAGGATGATATTCAAAGATATTATTGAAAAAGCACTCATCTTCGTCGGAAAAGTTTGAAAATGGATTGCAAAACTGAAAGAGCATGTATATCTTGGATAGAAATCTTGATATCGAGAAGTTACATGATGTATTAATCCTTTCAATCTTATTTGGTTTTGATCTTGTAAATTCTTGGAAAAGCACAGCACTATGTACTATCCCTAAGTTAGCTAATGACAAATTACTGTCTTTTGGAAGTAATTCAGATGAGGTACTAATTTTAAAATTATTTCCTGGTCCAAACTCTTCATCAAGCCATTTATGTAATACAGATACACTATCTGTCTCATAAAATGTATGATTTTTTGAAAATTTTTGACCGCGAGCATAGATAATAACCTTTTTTGCAGATTTTTCGTTATTTTCAATTAATTCTGATTGTTGGAATGAATCAATTCTTATTTCTGCTAAGTAACTTGCAAATTCTTCTGGATTTGGGTAATTTGATATCCAGCATTTCGAAATCTGAGTTGAATGTGGACCAAAAACGAATAATGAAGTAGGTTGAAAGTATCCAAATTGAGCAGTAAATGATGTATAATCTGCAATTGATTCGCTTAACGTAATTCGATATATAATCGCGTTATTTGGAATTGAATTTAAGACTGGAATTGAATTAAATAGCCAATCAGCTTCATTCTGAGTATTTTCAATAGAAATGATTAGAATTCTTGCTGGTTCATGCGATTTTAAATTTAAAGCATCACTAAGAGATTTCATCAATAAAAATGACTATATATTGTAATTGCAAATACTGGAGAATCGCCCAAAATAGCATTAGTTAACAATGAAATGATTAAGAAATTCGTTGATTTCGAATAATGATATGAATCTTTTGCAATTTAGTTGAATCAGGATATCTCATCCTGGAATGTGTTAAGAAATATTACATTACAATGAAAAGTCCATAAATGAGATATTTGTAACTGAAACTTATCAAATAAAAAAAAATTAATTTTTAAAATAACAAAATATACAAAATTGAGCTAATTGGCGAAACCATTTTCATCAGCATCTGCATCAGCCCTTCGAGCATATGTGAGTGAGTTTCCTTTGCTGTAATCCGAAAGTTGTTTGCAGAATTTTTCAAATCTCTTAACTTTGAACGTTGTCCATAGCTTAGAATCAAGATTAAGCCTAGGAATGGCAGTATCTTCAATAGGAACCCAATATTTTCCGAATACTGCATCTCCAATTTCTCGAAATGCCAAAGCGTAGTTGAAATTGTCATCATTTCCATTAGACCCTGACTTCTGAGATGTTGAGTCTTTCGATTTCTTAGGAGGAATGAAAACACTGGAATCTTCTGAATCTGAGTCTTGATTTTGCTTGCTTTCTGGTGGTGGTTCATCTGATCTCGATGATTTGGACTTTTTAATTGGTACATATGAACTGGATTCTTCTTGATCTGAATCTGATAATTGTGGTGGAGGTTTTTTAGCCTGAGGCTCTTCTTTTCTTGTATAGCTACCCCAAGAATCATCAGAATCATCTTGTTCTTCTACTTTAACTGTTTGTTTATTGTTATTTGCTGGATATTCTTTCCAAGATTCGTTATCTGAATTTTGTTCATCAGTAATTACTTTGGATTGTTGATTTGCTTTTTGTGCTGGATATTCTTCCCATGATTTATCAGAATCATTACCATTATAATCACGAACTTGGCGTTTCGACGATTTCTTAGGACTTTCGTTGTTTTCTGTTTCTTGGTTATCCTCCCATTGCTCTTTGTCTTTATTAAATGAATTTTCTTGATTATTAATTGATCTAGCCTTTACAGGAGAAGAAGGATTTGATGATTGTGCTTCCCAACTCTTTTCTGTTGGTTTTTGATCATTAATTCCTTTCCTATTATCTGCAGCGTAATCTTTAGTAAACCACTCTGCATCTGAATCGTGAGTATGATTATTTTGCTCTTGTTTTCTTGGTAGTGGAGAATTTAGCATGCCACGTGGCGATTTGAATGGCTGTTTTTCTTTTTTATCTTCTTTTGGTTTTGGTTCTTCGTTTTCTTGATCATCTGAGTTCGAGTAGTAATTTTGGAATCGTTGAGGTTGTTTATTCCGCTGGTTTTTGTAAGAATTTTCGAGATTTTGATTATCGTTATCTTTCTTTTTTGGTTTTTGAGGCATTGGAGGCTTTCCTGTTAACAGATTTGATATACACCCGAAGTAGCTCGGCAGCGCATCGCCTTTATGTAGTTCTTCTAATTTAGTCTGAACAAAAGTATCCCAATCCGCATCCATAATTATGATTAAATCTGAATAAATTAAGACAACGCTGACAACTTACTAACCAAGGAAGACCTAATTTAAAGGAATAATGACGAAGAAACAAAGAAAATAAAACTCTGATTTATTATATTAACATTGCCAGATAGTTTCTGTTTATTTTAACAATTTATATGAAAAACAAGATATATTTATTCTGATTTTCATTAATATGAGGATATTATACACAAGATAATGGGTCGAATGCAAAATGCAGACGATTCTTCGGATGGTCCTGACACTTCTTCCAATTCTCAAGCCAGACGTCGCGATTTGGATGAATTGCATATAATTCTGGAGAATATGGCTGAAGAACACCAAAAATTAAGCTTGATGGTGGTCGTTCGTAGTTGAAGTTGAAAACGTCGCCAGATAGTTTCTGCCATGTACGATAACCTGTAAAGTTGTGATAGCGGGCAAAAGAAACCATAGCTTTAAATACGCTTTCACGCAAGTACTGTAGTTGTTGGAGTAATCTTTGAGGATCTTTCTCGTAAAGGATCGGTTTCTTTGGTATAAAGTTAATTCTTGGAAAATATTCATGAATTTCAACATAATAGTCTTCCCATTCTGTTTCGCAGAGCTTATCACTGACAGGTTTGACAGTTTCGATTAAGTGAAGCTCATCTTCTTTGTATTGAAAGTGTTTTTTGATTAAAAATTGGCATTTTTTCTCAATTTGGTCATAAATGACTTTAGGAGTTTCCTTTCCTTCCATTTTCTTGGAAGCAAAGTCTGCAAAATCTTTGCTTTTAACAACTACGTGTACGTGGAAATGATCTGCACTACGGAAATTGCCAAAGTGATGGCAAAGTAAGCAAGGGCATTGTAATATGGCAACTACATGCTGAACAATGTACCAAAATTCGTTTTTGTGAGGTCTATCAAAATCAAATAAATTATTTCCGTGATCTGGTTCAATATCTGTTCTTGAACGGATAATTAAATGTGACCTTCCTTGGTATGGATTAACAAGAGCAAAAAAATGATCTTCTTTCGATAAAATAATATCGTTTTCGTAATCAAGTCTTTTATTACTCATCTTCTGAAGTCACTTTTTTATGATGAAAAATATAAGTTTGGATAAAAACAATCAACTACTGATACTGTACATTGTTGATCTTAAAATTTTTACTCTTATTGCGTTTTCTTTAATCAGGTCACTAGTGTTAAAGGTTTTCTCCATCAGAATCATATTCTAATGCTGACGTATTAGCTGGATTCTATTGATTCTATCTATTTGTTTCATATAAAATAATTTTTTGATGAAAAAGTATTTTATAAAGTCAAATTTGTACTTGAAATAAGAAATATACATAAAATAATGATGACATATCGTTTTGGTATTATGATCTAATCATTATTTTGCGATTAATTATAATTTCAATTTTGATTCTTTGATGTTTTTCCAAAAAAATTTTAAAATCATAAAAATAAATTCAAAAAGCTAAGTGTTGTCTTTCATAATTTGGAAAACAAAAAAAATTTGGAATTCAACACTGCATCTAAGATTCATCTTGAGATGAAATCAAGGTATTTCGCATCTTAGTTTTTCCATAATATGCGATACGAATAATCCATATGCAAAAAATTAACAATTTTATCGAAAAACTTCTTGCAATTCAGGATATATTGGAGTCTGCATGTCAATAGCATACCAAAATAAAGAACAAGTCCAATACTACGAAAATATAAAAAAAATACACATATTTTAAGAATAGAACATTTATAAATAAAATCAAACAATGTTACAAACGCTTCTCTGCTTCTGAGAATTCTCTCTTAACCTCTGAATAATTTGGCATGTGTTCAGATTTCGATACAAACCTTCATCTTCCTTCTGCGATGCTACGAGACTTTCCGCATTCTCACAGTGAACGCAGAGAATGTAGTAATGGTTCTCAGAAGGCACCAAAATCGAAGAAGAAGTAGGCGAGTAAGTTTTTGAGATTTCGTGTAAGTGTATGAATGCTTGATGGACGAATTGATGGTCCTTCGGTGCAAATTTGTCACTTTGACATGTAAGTTTGTTTCCATCATTAAGAGCACGCGTGTAAGGGATTGGAGAGAAAGGAATTGGCTTTGGATAGCAAACCTTGAGGGCTTTGTTGAGTTTCTTGAGTCTGGAAGGCATTTCAAGATAAGTTTGGTCAGATAAAATGAGATCTGTTGGAATTGTAAGAATTATCTTGAATTTATGGTATTTGAATGCAACGAACAGATGTGGTTTGCCATCATAATAAATAGGCTGCTGATAAATCGACGTCATTCCACGTGCATCAGCGTATAAACCAAGAAGCCAAGAAAATTCGCTTTGACAAATGGGATTATGCAAATACATATACTTAAACTTCTTTCTCATAGCGAAAGAAATAGCTCTAGTAATGGTAGGATTGAGTGTTGTATAAATTACTCGATGTTTTGAATATAAAATGATAATGTTATCAAAATACTTCGGTTGTTGGTTGAGAATATCTTGACATATTGCATTGATGTCATTTTCGCCTTCTGGAAGCTGAACTTGAACAGCTTGAGCGTGATATGAATCATAAAGGTAAGTAATATCGAGACTATTCCAATTAATTGACTCTACAATGTATTTAAATCCTTCAGGTATTTTGGAGATGAGTTTTTTGAGATCATTTTGTCCAAAATTAGAATCATCTTCAGGAATTGGAACAAAAAAGTGAGAAAACATCATTTTGCAATAGCCAAGAAGAGATGACATTAATGATCGCTTGTTAGTCATTGGTGAATTTAAAGAAATTGCCATCCAAATTGGTCCACATAATTTGAGCAATCCAATTTCATGATCTTTTGTATCAATATAATCGCATGGTTCTGATGTTCCCCATTTTTCGCAAAAATTAATAAATGTTATTAATAGACCGGTTATATTCAATTTAAAGTTTTCAGCTTGCTCTTTCTGGGAATAAAACCAATAAATTGTCGGGTCTTGCGCTTCCTTTGTGGGAGGAATTGCATCAAAAACAATAAAGGCATGAAGTTTTGAAGATTGATTTTCGATCTCTGCCATTTATGACAAATCAGATTTAAAAATTTTGAATGTTATACATCAAAGAATAATATTAAAGAATTCATATAATTTCTGATCCGGTGAATTTTATGGGGTCTGGAACAAAAAATTATAGGGCTTCAAGGTTAAAGAAAGCTCTCAATATTAAATGAACTAAGATACCAAGTAATTTGACAGCATTAAATTAAAATTTATCATTAAAAAAAATCTGATAGCAACGAAAGTAAAGAATAAATCACTATTAATGCAATTTTATTGATTTATTATACACACATATGAAAACTTTAATAGCAAAAACAAAATATACAGATCGTCAATTTCGATGATTTTGGGAAAACAAAATATTCTAATAATATAGTTACGAACTTATTTACAATTGTTTCAGCATGCAAAATTTATTAATCAACTAGTTGAAAATCAACCCTAACATGGTTTACAATAAAAATATTTGGATTCAAAGTGAATCATATGAATGGTGTTAATGTAAAACATTTAATCAAAATCGAACATGCAAATCATGTGTTAATTAACTAGAATAATGATATCACTCACCCAATTTTTTCAAATTTTGTCGATTTGAGTGAAGAAGTTGAAATGTTGAGTTCTCAAAAAATCATAAAATATAATATTTCAAATAATTTGAAGATCAATTTGTTCTGTATATATGGAATACAGGGAATTTATTAAGTAAATATTTGAACCCCATTTTACGTTTCAGGTTTTTGAAAAAGTATCGAAATAAAGGATGAAAATTAGAAATCTGGAAATAACACGTTTGGAGCATGTAATAAGTTTTCGATCTAGCCAAATATAGCAAAAAAGGAGTTCAGTGAAGGAAAAATGTAAAGTGTAAAAAATATAAACAAGGGATATGATTATAATATCACATATTAAAAAAAAATTGAGATAGTTTGATAAAAATGAATGGCGTAGAGTTTCTTAAATAGGAATTGATGCAATTATTATGAGTAATAGCATAAAACAATTTGAAAAATCCTATCGGAAAAATTTAACATATTGCAGGTTTAAAGGAGTAAACTTTAAATACCTTGAATGATGGATTTTTTCTCTTGACATTGAAAATTGAATAATGGTATTAAAATTGAGATGATTGTTTGAAAACGTATTGAATGTTTAAAAAAATTGACGATAGAATTCAACAATGTAACAAATGCAATGATTCAATAAGTAATTGAAAAAGATTTTGAGAGATTTTTCAAAATGAAAAAATTTATTAAAATTTAACTTCAGATATTTTGTATAATCTATTTCAATATTTTTGTTTTAATGCAAAGTTTTTGTGATAAATATCGATTTTTAATTTCAATTCATAATTTCATGGTTTAGATTTGCTTATTATTTTTCATTAACTTTAAAATTCGAAAAACATTTGATATTGAATGAATCTTATTCAAAAATTTTTTAAATTGTGAGCATTATTTTTTCAAATTCAATATTCAGTATCTTACAAATCAATTAAATTGCTTTATCTAAATACTTTTCTTGTATAATATTTAAACGAATACGTTGAAAATAGGTATTTTAAATGTAAATTATCAATTTTGAGCTCAATTCAATTTCCAATGATTTTAATTTGTATATTTTAAAAATCTTCTTTAGGCTATTTTCTCTAATTAAACAAAATTACATTTCTTTAAAATTAATTTTGCAAATTACCTCAGACTTTTCAGAGGATTGAAAGGCAACTCAATCCTCTGAAATAGTCTGTGGTAATTTTTAGTCTCTACACTATTTCAATATAAGCTCCATATTTAAACAGTTTTTAAAAATCGAGCTTTGAAAAGTGTGATGAGACTTTTATTTTCTGTGATAAATCTGCAATTCATTATAATTTATTCTGATCATACTAAATACATCATCTTTTCTTTAATCAAAAAAAGGTACATTCACTATTTTTGACAAAATTTTAAATTTTCATGGAGTTGTAAATCTTATAATAACTAGATGAATAAGGAATGAATCCCAGTATAATGTGCATCATTATATTAAACACTATATGTAAGGCTAATGATTCTATTAACACTTATGAAGATCTATAGTATTTGAGCAGATAAATTTGATAATTTCCAAAACTCTTATATTTCAAAATTAAAGTGTGCGAATGCATTTAAATGAGAGCAAAAAGAGATTGATGCTGTTAAAACTAGGTGTTAATTTGCAATTATTTCGCATCACAAGAACTACCCAGTAAATTCGGCTATCTTTCTTTGCAATTATTCTCCATTATACCTATAATATAATGGTTAGGGTTTGAAGAAAAGTTACTAGAGAATTATTGACTTTTGAAATAATGCAGAATTTTACTTGAAGAAATCATTAATTTATGAGTTCCAAATTGCTAAGCATGACGAAGGATCATTAAATTTGCTACAATTAAATACATTTATTGCAGAATTAAGATTTTTGAAATTAAAAGTTTGAAATATTGCCTTTTTGAATAAAAATTTAAATTTTATTATATAATCATGATAATATCTTATAGAAATTAAAAGAAAATATTTTAAACCATTCAAATATTTTGAATGTCTTATCAATTTAAAATATTAAAAGATAGCTTGATTTTATCATCATTAGTTGTTATCAAAGTTTTCTTCTTTTGATGAACAACAGTAAATGATTTGTTAATTACTTGTCTTCCTTTTTCGCAGCAAAATCGAAAGTTATGATGATAATCTTGCTGTCAATTTTGAAACTCTCTGATTTACAAGTAAGCATTCCTTTGGAAAAGCAGTCCTATTCTGTTTTCAAGATATTTTAAAGCCTCCATTTCATACAATGCGCAGATCTATTCGAAATTGCAAGAACTCTCAAGAAAAATGCAGCATCAAAGAAGATTCCATAGTTTCTAGCATCAAAAATTTACAACCTTAATACAACAGTTAAAGAGAAGCTCGAAAAGAAAATATTTAACCATAAAGCTGGAAACCATTCGATATCTACTATTGGATCTAATAAAAAGTTAATTATAACATATTTTACATGCTATTTGTTGACTTTGTTCCATTATATTACCATATATATCTTTTTGAAATCTAAAATATTTTTACGATTTTAACCATGTGTTGTTGAAACCATATATCAATCTTAGCTAAAGTATAGTTTATGAGTCTGTCACCATCTAACGTATGAATTTGCAAAAATGTCAAATATGTTCATTTTTTCTGTAGATTCAGCCATAATTTCACGTTGTTATACTATTCAACTATTATTCAATATTTGTATCGATTTAAATATATGATGAGATGCTTAGTTCTCCTGGAAATCGATTTTTAATCGCAATTTTAACTTTCCAAAAAAAATTCAAAAATAAAAATCCCTCTCAATTTTCTAAGTTTTATAACTCGCCAAATCTCTAGCCAAATTTTTTTTTGCCCGTATAAATATTGTTAGGCACTATATAGGGATGCTATTTATCCTATTTTCATCCCATTTTACTGTTATCGCCTAGTGAATGTACCTTTAATCAAAAAAAGCAACATTGAATTAACAATTATCTCCATAAAATTGAACTGAATTTAATCTCTTCATTCAATTCAAATTTGAGAAGAACTCTCAATAAAAAAAATATTTTTTTCTTCATAATATCTTTGATGACAAAGCCTCTTGAACTCGTTGCAAGTCAATTTATCAGAAACTATGGAATCAATGTTCCAGAGGAATCCATTAAGAGATGCGAAGACAGCCTTATAGGCTACATAAACGGTGAAATAGATTACCAAAATTGTCATTCTGTTTTAATTGATCACATTAAATCTGATGATCCGCTTGTCCAAATCAAAGCTATTCTTAGCGTAGGAAATTCTCCTCTTCCAAGCTATTCTTCTAATGCCATTAAGTTTACTCGTAATGGAAGAAAAATAGTAAAAAGCTGGTCTAAAATCGAAGACAACAGACTCCTCTTTGCAATTCATAAGTTCGGGCTTAATAATTGGCAGAAAATTGCCGAATTTGTTGGTAACAATCGTTCTAAAACTCAATGTTCTCAAAGATGGTTCCGTGTTCTAGATCCACGCATTAAGAAGGGTCCATGGACAGAAGAAGAGGAATCTCTCTTAATTCATCTTGTTCAGAGATACGGCCTTAAATCATGGAAACAGATCGCAGAACATATGGAGCAGAGAACAGATACACAATGCCGTTATCATTACAACTTATTACCAGAAAATAGGAAGGTTCAATTTAAAAGTGAAGAACAAGAATCGCCAAGTGAAGAACAGCCTCTTACTCCGCTTCCAGAATCTCTTACGAATCTTAATCCTTCCGTTATTTCTCAATTTTTAGATATTCAATTCCCACAAAATTCCGAATTTTTTGATTTTGAAACATCTTTTACTGTTTAAAAATGATCTATAATTGAAATTTATTTTTTTTATATTTGTAATAATTAAATTGTATGTCCTTTCAATAAATAAAATCCTATCGTATGACAAATATATATTTTTATGTTAATATGAATCTATGCAGCTTGTATAACAATTTCTTTTCAATTATTTTTTGATAACTGTGTCATAATAAATTGAATTTTTGATTTTGCCAGATTTGATGATATATTTTATTTTGTGGATTATGAAATGCAAACATTATATATCATTTTTTTATATAATTATTTTTATTTTCATATTGAAAGTAGTTCGAAGATTGAGAACACTTTTTCAATGCGAAGTTTACAATCCCTTATAAAATTGATATCCAAGCTTTGCAACTTCAATTGAAAATATATATATACACACAAAATTTCAAAATATTTTTAAAATATCCCTATATCTTTTAATAGATTCTGAAAATTAAAAGTATTTCAAAAATTCATTCAAAAAAATTTTTCCTCATGCTTTATACTCTCTTACATTTAACATTGTACAGTTGGATATCAATATATGATCAATGCAGCCTTAATCTTGCCATTATTCAGAAAGATTGGGATTCTTTTTACCAAACTTCGGGCAATCCAACACTTTTTAACAAAAACAATACAATAACGATCAATGATGTTACAAATAGATACAATGTATATATAAGAGACTGCATTTATATTGAAATCAAACAAAAAATCATCTCAATTTTCTATACGAATTCTGAACATCGATGCTTAATTGAAGAATGCAAGTTCATCAGTTGTGAACCATCAAGCAGTGATATTTTGTGGAGAAATTCAGGCCATATCGTTATTAATCAATGCAATTTTGACTCTACAAAAGGTGGTGAAAATAGTGCCATACTTGTAATGGTGGATCGTTACTCGAAAGATTATTTACTAGAATCATCAATAACATATATTAATGGAGGTAATTTTGCATTAAGCATGAGTTCTTTCCGATGTTATGAAGTAAACAATACCTTGAACAGTTGTAAATATGTTAGTTGTGGATCTTTTGTACTTAACAATGAGCATGGTTTTATTGATTATTGCCAATATGTTAATAATACTCAGACATCGAGTATAAAACATTATGAAGATGGAACATGTTCGTTATTTTTGTCTGAAGTCAGTTAGAATGAAGTTCCAGCTTCTTACTCTATACTTTATACGAATTTTATTGGTAATTCAAAAACTATTGCCGGACATCCCCATATAAGCTCAAATATGATAACATCATTTAAGTATTGTACATTCAAGGATAACAAAGGCGGTCCATTAATCGGTTCAGTAAAGGATTTCATATTTTTTGATGATTGCGAATTAGAAAATAATGAAGAAGGCGGCACATTGGATAGAATGTATGTTGGAAAAACATATAATTTCAAAATAATACATACAAGCAAGCCTAAAACATATGAAAAAATTGTTTGTCCAATCACAGAAGACATTCACTTTGCCGACCTAGTACGAGCTAAGCAACACCGTCTAAACCAATAAGAGGTTTGTAGAAAATCTAAATTGTTTTGAATAAATATTATTTTTTTTTTAGTAAAACAAACACAAAAATAATTAATCTGCTATATGTATGCGAAGAGATGCAGAAGAAGATCCGAAAAATTCAACCAAAACGTCAATTTCATCGTAATTTTGAAGAAGTAAGTTACATTTGTATATTATATCGTAACAAACAGATTTAACGTTATTAGTCGCTTTAGTAAAGTCATCATCTTGCATACTCATTGCGAGTTCACAAAGAGAAATACATTCTTCGTAAATTCTTGAAGAAGTATCAAGAACCGCCTTGAATAATTTCATTTTAGAACATATTATTTCGACTTCTGCGGATAAAACCTCTAAATCATCAATAATACTTATGAATTGAGATTTTGATTTTTCTATTCTCTTTTTTTCATTTTCAATGTATTGGTTAATAGTCAACTGACTTACTTCATTATTAAGAAGTTCATCTTTTTGCTCCTGTTTACTTCTAAGTGTTTCATTCAAAATTTTCTTCTGTTTTTGCAAGGAATTGAACTGATTCACTAATTTATTTAGTAATGGAATAAATTTCATCGCTTTCTCGATCTCGGAAATGTTGTTTATTTGCGATAATTCCGAAATCATTTGATCAGACATTTTTTCAGGATGAATCATCGAAAATGGTACTAATGATCGCAATGGATCTTTAGAGTATTGCATAAAAACAAACTTAAACTTTTCATCTTCGCTTTCAAAGAAGTCTTGATTACTGATAAGGAAATTTTTCAAAAGATCTGTTGGAATGAAGTTAGTATTCGAAAATTCTAAAAAGAATTTACGATTTTCTGAAAAGAAATTTAAAATTGGAAGCCAAAATTCTGGTGTTTTTGATAAAATTTCAAAAATTTTAGGGAAATTGTTAATAGTAATAAGTTGCGTAAATTCAGTAATGTATCTATTCTTAATGAAATCGATTTTGAGTATCGCTGCTAAGAGATAAACATCAATTATCTCATCATTTTTCATTTCCATTGGTCTGATGTAGTTGATAAAATCAATTATCGAACTTAATGCTTTTTTGGATAAGTTTTCTTTGATGTTGAAGGATTTTGCATCTGGAATTTGCTTGATGTAATCTTTAATTGCGAAACTAACTGATGAAATTGACTGTTTGTTGCAAGGGTATGACGTACCTTCCATGGTTACTATGAAATCCATAGGAAGACTTTGAAAATACATTTTTATAAAATTATCATTCAACATTTCAAAAAAATGACAAATGAATGTGACATTTATAACATAGCATCTTTTTCCCAATAAATGTCAAAGATATTTTATATTGTAAAATGCAAATAAACTGCTTGCCCTAAGGTGGATAATAGTCAATTTTTTTTTACATTTTTAGTGAGCGTAACAGAGACACAACACGCATTGAAATCACAAGATGCATGGCTTTAATGATTAGAGATGCAATAATATTGCATCTCTTTATGCTCAAACAGATCCTATTCTGAATTACCCGAAAATATTGCAACCGTTATGCATTGCTACCAAATTTCTCTACTGTCCACTTAACATACTCATGCTAGGAACTCCAAATTCTTCAACTATTTACTCTAAAAACTTATAAACGTTCATCCTAATCAAGCAGCATTTCTCCTCGAACAGACATTGCAGAAACTTACGAATAAGTAATTGTTAGTCATATCAAATGATGCTCCTTTTCAGCTACTTGTTTCTCCTATAATTGTTCTCATTAGTAAATCATAACTTTAACTTTTGGAGTTTTCTCCAAAAATAGATACTACCCATATATATCCGAGCTACCTGGATGCTAGTTTTCTTATATCTCGGATAGTGTGAAAAATTTAATTATAATATCTCATAATTTCCATTTAATGAGTTATATCAAAAATCCACTCCGTCATTTCGATTTTTTAGGTCTTTCTGGACCTTGCTGCATAATTTATTTTTATCTATTTTGTTTTGTTGTTTCTAAATAAATTATTTAAGTTGGACGAAAGGTGGACAATAGTATTGAATATGAAAAGGTGGTTATTTTTGAGAGAACTCATTGAATTCCTTTCAATATTGTCCACCTTAGGGCAAGCAGTTTAAATCACTTTTCAATTTTTTCATGTCTGATCAAGAAATTCATCCAAACGAATACAGCAAATTGTGGAGTGCCTATAAATACTACATCGATTCATACAAGGCACTATATCAGTTAAAAACAGACAAAGAAGAAGAAATAAACTCGATTTACAAAATGATCAAAACAGAATTAATTGATCTTAAGAAACATCTTCCCCAAAATATTATAAGAAACATTTTAAATATTATTCCGTTATTTGCATATTTATCTCTTGCAAAACTCATTTCTGATGAATATCATGTCCAAGATGTCTACGGTGTTCAACATATTTCAAACTTCCTATTTTATAGAGAATATGGAATTAAATTATACAAATATGAAGATTTTGAAAAAAATATATTCAAAAATCTCGATATTCATAATGAAAATACAATTTACAGAGCAATTATGCAAAATGATAAAGAAACGTTCATCACATTCACGGAAAGGGAAGGATTTGATAAAGATCAAAAACTTGAATGCGATTTATACCCATCTCGTTATGGAGGATATTCATTACTTGAATTATGTTGTTATCATGGTGCAGTTGATTGTTTCAAATTATTAATGACGAAATTTCATTCAAAAATAACTCAAACATGCCTAGAACTTTCATTTTTAGGAAGAAATGCCGAGATCATGAGTGAATGTTTGAAACATCAAAAACCTAATGATGAATGCATGAAAAATGCAATTGCTTCACACAACATTGACTTTGTTACATTCTTGATGAATGAATACAATATAAATATCAATTTATATTTTTGTGGTTATAACAATAATATTGAATCATTTTTAGTTTATTTCGATCAAACTAATGATGTTAACAAATGCCTTATTTATTCAACACTGTTTAATATTCCGCCTCTTTGCAAATATTTCCTTTCACATGGAGCGACTATTTGCAAAGATCTATTTGGAAAAACCGCTCTTCATATTGCAGCATGTTGTCATAGTAAAGAAACAATTGAAGTTCTTATTTCACATGGTGCAAATATCAATGAAAAAGATAAAAATGAACAAACTGCTCTCCATTATGCAGCATGCAATAATAGTAAAGAATCAGCTGAAATTCTTATTTCACATGGAGCAAATATCAATGAAAAAGATCTATTTGGAAAAATAACTCTTCATTATGCAGTATGGAATAAATATAGGGTGTCCAAAGGTGTGTTTAGCACAAACCTGAATACTGCGAATAGAAATAAACAAGTTACATATATATAAAGTTTATTTAAATATAATCACCATTGGATTCAATCACGCGTTCGCAGCGATCGATCCAGGCTTGAAAGACACGCTTTAAATCATCATGAGAAAATTGCTCAAATTGCTCTCTTACAAAATTTTCAAGATCATCTGGACTCGCGAATTCGCGTCCTTCAGCTCTCTTTTTTAGCGTGCCGAATAAATAAAAGTCAGAGGGTGTAATATCAGGTGAATAAATTGGGTTTGGAACAACTTTGACATTGTTTTCCACCAAGTAATTCATTACCTTATGACTTTTGTGAACTCTTGAATTATCAAAATGAATTGCAAACTTTTGTTTTTGTTGTTTGGATTTCTCAAACTCATCAGAATTGATAATTTGAGTAAGAACATTGTCAATTAGATACTGAGCATTCATCGTATTAGGTTTTTGAAGAATATCAATTGCGATGATGCCATTCACGCCCCAAAAAACCGACAACATCATCATTGGTGTGTCAATTTTTTTCTTCGGGAATGTTTGCGGATTTTTATCCTTCGGGATCCACATGATTTTGGCTTCTGTTGCATATTGAAACCAAGACTCGTCCCCTGTTACTAAAAAGCGAAACTTCTTGGATTGATACGCACCCAATATAGAGAGGAGCTCTTTCGAAGATTGGACTCTAGATTTTTTTTGAACTGAATTAAGGTTGTGCGGAACCCAACGTGTATACACTAGTTTGTAGTTCAAATAATTGTGCAGATAATAACTGACTGTTGTACGTGGTATCTTTGTCATCTCCTCTATCCTTCTGAGTGATGCTCTTGGGTCTTCATCTAGCGCTTGAAGAATTGCTTTGATTTTTCTTTGATCCGGCGATTTTTTGTCAATTTTTATGATGGGCGCCTTTTTGTTCATGAAGTGATACATCCTAACATGATACGTTACAGTGGAATAGCTAGGAGCATCCATACCGAAGCATTTTACCAATGTCTCGTAGATTTTTTTACAGTCTTTGCATTTTTTTGCAAGAGCGAGGATGTTTTCTTTATGATTCATTAAAAAAATGAAAAAAATCCCGCCAAAATTTCCCGCGAAACCGCCTCTTGTCTCAAAATTCATTTTATATCCCGGCATGGCGCCAAAATACAACATACTCATCATATACATATATTCATATTTTTTATTATATATTTATAATCAGCATATATCTCTTTTAATAGTCTCATATAGAGCGCTGTGCTAAACGCACCTTTGGACACCCTATATAATGAAATAGCTGAATTTCTTATTTCACATGGTGCAAATATCAATGAAAAAGATAAAAATGGACAAACCACTCTTCATTATGCAACATTTCAAAATAATAAAGAAATAGTCGAAGTTCTTATATCACATGGTGCAAATATCAATGAAAAAGATAAAAATGGACAAACCGCTCTTTATTATGCAGCATTTCAAAATAATAAAGAAACAGTCGAACTTCTTATATCACATGGTGCAAATATCAATGAAAACAATAATAATTGAGAAATCGTTCATCATATTGTAGTAAAAAATAATTATTAGGAAATTGGTCAACTTCTTTAAATTTCAATTGCAAATGTTTCACCATTTTCACACGATGGATATATATCAAACATCAATATTTCAATAACACAGATTTTTTGTTTCCTGAATCTTGAGAAAAATTGGATTAACTAATAAAAAATTTGAAGAATGAATTGAATTTAAAATAATCGGAATTGAATAGCATTGAATTCATATCAACCGTAATCGAAATGTTCTTTCAAGGAACATATAGAATATAAGAATATGATAAAAATAATACATTTTTATTTTTGAGAAGAAATAGATTTTTTTTCAGAAAGATAACATATTTTTTTTGACATGTGTTAAAATGATCGATCAATAAGGTATAGTAGTGCGGAACACTCGTATGTCCCAGAAAAAGCTGCTTATATATCTAAAATGAAGTCCATTCTATAATTTTATGCAATTTTTAACGAGTGAAAATTTGGAATCATCAAAATTTATAATGACACTATATGATTAACATCATACTACATATCTACATCAGTAATCTAAATCCGATGTTACATTTAGAATTCGTAATAATCAAATTTTTAGGGTATTATATCTTTGCCTTCTAGATATTTTTTGCAACATAATAATAAATAATTAACATATTGAAAATGGCAAAAATATCGAAGAATTTTCATTGATTAATATTTGATTTTTTGAGATATATTTGAATATTCAAATTTAGGATGCACATTTGACAACAATTGCATATAAAAGACTATTCTGTTATACATTTATGGGTTTTGAAATAATAATTAATTATTCCTGGAAAATATGAAATTGTCATCTATTGATGATAACCCAAATTTGACGATATGAAATTGCGATGCAAAAAGTTATTCCCGATTGCTTTTCAGAAAAAATCAAAAATTGAAAACGATCGCGATTTTTAAATAATGAACTAATTTTTGATTGACGAACATTTAATATCATCCCATAAGCATTATTTTTTATCACTGGTGCTAATTTCAAACTTTTTGTGTGAATTCAAGTAATGTCAAAAATTAATCTTACATTTTATAATATAATTTTAATGTTTATCATAAATATTAAAGTTATTTTGATATTTGAATTTTAAGACAATTCTATGAGTCAGCTCTTTTGAGATTGAACTGATTGCAAAATTTGGATTGCAATTCAATTTACAAAAAAAATTAATTAATGCACTATAAGTCCTATTTCTTTTTCTTTAATTTTTAGATTTGATAATATTCTCAAAAATGATATAATTTTTTTTATTTCAATATCATTTATTTTTAATGAAAGTTTCTGGATTTTCCGATGAATACCTGCTATCTTCAAGCGAAGATGATTTTGATGAAGATACTGACAAAAAGAAACATAATTTGTTCACAAAAGAAGATGATGAAAAGTTAAAAGATATTGTCGAAAAACATTATAAAAATGATTTGAGAAAGATCAATTGGAGTTTTGTTGCATTCCAGATGTCAAACAAGAACAAGCGTCAATGCAAAGATAGATACATCAATTATCTTCGCGATGGAATAAACGCTGGAAAATTCAGTCCAGAAGAAAACTATCTTCTACTCTGCAAGGTTGAGGAGATTGGACATAAATGGAGAATGATTGCCAAATTTTTTACAAACCGTTCAGACATCATGATTAAAGCTCAATATCGTAAATTGATGCGTCGCCATGCAACCAAAGAGAATGTAATGTATATCGATGCTGATACTCTTAGGAAATCAAGAAACAAAAGAAAACATTCTCACGAGAATAAAAATCATGAAAAATTTGAAAATAGTTCAAAGAAAGAAACAATTCATTATAACGTTGAGATTAATGATATCAATCCATTTGACGCAGTATCATTTGATAATTGCATTTTTGAGGCAGAATTGGATGATTTTTCAATTTTTGAAGATTTTATTTGAATTTTTGTTGTTATTTAATTAAACATATTGTATTATTTCAAATTCAGATGTTTAAGAAGAGTACACGAAAAATTTTGTAAAGTTTTGTGAATCAAATTCCTATTGCCAATTTCCATCTTTATTTTATCATTTCAATATGACAAAACAATACTCTGATCAATATTATAAACGTAACCCATGGCATTTTTGGCTTGATACTTAGGATTTTAGTTATATTTTTTACAATTTGGTTTTTATTCTCTAAACAAATCAAACATTTACTACTAACTTATAAAAATGATGATAAACGGACAGATATCGAATAACGAATTTTTCCAATAATTGATGCGAAATGAACATAATATATCAAGAGGATTTCCATTACATATTGATACTGGATCACAAACAGCACCAAATAAATCTAAATATTGAATAACAACAAAATTGATCGATAAATCAAATTGATCAATTCTTATTGAACGATAAATTCCTGGTCTAACAGGGATTACAATCGGCTTTGACTTATTGAGATAGCTTGGATCTTCATTTTTAAAAATTGTTATTGAATGGTTCAACTCTGTTGTTGCTGATATAGAAAAATTAGTTGCATATTGCCATGGTTTAGAAACCAATTTAGGAGTATATGAAATATGAGTTAGATATAATAAATATTTGAAATTTACTTCAATCCACATTGTATTATATGCACCACAATAAAATTGGGAATAGTCGTACGAACTATTAAGCAGTGCAGTATTATATATGTATGTGTATGTACCTTCTGGTTCGAATCTACTTGAATTTACAGAAAAGATTGACTGATCATTCGGATACAAGTGTCTAACGATTCCATTTACAGGTCCATCAATCCTTGGAATAAACTTTTGTATATAGACCAGTTACCTTTTAAAAATTGAGTGTTTCCCTGATTTTTTTAACCCCAGTTTAAGGTTGTCAGTTTTTTGAAGAATGAAAAATGGATATGTTTGAAAAAAACGGTGCATATTCAATGTATCCATCAGCAATTTTTCTTGAAATAGAATAAATCATAGATATAAACATAACCAAATCCAGTATTAATGAATTCGCATCAAAAATGCATCAAACACAGGATAAAATCATAATAATTTTTGGTCATCAAAATATATCAAAAAGTGACATGAATTAGGGAAAATGCCTTGGTTTTCAACTAAACTTATGAACAAATCAATTGAATTAAATCCTATGGTTGGTTGGAATTTGTTGTTGATTAATTTAGAATGGATAAATGTCCACCATAAATTTATGCAGAATTACCAAACAGAATGAAACAGAAGCACACACAATTTGGAAAATAGCAATCAATGTTGGTGCTTGTAAAATCGAATGTGAGTATCATTTAAGAAAGAAATAGAAATGGAATTTGATATGAAAGCCAAATAACATAAAGAAATATGTAGTGCTCAGATAGCAGAAACAGATGTTATGGCTCAAAATGCTGCGTATATTGATAAAGAAAGTGATACAAAGAATAGCTTTCTGTTTGATAATTTCGAAGATTCTAAGAATGATCCATTTTTCTAGCATTAATTAAGTTACCACTAGTATTACATGCTATATTTTTATATTTATGTCTAAATTTTCTCATTTTCTAAAATTAATTTTGATATTTTTTTTGTAATAGATAATTGACTTCGCTTGTATTAGCTAACATGACTATTTGAAAGCATTTGATTTCATTTAGTCTCATTTCTCATTCAAATTTGATGGAAAAAAACCTCCAAACAATTTTTTTCCGGTCTCTAAAAAAAAGGATTTATTTTTTTTTTAGAATATGGCTGATTTTACTTCTCCTCAGTATTGCTTAGAACAAATAAAAGCAGCAACTAATTTAACACAAGATAATGCATCTTCGGCCACAGAAAATATTGTCTTTTTACTTGAATATTGCCCAATTGATACATTAACTAACTTAGCTTCATTTTTACTTTCAGATAACGAGGAGATTGCAACCAATGCAATCGCCCATGCATCATGCATCTACATGTGCCAGATTATTGGCGATCCAAGAAAATCAAAAGCTCAAGAATTTTGGAAGCAGCTTTCTGATCAGACAAAAGCCCAGTTAATATCAGCAGCTCAGCGTAGCCTACTCTTTACGAACAGTGTTGGCCTCCAAGGAGCTTGTTTATTAGCGAAAATTTTCAATTATGAGCCAGTCCAAACGAACCTTGCAGAATACATCAAGTACATCCTTACAGACAAGAACTTCACGGAAGAGCATAAGAAGTCAGTTTACGCTTTAATTCTTGAGTTATCTTATCCATCAAATGTAACACGAACAGATGAGAAATCAGCGTTAATAGAGAGGATCCTATTAGACACAGAAGAATTTTTCATGCAGAATTTCGCGGAAATGCTAAATTACGATCAATCCTACCAAGTTGCTTTCCTCCAGATGTTCAATGCATACATAGCCATGATCAGACCAGAAAACATCGCCGGAGTTTACAAGCCAATCTACGATATCGCTGAAGCACAATTATTCCCGAATATACAAGACGACGTTGTCTTTCTTGAGCTCTACAGGTTACTTTATTCGATGCTGATCAACATCTACGAAGAAGATAACTTCGACGAGCTTCTAGAAAAAGAAAGATTTATTATGTGCGGAGTGAATGGTCTTTCATGCAATCCACCACTTCTTACACAAGTCCTTACCTTCTGGCTCTACGTTTTCAAGTTCGAACGCGACATTTTGAAGCAAAACAGAGAAATTTTGAAATTTAGAAATTTTTATTCGGAACTGATCAAAAACAAGGAGCCAAATTTCCTCAAATTACCAGAACCACGCAGATTCCACAATATTACTGATGCAGCCGCCAATGAAATAATTGATATTTTATTTAATCTCATAGTTCCTGATCCAAACGCCACAGATCCAGAGGACAGGAATGATCCAGACATCCACATGTGGTGTTGTGAGATTTTGTCCGTTCTTGCCGATACTTATCCACCATGTTTAGAAAAAGTTAAAGATTTTTGCATCCAAAACTTAGATGATGAGAAATGGGAAGTTCAACACGCCGTTGCCGTTCTTCCTTTTGTTTATTGCCAAGATGATGTTGTAGACAAGTCATCTGCCTACAGAGCTTTCATATTATCAATGATTCCTAAGTTGATTGAACATCTACAAAGCGAAGAAACTCCAATCAGATTAGTTGAAACAGCAATTTATACTTTGACATGTATTACAAAGTATTTTGCTATTTTTTCATATGGACAAACAACAAATATGGAATCATTGATGCAAGGATTTATGATACAATACAACAGACATCCACAAATAGCAATAAGAATCATGGGATTTGTAAATGAAACAATGAAATTCCCTCCGAAAATTGATGAAAATTCAAAATTTGACAATTTCATTATTGCTCTTCATGAAGCTATTAAAGAGGCATATCCACAGCTGCAAGGTGTTATTCGTGTTAACTACAAGATGTTGTATCTTTACATGGTGAAGATTTCAAAGTGGGATAATGATTACGAGAAATTGAAATCAATGATTGAAACGATTTTTTCGAATTTGCAACAGTTGTCAATTGCCGCATTTGATGGCTCTATGGAAATGTCATTGAGACATACGAATACTCAATGTAATTTATGGTTGTTGACTTCTCTTTTCAGGAGATATAAAGATCAGCTTCGTGAAATTTCTTCTCCTGCAGCCGCAAAGTTATTTGAAATGTTGAAATCTTCTGAAGATATGCAAGAAGAAATTTTGGAATGTTTGTTTACGATTATCAACGCATTGCCGCAAGAAGATAATGAAACACAGGATAGAATTATTGAGTATATTCCTATTGCTATTGGTTCGAATTCACCAAGATTGGCTGTGATGTCTTTAACAGCACTTTCTTATTTGTTGAAGAATTTGGGTGAAAGAGGAAGTTTGATTTTCGATGCTTCTTTGAATGAAATCTTTTCTTTGCTTGATAATGTTTCTTTCCCTGTTTTCTTTAAATCTGAATTGTTGGCCGCTCTTGCAAGAGTTCTCGATGTCTACAAGGAGAAAATAAGTATTCCTGACATGGAACAACTGTTTTCTAAGTTGTATTCTTATATCTCAATCGATTGGGGTGAATACTTGGAAAACCAGGAATTGCTGATGAATGAAATGTATGATTCAATTTACAAGTGCTACACAGCATTGATTTCTACTGATCACGTTAGAGAATTGTATATGGATAAACCTTCATTGAGAAAGTTCTTCAAACGATTGGTAATGCCACTGAGAGCTTACGCAGGTCAGGTAAATGACATGAGTTTGGAAACAATTGAATCAATCGCACAATTCCTTGACAAAATGAGACAAATGTTTAATAGACAGGCAAATATTTACTTGAACTATTTCTCTAACTATTTCATCATTATTTGGGGAATGGTGCAGACACAGAACCTTCAGACTTCTAAGTACGAAAGTTTGAAGAATATTCTCAGGTTGTTAATCCAATCTTAAAATTTTGTTTTATATATATAAAATTTTTTACTGACATTCGCTCTCAATTTTTTTGACGAATTTGATGCAAAACTTATAAACTGATAATTTGGGGTGATAATGAAATGTTTTGAGGTGCATTTTATCTTTCATTCCCATTAGAATGTGCCAAAAATATGAGATCTTGTGAATTTAACCTAATATTGGACATTTTCTAAATGACATTGAATGTTACAAAATACTAATTGTACATCAGCGCATTGCAGCTCACAATTCTAAATTTGCAAGTGTTGTTATCAAAATTTGTTTTGAAATGAAATTTCATTGATATATTTTCATAATCATATAACAATGAGAGTATTTTTAGTCTAATTTTCGATTTTAATTTTTTTTTCAGATTTTTTGTAAAGTTACGATATTGTAAAAATCGAATCAGTGGATGAATCTGAATTTCGAATACATTGCTGCTCATATCAGTGATTATATTGAAAACGAAAACTTTTTTGATACATTCGATATGGAGGCTATCAAAACAATCATGAAATATTCACGTTTGACAGCTGATCAGTACATTACTCTTCTCAAACAGTCTTCACCAACTCTTAATTCCAAAGAATTATATATCGGTACACGAAAAGCAAATGTTACTATCGAAAATATTGAAGAAGTCATTTCAATTCTTACCTTCGTCAAAAAGTACATGAAATTCCATATATTTGATGGAATCATTGATTTTCTCAAAGAAAACGACAAACACATGGGTGATTCTACAGAAGAAATCAAAAAACCTCAAACAGAAATAAAAACATTACAAAATCAAATACAAAATGTTTCCAAAGAAACTACAGTCACTCGAACTAATGAATCTCACAACTATTCTGAAGAATTTTTAACCAAAATCTCATCACTTAAGAAAACAAAAGATTTTGATAGTGTTTACAAATTCTTTGAAGAACTTTCTTCTGAAGATAATCACGAAATGATTTCAAAGGCTTGTGAAGAAGGTCTTTGGTTAAAAAAGACAAAATTGGATGAAATGAATGTACTTCATGTTGCAAGCCAAAAAGGAAATCTTAAACTTGTCAAATCACTCATTGAATGTGGCTGTGATAAAGAAGCAAAGAATAAATATGGAAGAACTCCACTCATGTATGCATCATGGTATAATAATCTTTCAGTTGTTAAATATCTTATCTCAGTTGGAGCTGATAAAGAAGCAAAGAATAAATATGGAAGAACTCCACTCATGTATGCATCATGGTATAATAATCTTTCAGTTGTTAAATATCTTATCTCAGTTGGAGCTGATAAAGATGCAAAGAATAAATATGGAGATACTGCACTCATTTATGCATCAGAAAAAGGTCATCTTGAAGTTGTTCAATATCTTATCTCAGTTGGAGCTGATAAAGAAGCAAAGAATAAATATGGAAAAACAGCACTCTCATATGCAAATAGTAATGTCAGCGATTATCTAAAATCTATTGGAGCCAAATAACATAATCTAATCTGATTGGATAATTATATTAAAATTAACAATATTCTTATTTCCAATCTATTTTTCATATGAATATTGTTTGTTCTTCATTTAAAGTTACCATAAATTGATGTTATGCAATATCGAGTATTTCTCATCACTTCATTTTTAGTAAAGATATTAATGATATTGAAATATATATTAGTAGAGTATATACTAAAGTTTTTATTTCTATGATATTGAAGTCTTGAAAACTTCCAGTATACAGAAAACTACTTCGCAATTTTCGAACTTGTTTCCCATGAATTTAATTTTAATGACAAGCATATCATGTGATTTTAAGTCCGATTGAGGTGAATAAAGTTTGGCGATCTATAGTGTAAACACACTTTCGGGCAAGCGTAGCCACCTTCGGCAATATATATATATATATATTGATTATAGGAGTTCATCCAAACTCTCTGAAGTTTTTGGATAACTTTAACGTCATTTGTTTGGAAAAGCAAATATAATGAATACCAAACAACGGACTTTTTGTGAATTTGGATGATAATTAAATAATAAATCTAAAAATTGGAATTTCTCAGATGAAAAAACTGACAAATGAAAAATTTACTGAAAGAATTAGATATTTTCGATAAATTTGCAGATGCTGAATTTGCATTACATACAATTGGAGGCAAATTTATGTCAGCTATATTCTCCATCATTGCTGTTATCTTAATTTTTGCAGAATTATTCAATTATACAAAACCAATCGTTTACCGTGATCTATTAAATATTCCACAATTGGATAAAGACAACACAGTTAATTTTACATTTTCAATTCAAGTAGCTTTACCATGTTTCTTTTTACATTTTGATGCACTCGATAGTATTGGTGTAGAAATGCTTGATGTTTCGAATGATATCAAGTTCAAAAGGATGTCTGTCGATAATCGCTTTATAGATTACAGCAACGAGTCTTTAAAGGATATTTGTCTACCATGTCACGGATTAAAGCCAGAAGGTGAATGCTGCAATACATGTGATGAAGTAAAGGCTATTTTCGAGGCAAGAGGTGAAGATTTTAACCCACTTCCTTTCGATCAATGCATGGGAAATGTTAATTTCAAAAAAGATATGTCAGAAAGCTGCCTGATTGAAGGAACAATACATACGTTCAAATCACCAGGACAATTCCATATTGCTCCAGGCCGTAATACTAAGTTTAGGAGAACAGGACACCAACATGATACTGGTTTATCGCCAGAAGCAAGTTGTCCGCACACAATACACGAGTTTTATGTTGGACAGAAGTATGATAACGTCAGATCGCCTATTCGTGGAAAGATTTTCAGAGATCGCGATTCATTACCTCGAATTTACCTTTACGATCTATTTATTACCAAAGTTTTACATACATTCAACGATGCTCTACAATATACATCATACGAATACTCCTACAATTTAGGCGCAAAGATATTTAACCCAGGATCTTTCTATCAACCCGGAATTTACTTCAAATACATGTTCTCTCCTATGACCATTGTCGAGAGATCCATATCCAAGAACCCAATGAGGTTTTTGGTCACATCTGTTGGAGTTTTGGCTGGAATTTTCGCATTTCTGAATGCTGTTGGCGGAATGATGGCCAAGATATGTCCAACTGAAGGACCACGCGTTCCAGAGGCTTTGAAATAATTACTTTTTTATTTATTATTATTATTTTTTTTTGTTTAATTAACCTGATTGATTTTAAAGAGGATTTATATAATAAACACTACTCTCAATTGAAAATATATGATTGCAATTGTTGCAAATACCCAATTCTGCTCATGAGATAAAATTTATCTCGCGCGTTCAATAAAAATATATTCAGGAGTATTCCTCAATTCAAGATCACTCCATTATAGCTCCATTGAGACAAGTGAAAGGGTTTTTAAAAAAAAAAAAATTCACATAAGCCTATTTTCCTACGTAAAGTCTCTCTATAGTTTTTCTGCCTCAATATTGGGTGAATCTCTATCAAAAATTTGAATAAGAGACTTTAAGGAGGAAACAGAGTTTAGTATTTTTTTTTAGAATCGAGTTAATTTTTTTATTTGGTAAAATGCCATTTTAAAACGTTATATAGTATATAATATATTAAACTAAGACATATACTAATGTTATGAGAAGAAGTCAGAAAGAGATGAGTGCATCCATAAGTCATCAAAACACTGTTTTCACTTTTTTATTTTGTAAATTAAAATTCTAGGATAATATAAATCATATCAAAACGAGATTTCAACAGAATAATATTCTAAAAAGATTTAGTCATCACCCGGATACCAGAGATAATGCTCCAAATCATAAATTATTCTTCGTACGTCTTGAGATGCAATATTATTGCATTCCAATGCATCTTCTCTTTCATAATACTGGTTTCGTGTTTTTGGATCAAAAATGAGTTTTTTAAACATTTCTGGATCATCGACAGCATATTGAAGAGGAAACTTCGAATTATTATCCCTTTTTCTGATTCTACTGGTTCTCTCTATGAGTGCTAATGCGGTTTTGACATTACCACTTATTACTGCGTAATGTAGAGGTAATTTTCCTTCATCGTCGCATATTTCAGTACAATTGTCAAAAGGACATAACAATTGCTTTGTTATGCTTTTAATACCACTTTCTGCTGCATAATGAAGGGCTGTCTTCCCTTCATCGTCACGTATTTCGGAATTTATATTATTATATAAGAGTTCATTTAAAAATTCTATATTATCATTAATTGCTGCATAATGAAGGGCCGTCTTCCCTTCATTGTCTTGTTTGTTGACTATAGGTCCTAAATTATCAAATATATAATCACACCATTCAAAATGAAAGTGTTCTGCAGCATGATGAAGAATAGTTTTTCCATTATCATCTATGAAATTGAAATCTACATCATGAGAATCAAAATCATAGATAAGAATTGCTTTTGCACTGTTAAGAAGTCCTTGGTATTTTTTATCTAAAATTTTAGGCAAAAGAGAAAAAGTAATTTTATATAATGCAGAAAAAATAGTTTTCTGATCAACGATTAAATAACATGTTTTAGCAATGAATCCCTCTATATCATTTGATTGATCATAATGAATAAAAAATGCTTGAATGTTTTCGTAATTAATGCATTGGTTGACGTCAATTGGAATATTATGTTGGTTCATTAGAAATGTAACAAAATCGATGTTATGAGACATAATTGCATATTTCATGCATTCAGCATTTGGTTTTTGATATTTCAAACATTCACTAATAATATCAGGATTTCCTCTAAAAATGAAAGTTGAAGACAAACATCTGTGATTTCTGAAGAGAATGCTGATCTCAAAAACTTGAAACAATTAACTGAACCGTAATAACAACATGTTTCAAGGAGATTTAATCTATTTTTCACGCATGGAAAGTAAGAAAAGTCTATCTCTTGAGCATGAGAAAATTCATTTTGTTCTGCAATAGGAGCAAGTAATTTCACGTCATCATGAATGATTGATTTTAATAAGTTACTGATTTTAAATTGATATGGTTTAGTTACTGTAATTCCAAAATATTTCTGTAGAATGTGTTCTCCAAGAGATGAATCAGATTGGCTATTTAAATCTGAATACTTTTGGTAAAACTTTTGCATTAAAGTCAAATAAGACATAATATAACGATTGTTCGCTTGTAAAGCCCTTGAAATTGCTTGAAGAATGCTAGATTTATGACAACTGCTTAAATTATTATCAAGTTCTTTGAAAAAACCATTGATTTCGTCCGCACTTGTTATCTGTAGTCTATACAATCTATGAAAAACATCATTAGATTCTTTGACAGAATTCATTAGTGTGTCATATGGGAATTTACTCATGAAAATGATAAATTTTTTTACGAAAAATTTTTGAGAAAAAAAAATAGTCGGATTTTTAAATTTTGGATTCACTTTTGCATACGATGAATTGTTATTTTTAAATTTTGGATTCACTTTTTCATATATGAACAAAGTTTTCTGACATGTAAATTTACTATTAAAAACGATTATTCAAAGAGTATACTTTTGACATTTTACATGACATTTTTTCTAATTTCGAAGGTAATGAGTATTTTAGAACACGATCCATCACTTCGATTTCTTGTTGATGCATATGTAAATCAAAGAAATCCTCCTAAAGAAAAGCTTGTTGCTGAATTAGGAAAACTAAGGATGGGTTTTTCGTATAATTGGCTTGAAAAGTTCAGAGATTCGAATATAAATCAATCTCTTGCAGTTGTTTTAAATGCAATATTCAGATATGCAGATCATTCCGAGCCAACTGTTAGGATTGGCGCTTACAATGCTTTAGGCGGATTATTAATGTGCGTAACTCCATTCATTTCACACGAATTTACAGAATCATTCAATAAAGCAGTTGCTCCATTACCTATTTCACCAAAAGTATCCATTGCAATCATTAATACATTCGTATATTTAACAAGATTTATTTCTCCTGTTCGTATCAATGATTTCGTTTCAAAAGTACAAGTATCAACTCATTTTAATGTCGATATGACAGAAAATCTTAAATATTTACCACAAATCATCCCATTAATGACAAATTTACCTTTAGAATTCCATCAGAACATTTTGAGATCGTTGGTCTTCAAATGCGGTAGAAACCCAAATGCCGCATTTGTTTCATGTGTCGTTAGCTTAATTGACTGCAAAAATCAATTATTAAGTTTGCTAGAGCAATTTATACAAGAAAACAACTTATCAATATGCGCAATATGGTTAGGACCACAGATACTATCGAATAGAAAAAATTACGATGCTTTATCCGAAAAAGGAAAACATTTATTTATTGACGCAGCTCTTGAAGAGTTATCAAGAGAATCTGCAACCAATCTATCAGTTTTCGAAAGCTCCTGCATGATTTGCTCATTACATCTCAATTATATCAAGGGAACTCCTGAATATGATTCGTTTTACGAGAAAATCCGACAATTTACACAAAAACAATATTCGTCTGTATACAAAGTTAGGTTGTTTTTGCTTCCTACACCTCTAGAAGAGCTAAAAGACGATGCAAAGGATAATGATCAGATAAAAGCAGCGAAATTGCAAGCAATTGCATCATATTTCGAAGCTAACGAAAACTGTGATGCAGATGTCATTGCAGAAATGCTTTTAAAGTACAAAAATTCAGAAAATGATTTATATTGTGTCTTAATTGAGTCATTTGCCAGATGTATCAAAGGAATGTTAAGGAGATGCAAGAAAAGACTTCATTTACAACTCCTTGAACTCATTTTGAGGACGAAAAATAAAAATTGGGTTCATGATGAGGCCGTAACTAAGGTTATAGACGAAATAGAGCCTAATTTGATACCGAGATATGTTGATCTTGTTGTTGATAGGCTCATTGAGTTCTCTTTAAGCTCAAATGAAAGATTATGCAAATCTGCAATTAAATCTTTCGTCAGATTCTCATCTTATTCGAATATTGACATGATACTTAACCGTCTGATGTGGAGTGACTGGATAGACGACCTTGTTTGCGAGAAAAGATTCAAATTATTATCAAAATTAGCGAAATACTTCAAAACTCCACAGTTTTCTTATTTCGTACAGATCGCATATGAAGTATTAGAGCAATACGATGACACACGTGTTACTCCAAATGCTTTTCTCTTCTTAAGTCGCGTTCCAGAAAAAATTATTCCGGACAGGGTCAGAGAATACACATTTAGATACATAGTTAAGTATTGGCAGCAGTATACACAGTCCTCTGTCGACTCATCTCTCAAGAAATACGTAGATAAGAGTATTGATACTCCATTCTTAGACAGTATCGACACGGATATAGTATCAAACCCCGTATTAAGCCACAAGAAGGCACTCAGACATATCAGAAATGCTTTCTTGTTCATGTGTAGCTTATCAACCGATCAAATCAGGGATATCAACTCTCTTTTCATGATTTCCTTGAAGCTTATACCCGTATTCGACATAATAGCCCTTGAAGAAGCCATTCTGATGTATAATGCCAACCCGAATAATTTTAATTTGTTCTGGGACATGAACCAGTACTTGCTGATGACCACTTCCGATGATACAGTTGCTGCCAGTTGCCTTTCCCTCATTATAAGGACCGGAAAACCCATTCCTGAGAATATTCAACAGATTGCCAGAGCTTTTTTGGACGATGACGTGATAGAAAACACTGATCTCTTCTTCTTCTCGTTCGTCATCATGGACATGATCGACCACGAGTTCGCAATGGCCTCAGTTGACAAACTTTTGAAGAGAATCACAAAAACTTCTCAAATTTCTTTACTTTACAGATTATTACACGTATCAGGCCAATCAATTTTACCAAAAATTTCGGACGATAAAGCTCTCGCTTTCATTGAATATTCTAACGAACAAAACGGCCGATACGATGAAAAAATTGAGAATTATCTCAAAGAAAATACAATCACGGAATGGTTAATAAATGATGTGCCAATTAACCGCAACTTAACGGTTTTCTTACAAAGGAAAAGTGAAGTGAAGTGGCATTTGACAAAATCTGACACTTTCACTTCACTTCACTGGGAATATATATTTTCGCACAGGGATAATTTTGATTTAGAGAATTTAATTGAGTACATCAAAGAAAACCGTCGAAAATTCAATACTTTTGACATTTGTGATTTAATTGATGAAAAACCGAAAGAAAAAACATTTAATTTGACAAAAATAGAGAACACGAAATTGAGTACTGTTTCTCCTATTTTAGGATTAAATGTTTTTGTGAAAGAAATCTCTTTATTAAGGTCATTCTACGAAAACAGGAATTCACAAGTTGACTCCAGTTTATTCATGAAAAGTTTCGAATATTTCGAACTGAATTTCGACATAAAAGGAATGAAAACTCTTCTGGATTTCGCAAAAAGAGTCAAACAACCTCTGGATTTGTCAATAATCCAGAAACACATGATTGTACTGACAGATAGAATTTTTGGTAATTTCATTCAATGTTTTGCTGGAAACGGTTTTGTAAATAATCTATCGTCCGAAATCAAAGAAAAAATTGAGAGAAAACTTGGTCAAAAAATTGACAAAAACTTGATTTTGTATTACACTAAAAACAAAAACATTGCGGCTTTTGTCGATGCAGACCCTGTTTATTTCTTAGATTTCTTCAAAGACGAACCAGATTTCAAGGTAAAACAAATTCCGCCACTTTTATCGTTCCTTTCAAATCCACTTTTCCCAATTGACTTCATTTTTGACTTTTGTTTGAGGATGTTTGTGATTTTCCCTGACATGACGTCTTCTAAGAAGAAATCCGCTTTCACAAGATTTTTGTTGATGTGTTGTGAAGCTGTCAAAACCGAAAAAACCGCCCAACAAAAATTTTTCATTTTTATCAAACAAAATTTGCCAAATTTGATTCAAGTTTGTTCTGATAGTTGTTATTTAGATATCTTTAGAATTCTCAAGTATTTGATACCATTTTTGGATAGTAACAATTTACCAAGTTACTTCACAAACGCGATTTCTCTTCCTTATAATTCTATTTTACTTCCTCTGTTTATTGAATTACTTTTTACGGTTTCTCTCAAAAATATGACAACATTTAATTTGACGCAGAGTTACATTGAGAACTGTTTCAATTATTCGAACAACAGAGCATCGACAATTGCCGCAATTATGAGATCTTTGAGTTTGTTAACTGATGTTACTTTTCCTAATAATAACATGACACTATCTTTGAAAGTATTTCCGATTTTGTTTAATTATTTCGGATTGATTGAATTGAATTTCTTGTTGTCGCAGAATTTTTCGGATTTAGTTTATTCTCTTTTGACGAATTCGAATTCTAATTTAGTTCCAACTAATTTTTGTGACAAAATCAAAGTCAAATTTTTATCTGACAAAAGAAAAGCATGCATTTGTTATTGTTTAGAGTTTTTAGTTCATCTTGGAATAAGGGATATAGATTTGATCAAATACTTGTTCTCTCTTCCTTTCGATAATGAATATCTCATGAATTCGATTGAAGAAAGCTATGGATTGACGTTGCAAATAACTACTGATGAAAACTCAATAAGATCAATCAAAAACATGTTTATTTCTCTCGCGTCTGAGAGATTTGTTTCGTATCCGAACGCGAGATTGGGAAGATTCTTATTGTCTGTTTTACAAAGTGCAAAACATTTGGATGTTCCTCAGTTTTTGTTTAATAATTTGTCAAAGAAATCAAGAGATTTTGTCACTTTGTTTTCTGTTTTGGGAGTTTTCTTGAATCAGCAGAAGTTTTCTACTGAAGAATGCGCAAAATGTGTAGATATTGAAGCATTTAAGTTGCAGAGTAGAAGTCAGTCAATGATGTTGATTTGCTCTGGAAGTAAAGAGAATCACGGACTGGCTTTCGAAATTGCTGCTTCTGAAACAGAAGATGTTTCAATGATAACTCAAGAATACGAGAAATTCTTACATCCACAATAATTTTTTATAGATTTATTTTTATAATAAAAATTCTATATTTTTTTACTTCAATATTTAATATTGTATTTTTCATGTGATGTAACTGACATAGAACAGTTATTCATTCAATTTAATAATGCATTTTTCTTACAATCTCTCAATTTTCTTGACAATCCAAACTTGATATCTCAATTTTCTAAGGAAAAACATTGATATTTTTGGTTGGATAAAAGTTAGAACTTTTTTTGTTATTATTAAAATAGGGTTTTATTGTGTGAATGAAAGTTTGAAGTGATTACTTCTTTCACATGACTTGATTATATCGTGTAATAATAACAAAATAGAAAGATGAGTCATATTAATATTTAAATATTTCAATCGTGAAAAATTCTCATGCACCTTTATTTTCTAATTCAGCTATTATGTTTGTTCTATTGTAAAAACATAATTATTACTATGATATTTTTTTTGAACAAAATAATGTTATAAAATTATAGTTCGTTTGCATAATATTTAAAGTACCTATCAAATGAATAATCGGTGGATATAATTCATAAATCTTTACCTCTTTTAATTTAAAGTTAAATTATCGGTATCGTTATTGTTCAATTGAAATCTAAAAGTGGCATTTTTTACAAAGACAAATGAAATAGATTATTAAGTCATACTATAGAAATCAATACTATCCTTCATATGCTTTTATTAAATCTGAAGCTTTTTCCTATTTTGTCCAAAATTGTTTATTCTACGATCTTGAAAATAGAGCTATATTCATCTCCCAATCAAAATCTTCTTTGGTTAGTCTTACATCTGAATTCTGTGTATTCAATAATTGCTCAAGCATGGAAACTACTGGAGGATCAATTTTCTTTGAAAAATATGGAAACGTTCTCATAAGACTTTGCTGTTCCTTTGGCAGTGAATTGCATAATACTAAAACTTATGGTCGTGGACTATTTTCAAATTTAGAAATCTCAAATGATTTGAATCACTATTCAATATTTTCAGAGAACTCAATTCAATTTTCTAAAGGAAATCCTCAATGGGATCCGACAGTAGCTCATTTCCAAAATGGATGCAGTACAATATATAATACAAATATATCCAACACCGTTGACTGTTTTGCTGAATCATCATATGGAATTAGAAACTCGATTTATTCATCAGTAAAATTGTGCACTTTTTCAAATAATCATGCCTATGCATGTAATTCATTGTATCACCAAAATTTTAATAATACAATATCATATTGCAGTGCAATAAATAATTCAATTGTAGGCAGCTCTGAAGGAATATTTACTTTATATGACGGTGAATTAAATATTAGCAATTGTGTGATAAGAAAGAATTCGGCAGGGAATTTATTATGGACTCATAATGGCATTATTCATGTGTCATCTTCGTTTGTTGAGATTGGAAATATGAATTTGATGAATGCAACAATTTATGATAATATTGACACAACATATATTCTTGGTATTCCTCATTTTAGTACAGCTCAATGCTTTGCCGAAATTGCCATTTCATATCAAACATTAACACCCAATATATCTATATTCTGCAGAAAAACCTCACAAGTTCCATTATTATTTATCTCAATCTTTATTCCTATTTTGCTTTAAACATTGAATATTACCCATATAATTTCTTATTTTTTCATGGATTTGTCGCTTAACATCAGATATCTGTGAACCAATTTAGTTTAAAAAGGCAATCAATATCCTCTCATTTTTGAATCCTAATACCCCACTTGTCAGAAATTTAAATTAAAGTCGGAGAGGCGTATGCGCTGCCTTAATTCTTTTATATTGACTCTTTTGAAATAAAAAATGGCATATTGCATCAATGACGAACCATAATGAATCATTAATTCATATTATCGAAGCCATTATTATAGCCCTTATACTTTTGAGAGATCCCAGGCTTTATCATATTATGTCCATGATTGCATTTTTTCCGAGCTCACAAACAGAGCAATATGAGTTAATCAATCGAAATCATCTCTTGTCTATCTCACATGTGAGTTATGCGTTCTCAACAATTGCTCGACGTTCGATTCAGATGCAGGAGCAGTTCTTTTTAGAGACTTAGGAAGTATTCTTATCAAATATTGTTGCTCATTTAGTAGTTGCATTTATAGCACGATGCCTGCGAATACATATCGTGGACTTTTTTCAAGGATAGTGATTTCAAATGATTTGAATCATCATTCAATTTTATCAGAAAATTCAATTCAATATTGCCAAGGCACTCCAGATATTCCATCATCAGTAATTTTTCAATATGGATGCTGTACAATGTATTGCACAAATATATCTAACACCATCAACTACTTTGCTGAATCATCTTATGACATTAAAAGTACAATTTATTCGGCGTAAAATTATGCACTTTTACAAATAATCAAGCAAATACATGTAATTCAGTTACATACAAATTTAACATAAATAACACCATATCATATTGTAACATTATGAATAATTCTGCGACAAATTTATTTTGGACAAGAAATGCTGTGATAACTGAAACCATTGAATCAATTTATATTCTTGGAATTCCTCATTTTAGTTCAGCACAATGTTTTGCAGAAATTGCCGCTTCCTATGAAACATTAACTCCTCTTTTTACCGCATTATGCAGATGCAATTCTCATGTATCTTTAATTTCTAATTTAGATATTATGTTTGTTCTATTGAAAAAGGCATAATTATTACTATGATTTTTTTTGAACAAAATAAGGTTATAAATACATCGACTAGATATTTTCCCATATTAATATTTAAAGTACCTATCAAATGAATAATCGGTGGATATAATTCATAAATCTTTACCTCTTTTAATTTAAAGTTAAATTATCGGTATCGTTATTGTTCAATTGAAATCTAAAAGTGGCATTTTTTACAAAGACAAATGAAATAGATTATTAAGTCATACTATAGAAATCAATACTATCCTTCATATGCTTTTATTAAATCTGAAGCTTTTTCCTATTTTGTCCAAAATTGTTTATTCTACGATCTTGAAAATAGAGCTATATTCATCTCCCAATCAAAATCTTCTTTGGTTAGTCTTACATCTGAATTCTGTGTATTCAATAATTGCTCAAGCATGGAAACTACTGGAGGATCAATTTTCTTTGACAAATATGGAAGTGTTCTTATTCGACTTTGTTGTTCATTTGGTAGTGAGTTGTATAATACATTAACCTATGGTCGTGGACTATTTTCATATTTTGCAGTTTCAAATGATTTGAATCACTATTTAATATTTTCAGAGAACTCAATTCAATTTTCCAAAGGAACTACTATGTCTCCAACAGCAGCTTATTTTTTAAATGGATGTAGCACTATATATAATACAAATATATCCAACACCGTTGACTGTTATGCTGAATCATCACATGCAATTAAATCATCAATTTATTCATCAGTAAAATTGTGCACTTTTTCAAATAATCATGCTAATGGATATAATTCTTTGTATCACCAAAATTTTAATAACACAATATCATATTGCAATGTAATGAATAATTCTATTGCTAGAAATCTTGAAGGAATATTTGTTATTTCTAACGGTGAATTAAATATTAGCAATTGTGCGATAAGAAAGAATTCAGTTGAAAATATATTACCGACCCAAAACGGCATTATTCATGTGTCATCTTCGTTTGTTGAGATTGGAAATATGAATTTGATAAATGCAACAATTTATGATAATATTGACACAACATATATTCTTGGTATTCCTCATTTTAGTACAGCTCAATGCTTTGCCGAAATTGCCATTTCATATCAAACACTTTCACCTCTTTTAACAATTTTCTGCAGAAAAATGTCCCAAATTCCATTATTGCTTATCTCAATTTTTATTCAGATTTTGCTATAAATACTTCATATACACAAGAAAATATAACTCTTATTCTAACTTGAATTTGTTGCTGAATATCAGGTATATGGGAGCAATTTCTATATTGATTCTTTCAATTCTTAATTTTCCTTTTTTTTATTTATTTATTTATTTCGTCGTATCATTGTTAATTAGCTATATATGTCAGAATTGTCACAAGGGTTTGTCATTCATGAGTAAGTGTATCCTTAAAAAACAATATAAGATATAAAATAAAATATTTAGAAAACAACTAATTTAAAACACGAGTCTTGAGACTAAGTTAAGTATTTGAGGTCTCAAAGGATCAGTCAATTCCATTTGACGGATTTTTTCGTAGACTAAACTTGGAATTTGAGTCTTAGAAACAATTTCTTTCGCGCAAGAAATAAGAGACAAAGAGTTAATGATTGTATAAGAGTATCCCTCAAATGATGTTCCAAATAAATCAGACATCAAAACAAACAATTTTTCGTTCTCTTTTATGATTATTTCTGCTGCTTCAGTGTTTGCGGAAATTCTTTGCAAAGCAACTAAAACACGAATAATTGTTTCGTTGTCTCTCTTTTCTTCAATCATTTTCAAAAGAATTCCGACTCGCTTTGCAATCTTTATTGAGGCCTGTTTGTTTATTGCAACATTTGCAATGAAAATCAAAGAACTTGGAGCTGCAAAATCTTTTTCAACAAATGTTAAAATTGTTTCAATTGCATCTAAAGCTGGAGTTGAAAATGGAAATTGAGAGCTATATGATGCTAAAACAATGCAACTGAGCTCTTGTAATCTCTCATCATCTTTGTTTAAAACATTAACAATGTCTTGAACAATTCCACTTTTTGAGAGAAGCCGTGAACCGTCAAATTTTGTTGAAAAAACTCCACAAAGTTTTAATGCATCAATTAATAGATCTTCTTCTTTGAAAAGACCTTTAATGAACTCTACAAGTCCTTCTCCTATTAATTCCGTCCAATCTTCTGTTGCGTTTTTCATGAAAATTGAAAGACAAACAGCTGTCAATTTTCTGACATTTTTTGACGGATGAGAATATTTTGGTTTTATGTATTTTGCCAAGAATTCTATCATTCCGAAAACAGATCTGAAATAGAACATTGTTGATAGTAATTTCAAACTAATCAATGTTGTTATTTCATCATTGATTTCAAGGCATTTTTGAAGAGAACTCAAACATTCTCTGCAATTTGCTATTATCTTCGGACCATTTACAGATCTTCCTGACAAAGCTAGTGTTGTCAATGAAAGATTGGTAAATCTGCTTGATCTCAAAACAATTGAAGGGAACACTCCACAAAACAGTTTGATTTTGTCATCAGAATTTGGAGAAGACAATTCTTCAGACAATCTTCTTACGACAACTAAACTTAGATAAGCGATTTCTTCATTGGAAACTTTGCATAATTCAAGCAATCTCTTGAAGCCATCGACTGATGATCTGATGGCTTCTGCCGCACTCTTGAATGTTGATAATTTTTCCAAAAGAGAGATAATGGAGAAAAGCAAATTTCCTTCTGTTTCAGGCATCGCGTTAACCAAGCAATTATGGACTGGATTAGCAAGAGAAGCTTCTTCTTCATAGCACTTCCTGTCAATCATTTCCTTGAGAAAGTCTGCTGTTAACTTTCTTTGATTGATTTGTGAAGTGACCAAAAAAGCGGAAATTTTTGTTATCACTTCACCATTGAGTTTCAAGAGGTTTAATTTAAGAAGAGGAGTCAATACTTCTACGCAGTATGACATTGACGTTGAAGACAAATGTCTTACAACTTCAATCAATGCTTCGACTGGCTGCAAATCAATGAATTTATGGAGAAATTCATTGTTTCTGAAACATTTCGCAATTAATTGGAATAAAACATTTGCAACTCTTGCATCTTCACATTTGGTTAATGATTCATGGATCTTCTCTGCTATATTTGCATTCAAAAATAGCTGTGTCCAGTTTTCTTCATCAAAAAGTGACTCTGCTTTCAAAATTGAGTCCAAACATTTTTCAGGGTCGGAAAATTTATCGACAATATCCTGTGCTGTTTCTTGTGAAGGTGTGTTGATATCGATTTTGACACTACTTGTGTCCTGTTCGTTCAGGAGATTGATGTAAGCTTCGATATCCTCTCTTCTTGCACCAGGGAAGTCTAATTCACCGGACTCAAGTATTTTTGCAATTGTTTCGAAGTCAGGACGCTTATCAGGGTCTGTGTCCCAGCAGATTTTGATGAGTTTGGAGATCCTTGATGGATTTGGAGGCATCATTGGTCTTGCATTTGAGGACAAAACAGCTATCGTTACCTGTACATCTCTCATCTTCTTGAATGGAGAGTCTCCTGTTAGCAATTCCCATAGAAGAACACCGTATGAGTAAACATCAGCTTTTTCTGTGTAGCGCTCGGACTTGAGAACCTCAGGAGCCATCCACTGGACTGTTCCTACGCTGCCTGACATCAATTCGCCGTTCTCCGGAAGAGTTCTTGACATTCCAAAATCGCAAACTTTCGGAAAATCGTTTGCATCAAGGAGAACGTTGAGGGATTTGAGGTCTCTGTGTACGATTCCCTGTGAATGGAGGTATTTCATTGCATGGGCAACACCAATTGCGATGATTGTGAGCTTTGTTGGGTCTCTGAGCGGCTGGTTGTCATGAAGACGGTTGTATAAGCATCCACCTTCCATGAATTCAGTGACGATATAGAAAGGAGGTGTAATTGTAACGCCAACAAAAGGTAAAATCGCTGGATGGTTCATTTTACTGAAGATTGTGATCTCTCTCATGAACATTTCAAGGGAATATTGAGTGAAATGCGCAGCTTTCATCTTTTTAACAGCGACAATTCTGTTATTCATGTTATCACTCACTTGATAAGACCAATAGACATCAGCAAATGCTCCATGTCCAATCACTTTCTTCAGATCGAAGTCGAATTGTTTGTAAATCCATGGTTCAAGGAATTTAACCTTATCATTTATCTCTTCCTGGGTCAAAATACGCGTTTTCTCCCTAAGAGATTGATTTGATTCTTCTTCATCATTCTGGTATTCGCGCACAATGCCTTCCAACTCTTCAAGACGCTTTGCATACAAAACAGAATTCGATTCTTGCAAAAGATTTTCATTTTTCATGAATTTAAGACGTTCAACTATGTCTTGGAGATCAGCCAGATCATCTATTGCCTCCTGCGCTTGGTTTAGAGGTAATGGATCTTTATTTGCAAGTTTTAATGAGACAGTAAGTGCATTAAAGTTCATTCTAAACTCCCTTAGATGCTGCAGAATCTCCCTCGGCGATTTATGAAGTACTGTATTGATATATTGATCTTCACATAAAGATTGAACTAATCCATACATTCCTTTGATATGTGAGATGAGTTTCTGTATCTCTCCATGCTCCTTTGGCGATGCGATCTGTCCTGGACGTACTCTATTCATCACATTTGATCGAAATTTTTGTAATTCTGCGCAAATGCATGCGATTTTGCATCTGTGAACAACAACTTTCCTGTACATGACAAGAATTTGATGAATATCGACTTTAATCTGTGGTACCCATTGAATTAATGGTGTATTTATTGTCATTTTATTGATTTTTTTGCTATTTTTTATAAAAAACGATAGAAAAATTATATACTTACATAATCTAATTACGAAATATAATTATATACCTACTATGGTTTAAGATAGTGTTGGGATTCATCAAAAACCACATTAAATTATGAGATGTTTCAAAAAATAGTGGCGATTATGTAGATATCGCAATGAAATAGTCATTTTTGGCTAAGTTCCTGTGGTTTTTCGTTAGTTATACATCGTTTTAAATTAAGGGTGGCTTCCGACCAAATTGTCACTTTTTAGCCCAAGTGAGAAAATTTCGTAATTTATAACCAAGTTTTTTAAAATCTATATTTAATAAAGATTCTATTTTTCTTATTAAATTTCAAAAATGAGGGGGTTCGGAATCGTCCACAAATTGCCGAAAGGGTTTTTGCCAGTTTTGAATCCGCTTATTTTTATTGACCAAAATTATAATAAATATAATTTTCGATAAGTATTCTACCCAAATGATTCTTCAAAAAATTATTTTTCGGATTTTATTCCGTAAAAAAACGTTACAGAAAACGCCTATAAAATTTCGAATTTTCCCTAAAAAATTCAGTGCAGGTCGATTTAAGAGATTTTTCAAAAATAATCATATCAGTAGATAGAGTATAATATAGAGAATAGGGTTGTTAAAAATATCAAAAATTAGCGTTTTGAAGACACCATGGTGTCTTATAATTTTCCCTTCCTTATTGGCGTGTAGAAATAAATGCGCCAATAGATTGAAGAAGAAGAATTGTTTTTCTCTTAATGAACTTTAATCCTTTTGATATAAGAATATTAAAAACAGTAATATAATTTCGATTTCGGAAATTAAATTTCCAAATTTTTTGTCGATTTCGGAAATAACAGGATCCCGCATCCAACACGCAACAACAAAACACAAAACACACTTTTTGGTTCTTTCATTGTTTTAATCGTAATTTATGTAATACATGATTTGGATAAATTTTACAAAAATAGAACCTATATTATATTCTTTTCAAAGATTCTTGCAAATCATCAAAAATAATTGTATTTTAAAAAACGATCAAATTATCCTTTCATTATTTTAAACTTAAATTAGTTTTTATGATTGACTAAAGTAATCATATTTATTCATCATTAAATAAACAAAAAAATAATATTTGAGAGTTATTTCAAAAAAAACACATTGAATTTATTAATTTGTCTCAATTTCAGTATTATAAATTTTTATAGTTTCAATATTTTGAAATACACTTTTTAATATTTCAAAATTTATGATATTTCAATGTATTAAGTGGTCTCAAATTGAGCTTCTCAAATATAAGTTGGCCTATTCAAATAATAAAATTAAATAATATTTAAAATAATAAATAAAAGTGATTGAGGTCATAGCAAAACGGCTGTTTCAGTCATTAATTCTTAAAAATAAAAAGGGTAAAAACTAAATAAAATGGGTAAAATTCAATAGTGTCTGTGCTATCGTTCAATTTGAAGGTGTCTTTTGAAACCGCAAGACGCATTGAATTTTTGAATAGTGTATTATGGTTTGACAGACACCAATGAAAAAAATAAAATGATATTTATTTTAAATATATAAGATCCTTATATAAAATATAAATATTTTATCGTTTTATTTTCTTGTTTTAGAAATGTTTTTTATTGAAAAATCAATAAAACTAACTCCAAAATAAAATTTTTGATTTAAAGACACTATGATGACACCAGGCAAATCTTCCAAGACACCTATCGTCGGGAATCTAACAACCCTAATAGAGAAGCTTTATGAATAACTTAAAATCCGGGAAACTCAATATTCAACGAGAAAAACGCTTAACGAATCTCACTTTTAGTGTAAACATCACAAAAAATTGAGAGGGCTTTCTGGTCGGAAGCCTCCCTTAAATTTTTCGAATTTACAGGCGAAATTATTTTTTTAATGGGGTATTTAATTGGAAGGATAACAAAATCAATGATAGATGCTTGTGGTAAATAATGATTCGTTGTTTTTGGTCAGTATCTTTGAAAATGAAAATGCAAAAATTTCAATAAGTTGTTTATAATTCAAACAAATATAATTCTATGCACAAAATTTGTATGTAATCACAATTTTAAACCTAAATCTGTAAAACATTAGTAATATTGTTAATAAAAATATATACTTGATACAAATCATAGAAAATTGCGTTGGATTTGCATGGTGTTGCATGTGTATGCTGTGGTTTGCTATTGATTCTGTTGAAAGTAATGGAATTAAAATTTGAAAAATAATATCCGAAATTTATGAATAAATTCTATCTGAGAGGTGTTGGCTTATAGATATTGGAATTAACCGTTACATAAAATTCAATCGTATCCCAATATAGATGAAGTTAAATTGCAGGATCAATATTTTTTTTGATTTTTATATCACATGTCAATGCTATAAAGAGTGGCGGAGATATGAATACTAGTAACTTTATTCAAATATCGAATATCATCATGTTTTTGTTTCCTTGTTAATCAAATTACCTTTAATTTAAATTATTTTGAATTCAAATAAAAAAATAGAAAGAGAAAAATGGGTATCTATATGAATTAATAACCAACAACTCTGGAATGATGTGATTTTTGGCTTAGAGCAATTTAGAGGGCGATGCCCAAAATTTCTGGAAAAATAAGCCTACTGCTCTGATTAATTCACAGGTCTGATAAGATAATTAATTTAAATATCATATCCTGATAAACTGAAACTTCCCGATTATAAATGAGAAATCATGTTTTCTGAAATAATCGTTAAGGATATCTGCCCTTGGACTTTAGTGAATTGCATCTATATAAATTCGAGCTACAACGGTAAAAGAAAATGCTATAATAGATAAAATTTTGATACGGTAGTTTTTTATTTTGAATAGTATTAAGGTTTTAATAGAATTAGTAAAATATTATTATACGCACATAATTATGCATATTTGATTTTTATGACCCAAAATTTCTGTAAATGTTACTGGATTTTTGATCGTAAAGTTTTTCAAATCTTCGTTAAATTTTTTTGATATTTAGATGCTTATTAAGAATTAAAAACTTTTATTTTGAGTCTTCTCAATTTCCGATCATAGATTGCATTTAAATTTTGGACAACCAATCCAGCGACGTCATTTCAACAGACATAGAAGGCATGGGCCCCAATGAACCAGAAGAGCTATCGCATCTTTCTGAAATTGAGATTCCAACAAAGATGGCTGCTCAAGAAAGTTGGAAATCAAACGATAGCAATTCCAACATACTAACCATTCAAATTAGTATGATTATATCATCCATGCTATCAATATTCTACCCCGAAGAGCCACATATCATGACAAAAATTCTTGCAGCCTTTAGAGATGTAATGTCGCTTTCTCCAAAGCTATTTCCATCATTTCCTCTTCAGATTGCATTCAATGTCTTCTTATTTATCCCATTAGCCATTATTATTGGTCTGAAATCCTATAGAAATGGCTTACAATCTGAAAGTCCGAAAGTAGAACAAACACTTTCACTTTTCAAGAAGATCCTTAATGTCCTAACAATCCCAATTCACCTCCATACCGGATCAGCATTGGGTGCACTCCTTACCAGCATTCCAAATTCAGTGGCCATTGCCGCATCAGCCATTTTAGTGCATATTATTTGGAATTACACTATTTTGATCCTAGAATACCCTACCGGATTTGGCCACGATTTCAACATTATGATCGTATGGCTGATCGAAAATACGCCGGTCATCGTTTTCACGTTATATTCACTTATATTTTATGCTTTTCAGCAAAGTGTTGGTGTTTATGTCTGTACAATTTGCACAATTTTATTATCATCATTTTTCGTTTATTTAATTCTTGGAACATCGCTATTTTCAGGAAGAAGGCATAACGCAGTTGCTACGATTGCAGGATTTGCTACTTTTATCTTCACAAATCTTCTTCAATATTTAGTTCCATCAAAAACAGTTTATTGGCTTACATTTGCTTACATTTCTATGAATGTTATTGCTATATTCGGAGAATGGAAGCTTCCCACGCCGATCAACAAGAAAACGAGAAAAATCAACAAAGGAAACATGCAAACATACGACGATGGACCAAATGATGGCGAAAAGAAGTCATTACGCAAGTTTATTTCACTTGAAAAACAAGATATCGCTACTCTTGGCGTATTTGTCTTTGGTATTTTATTCATGACCTTTTTCAACGCTATGGCTGCTCGTCAGATGCCTATTGGAACACCATTACCTGATTTCATCCATAATATCTTCCAGACAAGAAATCAGAAGTTCCAAGACATTTTTAGAAATGCAGTTTTCAAACCTTCTCTGCGTCGTCTACATTGCATTTCTTGTCATATTATGCTTCATTTGCCCCGATGTCGCCAACGCTAGAAAGTTCCTTTTACTCTACGGTATCGAATGTGTCATCAGAGCCATTTCTTTTGTCATTACTTCGATGCCAGCACCATGTGCAGGTCTTCCAAACTGTCCTTGCGCTGATCCAAAGGAACTTGACCGTCTCCGCTCTCTTAATCCTCTCAAAATTGCTTTAACTTGGACTTTCGGATTCGGAATGTTCGCAAAATTGCCTCAATGCGGCGATTTAATTGTTTCCGGACACACAATGTTCATGTGGCAATCAAGCAGATGGATTATGGAGACAACATCCAGAATGTTGCCAACTCTTGGATCAACATTTGTCAAACTTGGTTCATTGTACACATTTTTGATTGGTATTTGCTATATTACATTGTCAAGGAACCATTATACCATTGATATTTGGTTCGGTTTCCTTCTTTCTGAAGGATGTTACTATCTTTATGGACTTCTCGAAGAAAGAGTTGATGATGCAAACAATAACTCGATCCCTGTGAAGATATTAAGATGGTTCGAGACAAGAAAGTATCCAATCATGAAAGAGGAATACGAATCTGATGATTCATCAACACTTGTTGAAGTTTAATTTATTTGTAAACTCTGTTCTTTATTTAATTATAATAAAAAAAAATCCAAATTTCAGGATTTGATAATCTTTATCAAAACAAGCAACAGAACTCTATATTTTCTACTGGTGCTTTTATTTCACAACAAAAACTACATTAATAATATTGCTTTTGAATCAATTATTATATTAATCGAATATCCATTTATCATTCTGTCATTTTGGACTTTATGAGACTTTTTTCAAAGGAGATATATTCTTCTAAATAAAATCTTTTTGCTTCAAACTGTAAATCAACTTTTCAATAATTTTATGAACTGATTCAAAAAGACGATGACGATATAAAATTGTAAACAGTCGATAACGATATCGTTGCAGCCAAAAAAATACTACAAAAGTTGAGAAATGAAATATCTGAAAATCCGAAAGTATTTTGATTTAAGAGTATAATTCAATGGAACAATCTAATTGAATATACAATTTAATTGACAATAATGAATCAGGATAACACACCTGATGTTTCAAGTCAATCAGAAGATATCTTACATAAAATAGAAGATCTTGCCAATAGTGATGATTTCTTTGCTACTTACGAATTCCTTGATGAACTTTCAGAAAAAGGAAATCATGAAATGTTTGTAAAAGCTTGTGAAGCAGGACTTTGTGATTGCGAGATCTTTTATGTACGAACTAATATCCTTATTCAGGCCTGTTCCAATGGAAATTTCAGACTTGCCAAAGATCTCGTAGATTACGGTTGCAACATTAAATCAAAGGATATGTATGGACAATCTCCGCTGACAGTAGCTTCAGCAGCTGGTGCTCTTGAAATTGTTAAATATCTCATATCTGCTGGAGCTGATAAAGAAATAGGGGATTTATCTGGAAACACTCCGCTCATAAATGCATCAAGAAATGATCAACTTGAAGTTGTTAAATATCTGATCTCTATTGGTGCTGATAAAGAAGTAGGTGGTTATAGAACTCCACTCTTTTCAGCCTTAGAAAATAATCACCCTGAAGTTGTTCAATACCTCATCTCAGTTGGAGCTAATATAAAATTACTCAACAGTAATGGATATTCACTACTAATGTATGCATCATGCAATGGTTATACTGAAATTGTCAAATGCCTTATTGATGCTGGAGCTACCCTAAAGTTTTTGTTATTGGAATCTGACACGCCCGTAAATTTTTATAAAAGCTCATTAATACAGCTCCCTGATTGGAGACATTCTTTGTGACATATACCATATACTTATGTAGGCACTAGAGAATCTACCATATGATTTTAGTAGTCTACTAATGACATTCATAGTGCAATTAGACGAAATTTATTTTGCTTGTAAAACCACACTACATGAAGATCCAAACCCATTATTATAACATTATATTACTGGTACATAGTAGTATATATTGCTGAGGTTGAAATCTAAATCTAAAAAGTTATCAAGATATCAAACTAATGTAATTGGCCTAGTCTATTCAATTACAGATATATTAATATATATGATCCGGTGAATTGATTTATACATAATGACATGATATATAAAAAAAATTATAATATTTTAAAATTAGAGTTAAAATTTCACATATCTACATGCAAATGGCTAGAAATGTTATGCATATATCAATCTCGGTTGTGATTTTACTATATAGGAAAATATGTCGGAGTAATGATTCAAACTTTCAAAGTAATGCTTTATTTGAACAATATGAATTGAAATTCATTTTGATAAGTCAGGCTATGAATGATAATGATATAATAACAGTTTAAAAAAAGATAATATTATAAATTTTGAAAAGATTGATATTTTTTATTTAATTTGGAATATTCTTAATTCCAATTGATGTAGAATGTGGTATCATGTCAATTTTTGAAATTCGACTAATTTTGGAAAGACATTTTGAATTGGGTATCAATTGTTAAAATTAAGCTTGGTTATTAAGGTAAGTCAAATGCAAAATAAGGGAGAAGACAATATTTGTAATTAAATGTAACAAATTCACAATTTGAAGAATATCAATATAATTTGAAAAAATTGTTAATTTCATAGGCAACAAGATATCTATTGACACTGCATATAATTGTGAATATATTGTTCATTTCAAAATTGATAGAGATTTAAAAACTACATGCGTAAAATGAAAACTGATGATAAATGATATAAACTAATATGATTTTATAACATTGAGTGTTTTGATAAACTAAATAGATGTAGAATTCAATAATTATTGAAAATATTAAGATTTTTAAAGATAAATACAAATCATATGGTAAATTTGTGCTTAAGGGATTTGTGAATAAGGTATATTGTTTATGTACTAATTATATGTATGGACAGGCAAGAAAATAAAGAGATTGTATAATGAGAATGTGATTGCAAAAGTTTGACCGACAAGAGTGTAATATGCACTCCTGTCGGTCACAATGTGTCATTCCGGGAGACATTGCCACTGCATGTCTCCCAGAATGAGACAATTTGTTGCAATCAGAATGTGATTGCAAAAGTTTGACCGACAAGAGTGTAATATGCACTCCTGTCGGTCAAAATACCGCTATCTGAACCCAATTCCGGACCAGTACCCCATTTTGCGATTAATCCAATGGGAATCACTTCCAACATTAGAACTTTATAGGTGGATCCCATTAATTTATTAAATTGTTCGATCTATTCCTGCATACTACTTTCAAATTAAGAAAGTTCTTGTCTAATGCATGAATATTTTCATACGCATTGCATCAATGATCTAACAATTTAAAGCTCGCTAACAACCTAAAGCAAAAAACAAAATGATCTGCTAACTATGCAGGCAGCTCAAGCGCACCAAGGGGAGGCGTTTTTCTGAATTGGGCGATCTTCGTGAGATCTCAGGAGGCGAAGATTCGGAACCCAACCGGCTTCAAGCTGTAACATCTTGCTAGCAGGCCATACATTTTTAAACCGCCTCTAACCGTTCCTCTCGACCACATTATCGGCATTCATATATATATTTGAATATTAAGACGAATAAAACCATTTGTTTGATCGAAATTGAGTAATTTATTGTTAAAATAAAAAAAATTAAGAAAAAAGTTTGTCATTTTCTTTGATATTTATATATTTGAAATCTACCTTATAAATATATCATTAATTTATCCCATTTTAATATTATGAGTATCAAATGCGAAAATCAAAAAAAATACTGTCCTGATTCGAACTCAATCCATTTAATCTTGGCATACAGACCATCCCATTATGCCAAAAAGTTTATTGTTTGTTTTCTTAATAATAATATAAGATCGCTTATTTTTTATTTTGCTTCTATTAAAATTTAGCATTTTATATCACCAATCATTAATCTTCTTAAGTAAGATTTATATTTTCACTTTATAATTTGTTCTAATCGAATATTTTTTTTTATTCAAAAATTTTAACCCTATTTTTTGATAATAAATGTACCACCACATTTTCTACCTATATTTGATAAATGTCAAACATATTTTTACTTAATTTCCTTTAATTTTTTTTATATTTTTTTTTATTCAGTCTCAATTTCATATTACTTTATATATTCTGGATATAAATTCCATAACTATATCATTGCATTTAAAAATATGGCTCAAATATGATTCTTTATAGGATTTTTTTGTAATACGCCAAAAAATCACGACTTCTAGCCTTCTCATTATGTGCATTATTCCTATAAACCGTCTTAGCCCCTGAATATATAGTTGCAAATTAGATAAACAATATATCGCCAAATAAATTATTTCTGATTATCGACAACACATAGCCATTCTGTTCTAACCATTAGGCAAAATACCCCGACAAGCCAAAAAAAGCACAACTCATGATCGTGCCAGACATCAATAATCTTTTGACGTGATTTGTGCCAAACTCTCAAGAAAATCAATCGTTGGCATTTATTCCTAATATGTTATTATAATGCATCATAGAGAACAAAAAATAATACCACATCAAAATAAAATAAGGCTGATTTCATCTCAAACTTTTAATTTTAACAAAGACACATATTGAAATATCATCACCACATATGGTAGAATATTGCCATATAATTGACACTTGACTTTTACACAAGCTCAAAATCAGCATCCCCATAGGATATTAGGTTTTCGAGAAAACAACACGGGATAAAAGTACACATATATATCTATCTAATTTCATAAAATCAAGTTGCTATATTTATCTGGAATGGTAAGATCCAACAAACAAGTGTGATTTGGTGTCACTTTTTTGTCCAATAACAAAAATTTAAGGGTAATATTGAAGAAAAGCATTCAATTGGGTATACTCCACTCATTGAGGCTGCAAGAGTGGGTTGTGTTGATGTTGTTCAATGCCTTATCTCTGCCGGAGCTAATCTCGAAAATGCTGATGATAATGGTGATACTCCACTCATACATGCGACAACTCAGCATCATCTTGAAGTTGTCAAATGTCTTATCGCTGCTGGAGCTAATCCAGAAACAAAGGGCTCTCAAGGTCGAACTGCAGAAATTAATGCAAAAGCTTATGGCTGTCAAGATATCTATGAATATCTTTCCTCTCTTCATGCTAAGTAAGAGATTATCTGATTCCAATTAGAGTCAAACAATAAAATCAAATAATTATTAAAACAATATCATTTATAGGATTGAAATAAAAATTCTAATAATGCAACTTAAATATTTTATTTTTCACATCTTGTTTGATTTGCCCATTGTTGATATCGCATCCAACCAACTAATTATGAATTGTATAATAATGAGTGGCTGGGTGAGAGGTGCGGGTAAATTCCGATTGTTGAAATCGCATAAGCTATATTTACATGATAATATATAGCTTACTAATGAAATATTAGTCAGAATATATTATATTCATTGAAAACAAACTGAAATAGCTGGATTGTTAATATAAAGAGAATAATTAACTAATATTACATAAGTATCACTTCAATTTCTATAATGGAGCCCATTTTACCTTATTATCCATCATGTTCATGTGTGCAATCTCATTAATTTTTGAATTCTATGTGTTAATATCTTAATCAAAGTAATATGTATATAGAAATCATATGTCTAATTATTTCAACCACCAAATTATGCTATTACCTATTGAAATCCAAATACGAAATTTTGATCTTTTCCAATAAAGGCCAAACAAACTGGAGATATAAATATTATCTAATATACTATATATCCATACCATATTTGTACAAAAAAGGATTGCTCAAAAAAATCCTATGCTCCGTCTCCTTGAGACGCCCGATTTAGTCTTGGCGCAAACTGTCAAGTTTTTATGTTCGGACGACGGCAGCTTTCATGTTCTCAGGGACATGGTTAACGAATCTCCTCCAACGCAGCTTGTTTCAACGTTCAGTTATTTAAGTTATTGGATTTCTGACTCGCTTTCTAAGCACAAAAGTAAATACAATGATACAAAAACGCAGCAATGTCTCCAATTACTTAATTTAATTTCTACAAAAGTTCCTCCAATAATTTTAATAAATGGCGCGTTTGATTTAAACTGGGGAATTTCTCAACCACATTGGGCATTGCACGAATTCTATCAACGAATTAATAAAAGAATCACGATTATCAGATCATATCTCAAACCACAATCCGCTTTTGGTCAAATTTATCCATTTCCTCTAAACAGCGAGTTCAAAGAGGACTTCTGGCGTACGTTCAATCCAAATCTGTCAATAGATATTGGAACGGACCAAGATTACATTTTTGCCGCGAAAATTCATTTCAAACGCCTTCTTCGAAATCGAGTTCCAATACAATTATTTAAACCTTTGCTAGATACTCCTTCAATGAAGAAAGTTTTAACCCAAGCAATCATTGAAGTTCTCAATGAAACAAATGAAAATCCTAATATTACACATATACAGTCTATTTCGACATTTTCGTTATTGTTCTTATACATTTTTTCATTCAGCCTCTCAAATGATATCGATGCTCAAATGTTATGCGAATATATCCAGACATGTGACTATTTATCACCAGGACTTGCTCTTGGAATTATTTGTCACATATCAACAACGATTTGCTTATACAATTACTTGATGCCGAAAGAATTCATCGAAAATCCAGGATCAGATAAATCTCATTACGTTATATACGACCATTCGAACGATACGGAGCTTGATAGTTTCTTCCAGTCCATTCCTGAAATGTTTACAACGTATTTCAAGCCACCTACAACAAATCAGAATCAAGAGATTAATTCTACGGTCAAAAACGACATCAATTCATTCCTTACATACATACATGACCCCAATACGATGAAAGTACAAAAATTCAAAGCCATTTTTGAGTTTGCCAAAAATCATGAGATAACTCCGATTTATACAGTTACTATAAGCTTCTATGTTAGTTTAAGATTCCTAATCATTGTTCCTAGGATGTTTGAACACTTCAACAACCCAAATATCTGTAAATTTTTCATGTCAATAATTTCATTCATCACTCCAGTCTGTGACACAAGTATCCAGCAGTTATTCAACAACCCAGTCACAGAAGACTACAATATCATTGATAAGAACTTGTATTTACTCATCAGAGCCATAGGAACACGCATGTTAACATTAGTAATAAATTTGCCAATGGAAATATCCATTCCTTTCTGTTTGGATTCCCTCAACAGATACACAAACACACAGAAGATAACAGCAGGAGACTACCACCATATCTTTCGACGCATTCTTTCCGCTGATTTCCCTGTTCTTGGCCCAGCAACATTAGAAAGCCTCGAAAAGTGTCGTGACATTGTTATTTTGTCGATGTACGTTGAAGCATTGACGAGTACTGTTCATACACACACTTGCAAAGGCCGCGACTCGTTGAGGAGTCTGAGACAGAAGATACTGGACAGATTGCCAATACAAGCAGACCCAACAATGCCTTATTTGTTGATTACAGAGTTCAGAGGAACTTCTAGAGATGAATTCAATGAAGTTTCATGTAACATTTTCGCTGATGTCATTTCCATGAAGTTGGACAGTCCAAGAGAAGTTAATATGAACAATTGTTTGTTCTGCGTTTTCTCTGCATCAATGAGAAAGAAATTTTTTGCGGAATATGTTGTTCATTTCCTTGAAAATCACTTGAACAACGACAGAAAAGATGTCTCTGAACAAGACCCACTTCCTTTGACTGAATCTGAGATATGTATTCCTTTGGCTCAGATGTGTCTTCCTCGTTTATTGACAGAGAATTTCATTGACTTGGCAAACGAGTTGTCAATCATTTTAGGCTATCATATGAAGAATGACGACTTGATGTTGCACTGGCTCACGAAATTCACTGCTCAATACAGGCAATACTTGACACCTGAAGTCAAGAGATCATTGAGAACACCAATGATTGATAGATATCAGTCAAAACTACCAAAAGGAGTTGATTTCAAAAAAGAAAACGTTTACGAATTCGCTGACCAGCTCGTGAAAGCGGAAAACACAATTGTTTTCGATGCAGACACATTGTTCGCTGAATACACAAGTCCATATCTGCTCCAACAAGCCATTATCAGATCATTCATTCTGTTATCTCCACAATCTGACATCGGAATTGTCAAACTTTTGACAATGCCACTTTACGAAGTCAAATTCTGGCCGAACAGAAACGAAGGTGTCATAGAACTTGCCAAATTAGCATCGACCATGAGCACCTCTATATTGCATGACTACTTCAGGGAACTTATGGGAAGAAGTCCATGCGATTCTGCGATGATTTCTGGAAGAATTTTCCTTTCAATGGTAAGAATTGATGTTTTCGAGATTATCTGCGAAACATGTTCTACATACATCGAAAAGAACGCGGAGAAGCTCGACTACTTCATGAGGATGGCTTTGCCTTCTTTCCACAGATTATACGGCAATCCACAGAGTGCAAAAGATTTCCTTTGTGGTTTGTTAGTTTCTATTACACCACAGACACCGAGATCTCTCCAGGAAGCAGTAATTGATGCCGTTGGATTGATTTACCTCAAATTGAAGTTATTTGATTTCAGAAAGGAAATTATAAACAGCGCAATGTCATTTGAACCTGATTTGAAAGCTGTTTTCGCTTGTTCTCTGGATCCAGATATTGCAAACCAAAGAGTTAGTGACTTGTTCAAAACAAAAGAAGTTCCGTTTAAGATGAAGAAATCAATGATGGAAATGATATGATTTTTATTTTTTTGATATTTATATTTTGTTTTATTTTGTATGATAAATAATATGAGTTAATATTTAATGCAGCTTTTTCATAAAGGCAGTACATATGTTTGGCTTTTAAAGCCAAAATAATGTACATTTTTCTTTTACAAATCTTCTAAAACTCTCAATTTCAAATAATACATTATTTTTCGACTTTTATACTGTAATTGCTTCATTTCATATCGCTTGACTTATGAGTAGAAGTATACAAGACATGTTGATCAATCAGATATCCAAATTGAATGAATGAAACGGTTTTTCAATTTTTGCCAGAGGATACCTTGTTACATATTGAGAGCTAAACAATATAAGTAATAGTCAATTTTGTAAAGATCTCAATTTTAGTGGAAAGAAAATTCTAGTCAATGTTCATTTCACTATTTCAAAATTTTAAAAAAATTATTAAATTATCATCTTGTACATTCATAGAATCATAATAGAAAATTTTTAAAATTTTTAAATTATTGAGAGCATATCGTTTTGTCAAAAAAAACATTTTTTCATCATCAGAATGAGTCATGTTAAGGGCATTATTCGTAGTATCACATTTGATTATGAAGATCCAAATGAGATTACATACCATTGCGACAGTCAAGGTAAACTTCAACTTCCCAAGAAAAACCCACGAACACAACATGAGATGATTTTAACTCAATCTCAATTCTGCAAGACTTCAATCAGCACACATCCTCCTATGAACACTCCCTTTCCTATTCCTGAGATCAGACATGTTGCAACACGGGAACAGATGCAAGAGCGAGGACAAGAAGAGTTTCAACCTTCTGGCAGTATTTCTGAAGTTAATCTTGATGACCTCAATTTAGGTGTTGATAATCCCCTGGAAATTCCTCTTCCAGATGATCTTGAATCATATTTCGGCACTTTTGAATCCTGAATATATTTATATTCTGCTTTTTCTTTATTAATTAATTTCTTTTTACTGGGTATTGGCCATCCCATATCATAAAAAACGCCCTAATTTTAGAAAAAAAAATAAAAATTATTTTCTAAAAACAAGATCTATATCATTTTTAGATGTTTTTGCAATGGTAGATCAGATGCAATATAGTATCTTATCCTATATCACAATCTGTCATTCTACTGTTTCAGAATTTAAAGATAATATTAAAAGTTTATTTTAAATGATAGAATAACATGGATATTTTCTAATATTAGAGATGAAGCTCGTTTGTTGAGTTTTCTTCTGTTCCACGAGGAGGAGTTCCAGGACGAGGGCCCATAAAGTAGTCTTCGTCGTAGTTTATTGGTGGGAAAACGGTAAAACTGCAGCTAAGCTCTTCATCGACTTGCATAGTTGCACCACGATTTTCATATTCATAACAATAGTTCGGAGCGGAGAATACTGTGACTATTCCTTGCTGGCTATCGAATGGGAAGTTATATCCGCTCATAACAGCTTGATGGCCGCGTACAACAAGATCGAAATTAAATTTCTTCAGGAATTTCTCAAGAGGAGGAATTCCGAACACGTAGGATGCACCTCTATCATTTGCACCCCAATCCTCTGTTTCAATGTCCGGATCTGACCAGACTAAATCGCATATTAAGCCTTCTTCAGGAATATCGAATGGCCTTTGATGTTCGTACTCTCTGATTTGATCTAGATTATCCAGGAAGGGAGAAATACCTCCATGGACACAGAAAATTCGATCTTCAATGATTGCAACTAAAGGTAAGCAGTTAAACACATCACAGAAGGTACGCCATAGTTCTATATTGTATCTTTCTACACATTCATCGTAAAAACCGAATTCTCTGTTGATGTATGAACATTCGTGATTTCCACGCAATAAGAAGAAGTTTTCTGGTCTTTTAAGCTTATAAGCGAATAGTAAACATATTGTTTCTAGGCTGTTAACTCCACGATCTACATAATCTCCCATGAAAAGGTAATTTGTAACTGAAGGATCTTTATTTTTGTCAAAAATGCGAAGAAGATCATGGTATTGACCGTGAATATCGCCAACAATTGTAAGAGGTGGTTGTAATTCAAGTAGAATAGGTTGGTCGAGGAAAATCTTTTTGACATTAGCGCAAAGCATGTTAATTTCTTCTATTGTCAATCCTGCTGATGTTCCTAGTGGCTTATCCTTTACAGCAAGCAGTCTTTTAATAATATCATCAATAGCATTCATGTCAAGTTCAGACATTCTTAAACGTAAATAAGATTAAAACTCTGATTTTCCTATTGAAACAATCTCTTTATGATATGAGTATTCTAAATATTAACTCAAAATTCCTCAATCTCCTCTATGATTCTTTTTTTCACTTCACAAATCGATGTAAAGTTGTCAATTTTTTTTAATCTCACGAATGGATCAACTGTCAACTCGGGACCTTATTGAGCGATATAAAACCACGTGTGATCAATGCCAAGTGTATATCGAAGGTAAATACAGAGAACTCAATCAGCTTAAAGAAAGATACTCTGTTCGCCCGGATATTACTGAAATTTTTAATCAAAATGTAAAATTACGGCAACTCCATGAACTAGCTCTATCAGTTAAGAAAGATACTATTAACAAATTTAAAGGCCAAGGACAACAGAATACAGAAAAATCCCAAGATCTTCAAGTTAAAAATCTTATTTTAACCATCAATGCAGCTAGAACTGTTTATGTACGCCACCAAAATATCCTTAAGTCAATTGAAGCCCTTAATGAGCAAAAGCAGATGTTATTAGACAAAAAAGACGAAGGTCTTACTCGTCTCCAGCGAGCAAGAGTCTGGGCTAAGAATACTGAAGAAATTCGTGAAAACGACCTTCTGAATGTCATCAAACAGCAGAAAAACCTTGTCAAAGAAGTAGAAGATGCCAGTAAAAAATCGAAAGCCGAATTTGTTGAAATCAGTAAGGATTCTCGATCCAACCTTTCATGCTACAATGATTTGCAGCTCCTTACTACTCAATACGAAAAAATTACTGCTCAAATTCAAGCGTCCATGAGAAATACCCCAGCCCCTGATCCACAATCGACACAAGGACAATGGACCAATTACACGGATAATCTCATGATCTCCCTTAACACTCGATTAGACCAATATACCCAAATATTAAGAACCTCATTCCAACTTGACCATTTGCAAAGCCAGAACGACACTTTATATCATCTTTTCCAAGACATATTCGACTATTACAACGACTGCTACAGTAAAGTGTCCAATCTTATCAGCCAAGCCCAGAGTTATCAGAAATCTTGCGACACCTTCACTACCCAGTACAAAAACGATAGTGAGAAACTCCAATCCGACAAGAATGAGCTTGAAAACATCATAAAAGAAAGAGATGACATGAAGAAAGAGCTCGAAACCACACAATTACGGTTAAAGAACACTCTTAACGAGAAGAGCCGTATCGAAAAAGGTTCCTCTAATGAAGACATCCAACTCCATAACGAATACATTGATCTCAAGAAGAAATACGAAATTACGGCCAAAGAAAAAGAAGAAGAAAACAGGAATGCCGAAATTCTTGGAGCTGCATCTGTTCAATCCAAAGCAATCTTTGAGGCTTACTCGAATAGAAAGGCATTTCCTACAGCTGTTCAAGATGCACAAAGAGATTTCTCTGAATTGATGAAAGTTCAGACAGTACAAGTCATGGAAATGTCGAAGAAAATAACATCAGGACGCAACGATTCATCCAATGAGCTCAAATCCATATTCAGTGAAATCCGAAAGAAAATCAAGATCGAAGAGAACAAGTCCGACCAATTTACCAATCCACAACTGCGCAAATACAAAATCGAGGATGCCAAATTCACCGAAAACGGCGACAAAGTTCTCATCGAGTGGGCAACCATCAAATTCTTCACCGCTCTCCTGTTCATCACTGATAACATGGAGCCTGGCTACAACACACTCCATATCTTCACTTGGCACAACGCCAAGATCGAGCCTATCATCATTCTCAAGCTTTTCGAAGAGATGCTGATCAATGCACACAACGGCAAACCATTGATGGACGGATTGCCTGTTGCCAAAGAGAACTACGTTGCTTCTTTGACTAACAACTATTTGCAGAAATGGGTTGCGATGTTTCCAGAAGACTTTGTTACACTTGTTGATGATGGAAGTCTCAAAGGTATATATGGTTACATCAGAGAGTTCTGCAATGCCGATGAAACAAAAGAATCAATTGATTCCGTTCTTAAGAAGCCAAAGGAACAATTACGTACATCGAAGGAATTGAAGCCTGTTGAAAAAGTTGAGAAGAAATTCGGAACAGCGGAATATCTTGATGACATAAAGATAGAACCGCTCAAACACACATTGGCATTTACTGCTGATTCATTGACAATTGCTAATCACATCATGTACCACGAACTAGCAATCTTCAACAACATAAACTATAAGGAATTCGTTGCTTGCGGATGGGCAAACAAAACAAATCCAGAAGCAATTGCTCCTAACCTTGTAACAATCGCTAAGAGATTCAACAAATTATCACAGTATATACAATATTCTCTTGTTCATTACACAAAGAGAGATCCAAAGGCAACAGCAATAATCATGGCTCAATGGATTTTGGTCATGCAAAAGTGCTCAGAAATCAGAAACTTCCATGGTCTTTTCGTTATCGATTCCGCTCTTTCTGCTCCACCAGTTACACGTCTACACGGTTGCTGGGATGCTCTGAAGGATGTACAAGTCAAGGACTCGAATCAGAGCATGAAAGAACTCTACGATTCCCTTTCTTCCATCTGTTCTCCACTTCGTAAGTTCAAGAACTACAAGGCGGAGATCAACAACGAAAATAAGACAAAGCCGGAGATGGCATTGCCTTTCATGGGTCCCTGGTTAACTGATATGGCATTCATCAAGGATGGTAACCCTAAGTCAAAGAATGACAATGGTTTCGAAAAACTCAACATCACAATGCACAGAGCCTATTGGGTCGCGTGCTCTTTCTTGAAGAAAGACTGGGGTACAGAGAGATCTTTCCAGATAAACGACGAAATTTTAAAGATGGTGGAAGATCTAAATACAGATACTTCTTTCACAGATTCAGATTTAATCAACATGTCTCTTGAATGCGAACCTGATCGTAAGAAATAAAATTAATTTTTTTTTATTTTATTTTATTTATTCTATATAGGTACGGGAAAAAGGTGTATTCACCCCCCAAAATTAGGGAAGGAAAGGGTTTTTTGGAACTTTGATTATACCAATAATATTCATATTTTATACATATACTATGGTATAAAATTTAGGGTCATATCTTTATTATTTACTGACCAAATAAAAATTTATATGTACGTTAAAAGACGATAAAATTTTTTATTTTTGAAATATAAAATTCGATTTTCTCAAGAACCAACAAAGAAACATTCACAAAATTTTAATAATAATATAAGTATAATATTTACTATTTATTGGTGTTATTATCTTTTTCTAAAAACTTTTCCTTCCCCTATTTTGGGGGGCGAATACACCTTTTTCCCGTACCTATAAATCTTTTTTTTTACTTTTATTTTTATTTGTTTGTTTGAAGTATTGAAAATTAACCCTTACTCATTTGAAATTCGCTCTCTCTTCGATTGAAGTATTACTTAATTATTGACAAAAATTTAAACATCGCAAAAGTTTTAAATGTAATGCAGAATGTAAAAATGATTCTTACTTAGTTCTGATCCCGATTTTGTTATTATTATTCTATTGGCGCATCGCACCGATAAAATATTAGGAGCAAGAATAAAAAAGTGACAAGTACAATGAATCTTATGAATCCTTCTGAAGCTCCCCCTGTTCAACAACTTTCAGATGCAATTATTACTGGTATCAAAAATGATGACCCTTCTGTAATAGATATATCAGTATTTGAAAGGAACGATTCGATAAAAATGACGAGCTATGAGTACAATATCATCAAATACGATGCTATTAAATGCATGTCGAAGGTTAAAAACTATATCGTTAGGCATTCAATAAATTCTGCCGCTTTTCAACTTTGTATTTCAAAAAGAATGTCCTATCTTCTTTTAGACTGCCATGGAGTTAGTTATTGGGGATATCCTGTTACTTTTGATACCCTTATTGACTTAAAGAAAAACACAAATGTTAATTTTGGTCCAGAATTTTACCTTACGGAGCTTTCTTTCTTGATTTCTCAAAACGACATTAGAGGTGTATCTTATATTCTTGATACTATTGCTTCTTTTATGGATATTTCAGGCTCTCTTTCACAAAATATCAAAGACATTTCTCCTGATATGTTTTTATACTTACTTTCAAGAGGTATCCACAATGGTCCACCTGTTGTTCCTTCATCCTTCTTAGAACAAAACTTAATTGATTTAATCGACAAATTAATCAACGAATACCACTTTATTCTTGACTTCAGTGCCCTTGGAATGAAGTCAATTAGTAATATGATCAAAAACAACGCGTTCGAAGCTACAAAAATGGTAATTCAATACGGAGCTGCAGATAAGTACATTTCTGCCATTCTAAACGAATGTGCGTTGTTTAACTGTGATGAGATGCTTCAGATGGTCATAAACGAAGCAAGCAGTAAGTTTTCGCCCGGATGTGCAAATAAATCTTTGATTTCGGCCGCAAAGCTCGGGAGAACCTCCATATTTAGAAAGCTTCTCATTCCATCTGCGATAGACCTAAAGACGGTCGAAGAAGCAAGAAAAGAAGCTTTGGATGGAGGATTTGTCGATATCGTGAAGATTATTGATACAGAGCTTCCAGAAGGAATTCCAGAAGAAACATTTAAGTTCGGCGGTGAATCTGATGGCGAATACGGCTCGAAATTGATAAATTCAGAAATGGATTCAAATTCAAACATTTCAAGAAGAATGATGCAGATGGGTGATGAAGCCCCTGATGATCTGGACAACCTTGACTTCAATGATGAAGGTTACCAGATGGAAAACGTCGCATTTGCAAATGGAAACTTTGGTCAGCCTCCTTTTGGAAATGGAGACTTCAGACAACAGCCATTTGGAAATGGACAGATGGGTAACATGCCTCAGATGTCATTTAACCCTGGAAATGCTGGAAATGACTTGGATAATCTCGAATTCGAGAAAAGTGACGATGATGACCTTATTATTCATGATGATGAGTTGTAAAATATTTTTTGTTATTCATTGGTAAATATATGTTTATATCTTGGTTTTACATAAAACCCAATGTTGGAAATTTTTTAAGTGACATTGAATGTTTTAAAGTACTAATTCTACATCAATGCTTTGCAGCTCACAATTCTTAATTTGCAAGCGATATTATCAAAATTGTTATAGACCGAAAATAGATTTTTTCGGTTTTCTCTTCAAATAATTGAAAGAATGATACTATTATAGGTTTATTATATTATATAGCATATAATCATGCTATAGCCGAAAATTATAAGTTTTGAGAAGATTGAATATAACACAAATAAATTTGAATGTAAGTTAAATTGCTTGTTGTTTTTAATAGCTATTTAATGAGAAATCCAATATTGCAAAATTCAAATTGAATGATTGAAAGAACAGAAAAAGTCATTCTTTTCAATTTCGAATTTGTTTCATTGTATTTAGAATTATATGGCAAATAAGATATTTAAACTTGATTTTTGAAGGAAAATTCACAAAATTGAATAAATTCAAATAATTTTTATTCAAAAATAAACTAGTTATTTGAGTTTAATACTAATTATCTATTCAAACTACAAAGTTTGTAATTTAAAATATTTTGTGAGATCAGATTGAATTAATTCAAGGTTCTTTTCAATTAATATTAATGACCATATTACGCATTTTCGAACATTCTAAACCAAATATATAAAAATGGGAGACGAATGTTAAATTTGCTAGACATGGGGGAGTTGTCTGCAAAGTTTTAGCTCTTATCTCTAACAAAAAATTAATTTTTAAAAAAATGACCGAATACGTTTCACAGCGAGAAAAAAATAAAAGGCAAGATAGAATTTTCTAGACATAAAGAAGTTGTTTACCGAGTTTTAGCTCTTATCTCTAACAAAAAATTAATTTTTAAAAAAATGACCGAATACGTTTCACAGCGAGAAAAAAATAAAAGGCAAGATAGAATTTTCTAGACATAAAGAAGTTGTTTACCGAGTTTTAGCTCTTATCTCTAACAAAAAATTAATTTTTAAAAAAATGACCGAATACGTTTCACAGCGAGAAAAAAATAAAACTGTACACTGATTTTCATTTTCATTTCCAGTCACTTTACTTATTATTTTTTCTTTTTTTCATTTTAATTATAAATTATTTCGTATTACGTTTATTTACGTTACCATTTTCTTTATTCTTTTGAATTCCATACTAGACACTTATAGAATATTTTGATTGTTAACGTACTTCATTAGAATGAATCCTTACAAAGGGTATGTCGATCGAATTTACCTAATTGGTATTTCCAATCAGATTGAAGAAGGTAAAATGACATGGGAAGAAGCTTGCACCCATGTTCCCATCGCCCCAACCCTTCAATCAAATGATTTCAAATATTTAGATGTTTCAAAATCTTTTTTACAAAATCAATTTAGCTTACAGAATATCCCATTGCCTAAAGGCAAGAAAGGTCGTAGGGTCAATCCCTACGACCAAATCAAAGCTCTTGCTGTGATACATGACCACTGGGCCTTTCCCTGTGGTCAAACAAAACAATGGAAACGTTTGAAATTACAACAAATTGATGTATCTTATAGAGAAGTACGCAGATACTTCAAAGAAAATCATTTCACCAAGACGCGATTAGAGCATGCCGGGCCAGAAACAGCAGTAAGATATTGGGCGCTTTCACCCAATCTTATCTGGCACGCAGATGTTCATTATTTTAGGGGTGTTCGTGGCCAATATATTTATGGCATAATCGACGATTTTAGCCGCAAAGTCCTAGCGTATATACAAATACCAGATATGCTGGCAGCGACGACAGCGAACGTTGCGGCTTCCGCCTTCATTGAATTTGGCGCCCCTTATTGTTTCTGGACCGACAACGGTTCAGAAAATAGGGGCGCCTTTCAAGATCTACTTGATCTTTGGGGCGTCCAATGGCGGCATACAGACTCTCATTCTCCCTACCAAAATGGGAAGATTGAGAGATTCTGGCCGCCATTGAAGCGCTGCCAAAGCATTCAGGCTATTCCTGCCTTTATTTGGGAGTACAATAATAACACACCGCATGAAGATCTCCCAATTAATCCATTAACCGGAACAAATTACACGCCAAATCAAATGTATCAGCTGAAACCGAAATACACAAATGCAGATACAGAAAGGTTGTGGCAAATATGGGATACAGATACAGGCATGACCGCTGTTGACACATTCACAGCGTAATAATAAACATAATTTTTTAATTTCATTTTTAACAAGTTTTTTTAAATGTATGTAATGAATAATTCATTAGAATATGATAATGCACATTGTAACAGAATAGAACAATCACCAAATTTTTTTTGAAATTAAAAAATAAAAGTAAAAAGTATAAAGTAATCTAACCAAAAAAGATATTTAAAAGAATTTTGGAAAAAACAGAATAAGGATAATGATATTATTTTAGATACACAATCGATGTATTGAAGAATAATCCGGTAAAATGATGATATAAAATTAGATTATTTTACAAGTAGCTAAAAGAATAAAACTATAATATAAAATAAATGAAGTTTAATGAAACAATAAAGGTTAAATAAATAATAAAGATTTTTATTTTATATCAGTATTGAGAAGAAGTAACAGCTGACACTTGGAAGACAACTTCTTTATGTCTAGAAAATTCTATCTTGCCTTTTATTTTTTTCTCGCTGTGAAACGTATTCGGTCATTTTTTTAAAAATTAATTTTTTGTTAGAGATAAGAGCTAAAACTCGGTAAACAACTTCTTTATGTCTAGAAAATTCTATCTTGCCTTTTATTTTTTTCTCGCTGTGAAACGTATTCGGTCATTTTTTTTAAAAATTAATTTTTTGTTAGAGATAAGAGCTAAAACTTTGCAGACAACTCCCCCATGTCTAGCAAATTTAACATTCGTCTCCCATTTTTATATATTTGGTTTAGAATGTTCGAAAATGCGTAATATGGTCATTAATATTAATTGAAAAGAACCTTGAATTAATTCAATCTGATCTCACAAAATATTTTAAATTACAAACTTTGTAGTTTGAATAGATAATTAGTATTAAACTCAAATAACTAGTTTATTTTTGAATAAAAATTATTTGAATTTATTCAATTTTGTGAATTTTCCTTCAAAAATCAAGTTTAAATATCTTATTTGCCATATAATTCTAAATACAATGAAACAAATTCGAAATTGAAAAGAATGACTTTTTCTGTTCTTTCAATCATTCAATTTGAATTTTGCAATATTGGATTTCTCATTAAATAGCTATTAAAAACAACAAGCAATTTAACTTACATTCAAATTTATTTGTGTTATATTCAATCTTCTCAAAACTTATAATTTTCGGCTATAGCATGATTATATGCTATATAATATAATAAACCTATAATAGTATCATTCTTTCAATTATTTGAAGAGAAAACCGAAAAAATCTATTTTCGGTCTATAACAGCGATATTATCAAAATTCGTTTTGAAATGAAATTTTATTGATATAATTTCATAATCATATAAGAATGAGAGCATTTTCAGTCTAATTTTCGATTTTAATTTTTTTTCAGATTTTTTGTAAAGTTACGATATTTCAAAAATCGAATCAGTGGATGAATCTGAATTTCGAATACATTGCTGCTCATATCAGTGATTATATTGAAAACGAAAACTTTTTTGATACATTCGATATGGAGGCTATCAAAACAATCATGAAATATTCACGTTTGACAGCTGATCAGTACGTTACTCTTCTCAAACAGTCTTCACCGACTCTTAGTTCCAAAGAATTATATATCAGTACACGAAAAGCAAATGTTACTATCGAAAATATTGAAGAAGTCATTTCAATTCTTACCTTCGTCAAAAAGTACATGAAATTCCACATATTTGATGGAATCATTGATTTTCTCAAAGAAAACGACAAACACATGGGTGATTCTACAGAAGAAATCAAAAAAACCTCAAACAGAAATAAAAACATTACAAAATCAAATACAAAATGTTTCCAAAGAAACTACAGTCACTCGAACTAATGAATCTCACAACTATTCTGAAGAATTTTTAACCAGAATCTCATTACTTAAGAAAATTAATGATTTTGAAATTGTTTACGAATTCTTTGAAGAACTTTCTTCTGAAGATAATCACGAAATGATTTCAAAGGCTTGTGAAGAAGGTCTTTGGTTAAAAAAGACAAAATTGGATGTAATGAATGTACTTCATGTTGCAAGTGAAAAAAGAAATCTTAAACTTGTCAAATCACTCATTGAATGTGGCTGTGATAAAGAAACAAAGAATGAATATGGATGGACTCCACTCATTTATGCATCATATTATAGTCATCTTGAAGTTGTCAAATATCTTATCTCAGTTGGAGCTGATAAAGAAGCAAAGTTTGGTAATGGAAATAATCCACTCATTTGGGCATCAAGAAAAGGTCATCTTGAAGTTGTCAAATATCTTATCTCAGTTGGAGCTGATAAATATGCATGGGATAATGATGTAAAAACAGCACTCTCATATGCAAATAGTAATGTCAGAGATTATCTAAATTCTATTGGAGCCAAGTAACATAATCTAATCTGATTGGATAATTATATTAAAATTAACAATATTCTTATTTCCAATATATTTTTCATATGAATATTGTTTGTTCTTCATTTAAAGTTACCATAAATTGATGTTATGCAATATCGAGTATTTCTCATAACTTCATTTTTAGTAAAGATATTAATGATATTGAAATATATATTAGTAGAGTATAGACAAAAGTTTTTATTTCGATGATATTGAAGTCTTGAAAACTTCCAGTATACAGAAAACTACTTCGCAATTTTCGAACTTGTTTCACATGAATTTAATTTTAATGACAATAAATTAATTAATATTAAGATTAATTTAATATTTCTCATTGGCACATTTATATATATATATATAGCATTTCTATTCTGAAGTCCCAGGAAATGCAATAAAAAGATGGCTTTTAACAAGACTGCCATGGAGAATTTCATAATGGCAAAGGTTCAAAAGCGGGTTGCCTTAATTTTTTTATTATTTAAAAAATTACAGAGTGTGCGAAATATGTTTCTCAATGATTACAAGTATAGTCTGTAAAAAATATTTTTAATGAATAGTTCGAAGGTATATAGATTGCAATATCATTGAGATTCTAAACATATCATTTTCAATGGATTTTGTATTTGATATTTTAAATCTAATTAGAAATAATAGATTATGCTATATTAGGTTTACATGATCTCTCATAGACCTGATTGAAATTCAAAGATATCAAATGAAAAATCATATAAAAGAGTGAAATTTCCAAAGCGGGTTATATGCGTGTCATTACCATAGAGGTGTAGAGTTACTATGTTGTATTGACAAGGTCAATTCGTGTAGTCATTATATCTTCAAATTAAATAGCCGTTGAAAAATATGTCACTTTTTGGTCCGGCTACATTGAAATGACTGTCAGAAGAGAGTTCCCAGAAGAGCAGAAAAAGCAGTATTATAAGCTCTGTGCAGAAGACGATCGCCTTGGTGACAACCTTGCCAAGTTTTCTGCCCAATTAGAACTCGAATTACGCCAACGCCGTACAAAATATCTCACACGTCACGAAATTAGCAAACTCAATCCTTCAGTTCCAGTATATCAATCATGCGGAAAAGCTTTTATTCTTGATACAGTTCCAAATACATTAACAACACTTCGTTCTGATCTTGCTCAGGCTGATAAGCATATTTTAATGATTAAGAAGACTGGTATACATATCCAGGCTCAACAAGCTCAAATTAAGGGTCAAATTAATGAGCTTTTAAGATCTGTCTTAAACAAATAAACAACTTTATATTATTGTTGGCAACAAAGCGCTGTTTACCTGAGTTCATTATTTTCTTTTCATTGTCTATACAAAATAAATTAATTTTGAAACTGCGTTATAAACTTAACCATTTTGACTTGCTTCTTGTGTTTATTCGTAATACCTAGCAGATGTGCAGAAATAAAACTTATTAAGACTAATATTTATGAAATATATTAATAATTTTGTCATATCATTAAACTAATGTGTTCCGGCACCTTACTTGATGAACTAATTATATTTGTGGATTCTAGAAACTATACACACAAAAGAAAATTATAGTTTCCTCTGAGATAAAGAGCAATAATAAATATATGCGCATGATGTCATATTTATCCTAGGCTTGTAGGATTAACGTAATAAAATGACTTGATTTCAGCTCTGAAAAAAAAACTCACATTATTGGATGATGACTTTTTATCATTTACATCATCTAACATCATTTCATTGAGAAAAAGTAAGAATAAAGGTAAAAAAAATTAAGTTATTGAGTGATCATTGCGATTTGCATATAAATCTATTCTAATGCAATGTTATTAGTTATTTATTGATAGTTGATATGAGTTTTCTACTTTATTCTTCATTTGTTTCATTGTTTGTCTTTGATTTTTCACTTCGATTAGCGAACGTTTGTGATACTATAACAAATGTTGAAACATTCAATGACACAATAGTAGTTCATCATATCGGCCAAATAAATTCGAATATATCTTCATATTTTTCTCTCAAAACATCTTATCAAGGGCAAAATATCTTCTTTCCTACAAATACAGCAGATGTTTCTATAATAAATGAAACAGCTTTTCATTTAGACTTCTTTATGCCATTCATCGCAAACTACAAAGCGACATTAAAATGCGGCCAAGAAAGAAAATTCAAAATTTCACTCAACACAACCGAATTCGTTCAGTCTAATTACTCAAGATTCAAGTGTCATAACAAATTCTACGAAACACGTTGGTGTGAAGGAAAAAATATCGGATTTATCAATAAAAACTTCACATTTTACAGTAAAGCAGAGATAAACTTTGATAAACCATTCCTTGTACCGGGTCCTAGAGCTCCTCCTTTCGATAAAATAGACGAAAGATGGAATGGCGAACCAATTATCATGAAAACACTTTATAATGACACAATTCCTATAATAAGAGGTAATTCATATGTTTACGGCACGTTTTGGAACGAGCAGATGCTTTGGCACTCTATTTTCGACTTCATTGTCCCATTTTTGACATTCACCAAATATTTTACAAAAGACAACCGCGAAAACCGAACAATTTTTGTTCACCATTACGGTGACCTTGAATTTTCTGAGTATTTACAAACAATTGGTGAAATCAAAATTCTTGAACGCGAAAATGACTTTTTAATGGAACATTGCTATGTAGGTATAGACAAATTCGAAGATAATCCATACGACAATCGTCCTTTTGATGATTCTATATCATTTTCATACAATTTTTTAAGATCAGATTATAATAATCTTCGAAATCAAACTCTTTTGCTTAATAATGTTTCATTACTAGGTTTTGGTATCAATAACAAGCCATTGGTATTAATTATCGATCGAAATACCTCGAAACGAAACATTACAAATCAAAATGAATTTTATTTAACAATTAAAAAAATTTTTAATGATTGTGAAGTTATCAACATCAATCTTGATCATATGCATCCGCGAGATCAGTTGTATTACTTTGCACGATGTAGTTTTGTTATTGGTGTTCATGGAAGTGGATTAACAAATGTTGTTTTCATGAATAATTATTGTTCAAAACGAAAGACACATTTGTTAGAAATTCTTCCACTTAATTATAGTTGTAGAAACTGGTTTAATGTTGCTTGTAACTATTCTGGAGTTAGATATCACAAGATAATGTCGAATCAAACTATTCATGAAGATTATAATACTAAAAACTGTCGAAAATATTCATATAAATGTTCAACATCATCATGTCATGACATTTTGAGAGATCAGGACATCACTGTTCCTATCCACGAATTTGAAGAAATTCTCAATGAAATTCACAATGAAATCAAAGATTCTGAAACATTTAATGAGTTTGGAGTTGTCCCAATTTACCGAGAGAATGATGAAATAGAAGAAATAGATGATGATCTATAAAAGATTTAGAGAATGCTTACACCAACTTGATAAATTAAACATTATTTTTCTTTCCCATTTTAATACTCTATTTTATGTGAAAAATTGATGATGACTTTAATCATATATATATGAAACAGCTAACTTATAAGTAGGGTGATATATTTTTTGAGTCTGATAAGTGATATCAGCACTATGACATATAAGTTTCATTCAGTCTATAAATCGAAATCTACCTATAGGAATTTGAAGGAAAAAAATAGTCTAAATTGTCTTTAACACTTCATTATGGAATTTATTTCAGTACGAATGATAGAAACCCTTGTTTTTCCATCTAATCCAAAATTTGTTTTCATTTAAATCTTTGTATAACTTGACGTTAGACATATTCTGAATCTAATTTCTCTATTATAATAGAAGATATTTCTTTTGGAAGAACTAGAGAAATCAACAAGAAGTCATAAAAAAGTAATATTCAGTATGAGTGAATGTGAAATGGAGAAAAGCTTCGATGTGATAATTTTTATAAAATCTTCGCTACACGCCGATAATATAAAAAGTGACAAATTAGAATGTTAGCCGCATTGTTCTCCATTGGATCATCAAAGTCAATTTCCGATGTTTTATTGGGAAGATGGTCAGGAGGCACAGTTTTTTCAACTGGCACTCCCCAATTCCAAAATTTAGATTTCAATCTAACTTATCAATCAATCAAGAATTACATTATTACTGAATACGAAGGAAACCCACTATACATCAATTTAAGTTTCGTTGACTTATCTGGAAATATTACATATGACGAAAAAATTTACGATTTCAATTTGACACAAACATCACCACCTCTTATTTCTTCTGATATTCAAGTAGGTGATCACAAAGTTCATGTTTCATTTTGCTCACATACAGTTATCAAAATTTTAATTTTATACCCAGATGGAAATTCCGAAACAGTTATTATAAAGAAGCCCAAAGAAAGTATAATTTTCCAATCCATGTGGTTTATAATCATGTCTGTTGGTGGCGTTATTGTTTACCAACTTTATTCATTATTCCAATATTACATGAACAGAAAGAGAGCTCAGCTTGCAGCCAGTGTTGAAGAAGCTAAAGCTAAGCCTAAAGAAACAAACGAAAAAGAAAATGAAGAAGAAGACTACGATGAAGAAGAGGAAGAAGAAGAAACCAACGAAGAAAAGAAAGAAGAGGAGAATGTTGCTGATGAAAAGAAAGATGACGATAATGTTGTTAAGAGATCAACAAAACATTAAATTGTTGAAATTTTTCTTTCAAGTATTGTAATGCTTGTAAATAATAGACTTAAATGATATCTATATTTTGTTACCTAATTTGATTTATATTATTTAGCCAAAATTTATTGAGAAGATCTTGAGATTTCTAATGAGATGCAATGGTTTTCATATTAAAAAGATGTTGACCTTCCATATATTCTTCTTCGATGTTTTTTGTTTGGAAATGATATAAAAAAATTATGTTCAATATTTTATTTAGTGAATTGTCTCTTTACATCTATTCCATTATACTTGGGCTCGATTCTTTGAGAAAGGTAATGGTATTTAACCTTATTTGAGATTCTTATTTTTCATTTTTATTTCTTCTATGATATAATCTAAGATTAATATGATCGTAATGGTTCATTGTACCTCATTATGGCAAGTAATATCATATAATGCTGATATCTCATAATTCTGAGCAAAACAAGATAACGACCTAATTTGTCCACGCGTGGAAAAAGACCTGAAATGGGAAATCATATAATTGGATTGAGTAGATATTTTTATCCATAATTTCGTTTTGCCGGACAAAGAAATGTATTTTGAAATTTTGAAAAGGACAATCTTTTTGCTTTTAGTTCAAATTTCTTTCGTCTGTTCAGTGTAGAGATTTTGGATATTACCGAATTTTTATGAAAATACGTTGGCCCGTTCCTGTATACGTTTTTTAATATTTTGTACGTTTTTACGGACATGCGGCAGAATTTATATAATTTTAATCACTGTGTAATTACTAGTATAATTGATTGATAGTCTTTGTCAGAATCACGTTTAAATTTTCGCTTTTTTCTGAACTTTTGTAAATCATTCAAAAATCGACATTTTTTATTTGCTTGCTCAGCCAAAACAGCAATGCCAGAGACACCGACATATTGGGAACTTTTGAACAACTGCGATCAAGATACTTATCAAGATCTTCAAAAGAAACTCAGCTCTTCTGAGTGCAGAAACTGCAGAAACAAAAGACTTGATAATTTCAACGAAATGCTCGATGAAATTAAGACATATACCAACAAGTCTGATGGAGATGATTGGAAACGCTGCTTAGTTTGTGGTGTTTGCTTCCTCTCTGATGGTATCGCAATTAATACTCACCAGCTCAGTATTTTGATTGGTAAGTGCAAGAGCTCAATCAATGGATCCCTTCACAGACTTAAATACGTCCCCTTCCCCTGCAGTAATGCAGCCAGTCAGGAATTAGTTGGTTTAATTCCAAAGCTGAAGGTGAACTACTCTGAACTAAGACAGTGGACACTTAGAAAGAAGGGAATGATGACACCACAGCCAACAGTTCGTGAAACAAAGCCACTTCCAACCCCAATCTTCATTACACCGCAACCAAAACCAAAGGTTGAGCCACTTGTACCTCAAAATCCTGATGAAATCAAGACTGAAGATATCTTCTACGATGATCCGATTATGCTTCCTATGAACAGTTGGAATGACGAGTTCGAAATCTCAACTCCAACGACAAGCTATGAAAATTCGGTCTTCCTTGATGACTTCATTTGAGATGCCCATACCATTCCTACCTTCGCCAAGGCCTAGAATGAAAAATTTTGTCCGACCGAAATCCGTAATTTCATGGTTTCATGCATATAATGTTACTGCATTGGGATTTTCGGCTCATATCAATACACTATTGCTGATTTAAAGTCAAGCAAGCAATAAATTGTTTGCTGATTTCATCAAAGTCCAAACACCGGTTGTTTGGACCTTTGATTGTGATAGCAAGCAATTTCAAAATATAATAAATGTTATTTACAGAATAATTTTTAATTGTTTTATCTTGACATAAAGATATAGTTTTATTTTGTCAAAACTTTTCGTATAACAACCTCATTGGATAGCAAAAATAGGCTGTTTCATGGGAAATTCTGGTGGTTGTATTCAAAAATAAATTGAAGCAATCTAAAGCAAAGAATTACTAAAAATATTGGAATAGAAAATATATCGTCATCAATGGTATGTCTCATTGCAGAGGTCAAAACTCGCATAGCTCATTTTCTTTCCGAAAATAATAATTTCGTGAACGAAGATTATAGTCTTTCAATGGAGGGGATATGTTTCTTATCTTATATGAGTTGTTATTTTGTGGTCTTCTCAATCTTATAAGCTGGAATCGCAAGAACTTTTCCATCTGTTGATACAACTTGTAAATATATCTGGTCTCCTAGATTTGGCATGGTTTCTTGTTTCTTTGGTGAACTATTTCTATAGGCTTCGTTGTATTTTTGTTTTTGTTGATCACTTAAACTCTTCCACTCTTCAGCGAGTTGCTTGGTAATTTCACGACTTGTTGTCTGGGGATTCTGTGCGTGTAACTCTGTGCGTCTCTCTTGACAAAAAAGGAAGTAAGGGTTTGGCTTTTTCTTCCCTTTCTCTTTCGTACCTTTTCGTTGAGGTGAGAGAACGGGAGGAGGTACAGAAAATAAAGATCCTTGCGTAACAATTGAGAATCGATTGTTGCTACTTGATTTTGGTTGGTTCATTATTTGAATTCAGAAACCGAACTCATAGAAACTCCTATATAAGCTATGCTGGTCTTGACAGCTGTCTGGGTTTTTGACGCATGTGAATTTTGCTTCAGGAGTAAGTCACCTAGCTCCGGCATGATGAAATGAGATCCAAACGCAACAACGCGAAACAATTATTACCTAATTAATTTTGTCATAAACGTAATTTGTGTATGTTACTATTTATTATGCAGTATATTAGAGCATGATGTGCTGGTATGATGGTTTAAAACGTCTGATTTTATGGAGATTCTATCCAAACAAATTCCCGTATGAGTTCCGTGTGTTCTCAAAAATTGTGATATTTACAATCAATCATCGAATGAAATGCTAAAATCACTTTAAAAGAAACTAGTTGTATTGGAGATTCTGTATCGAGAGATATAATATCTATTGCTAAAAAAATTGAATGAAAAATCAAGAATTATAAAGTAATTCTGTAATACATTCTTCCACTGTATGATGTTGAAATAGAATTTCTTGTTGTTCTGAAGAATATTTAATAAATATCCCTGAAATGATCAAAATTAGCTTTAAACTCTGATTTTTGTGAGTTATTCTACAATACTCTATAAAGAATGTCTTTTTTAGTCTTGTAATATCTCCAAATTTTTTAGGAATTAAATTTTTTGATAAGAATACTCTAAAATCTGATTCTCATTTTTTTAATTTTAAAAAAAATTTGGAAAATTTAAGAATTAAAAGATGGTTTTACGTCAAAACAAATAAGCCATTCTTTATTATTAATCACATGAATTATAAATAACTATTTAAATTAATCAAATATCAATTAATTCTTAGAATATAATTTTAATTTTCAAGAAAATGGTATAACAGATTAAAAAGAGGGAATATAGTTACTTAATAAATAAACTTTTAATGAAACTATACTACTTATAACAGCTAAAAGCAGTGTTTGATGAAAACATTTTTCACTTAATTGGTTGGATACTCCTGAAGGCACCATTTAAGGTCACCACGTTTGGCCAATGCTTGTTTGAAGGCTGCATAATTGTTGGCGTTTTCATTTTTCATGAAATCGACACCCATTGGAATTCCGTTGAAAACAACTCTAAATAAGTACTTAGAGCCTTTCTGCCAGAGCTCAAGATCGAGGTGGGATCTGAACGGTGGTAATTTATCATCTGTAAAGCCAAGGCTTGTCAGTAAAGCAGCAATAGTAGTATCGTGAGCAGAGTATAGTCTGAATTTTGTAGACGATGGTTTCTTGGCGATGAAATCGTCAATGTCTGCGAAGATATGACGCCAAATTGGTGATGCAGCGACGGCTCTGTTAGTTCCGAAGAAGCCATAGCTGAAATAAGCAATATCCTTCAAAGCCTGAACTGTTTGCTCTTCGGTGAACTTTACGATTGGGATTTCTTGATCACTGCACATATATGAAGAAATCCAGTCACCAATAAACATCCAATTTGTATCATCGGCTGTAAGGTTGATTGCCTTATAGATATTATCATATAATGCCTTAGAACGGGCCATTCTATCTTTGAAAACTTGAGTTGCTGTGAAATCATCCCAAACTTTCTGAAGATCCGCACATCCACTGGCTGCTGGGTATAGGAACTCTCTGTAATCGGATCCGGTGATAATCTGAATATGCTCACCGGGTTTTGCTGGCGGATAGAATCCATTAAGGAAACTAACTGCTGATCTAAGACATCTTTCAACTTTGGAAGAGCGAACTGAAACTTGATCCTTATCGAAATATGGTGGTAAGAATTGAGTTTCGTTAACAAGCCACTTCCTATAGAAGTTTCCGAGCTCATAATGCATCTCCATTCCTTCAACGGTTAATTCTCCAGCTTCGCAGTTTGGTGTGAAAGGTGCATATTTTGGATCGATAACTCTTTGGAAACGACGACGAAATCCATTATAAGGACTGACATGCATACGAGGAGCAGATGCTTCGGAGTTATCGCAATTCCAAGTACCTGAAACATCCTTTGGAGTCCAAGAATCCATTGGTGTACGAATTCCGTGTCTTGTAACAACGCCAAGCCATGCTAATTTGTATCCAGATATTGGATCAGCATGTTTGAGCTCTGATCTGCAGGTAATCTCTGCTGATTTTATATGGAAAGAAAGAAGTCCTAAAATCATCTAAAAAGCGACACGTGAGAAAAGTGACAAATTGACAGATAGAAACAAATCATGATTTCTCTTTTAGATATCAAACATACAATAAGCGAAAATTTTAAATAACTTCTATTGTTGGAAAAATCTTGAAGAATTAAAATTTCATTTTGATAAGTTAGTGAGAATTTCAAAATTATATTAAAATTTGTTTTTTGTACACATAATTAATTCATATCCTTAAAAAATCAAATAAAATAGCAAGTTCGATTTAGGTTCTTTAATTTTTTTCGTATTTTGAATTAATTTGTAAATATTTTTTTTTCATCCTTGCAAATTAATGGCTCCAAAGTTAGAGAAAGAATCCCAAATTTCCATTGTCTCCCGTTTCTTGAAAGGCCAAGGAACATGGACTAAAGAAGATATCAAGATCGCTCTTTTCTGGATCAAGCTTCTCTTAGGTTTGGTTATTGGTATTTCTCTTGGTTTCCTCAGAATCAAAGGATTCTTAACAGGATTTGCAATTTTTGTTGGCGTTTCAGTTTTTCTATCACAGTATTGGGTTAACAACGTACTTAATGCACAAGACTTATTTGGTGAGAGAGATAGCCCAGTTATGGAAGGATTATTAAATGGCCTTGCATTAATGGTATTCACTTGGGCTTCAATTTATACAGTTTTAAATTATTCTAATTAGCTTTATTTTTATATAAACTATATTATTCGAAAGTACACAGGTATTGCTTTACCCATATCGAAACATCATTTTTGAATACTTTAAATAACAAATTACACCTTTGATAATAAAATGGCGTAATTAGGATAAAGTTTCCTGATAAATGTTATTTATATAGATTTTGTAGTGGCTAAGGTAACTCAAAGGTCATTGGTCAGATATTATGACATATTATGTGGTAACATTAATTTCGCCAGAATGAAAAAAGATTTAAGTTACATAAATATATATGAAATCATTTACTGGTTGTAGTGAGCACCACCAGCCTTGAAGAGGCGAGCGTTAATGTCCTCCATGTTGAGTTCATCTGGTGTGGAAGCATCAACAGAGATGGAAACCTGCTGGATGACGCGGAGGATATCAGCCTTGTGGACTGTAAGCTTTGTGCGGTGGATAAGGCGAACCTTCTCACCACAGTATGTAATGAAAACGAACTTGGAGCGAACAGAAAGTTCATCACCTGTTGTGCAGCGAAGGTAGCCGAAGCCACGGAATTTTTCGTTGAGGTGCTCCTTGAGCTCGTCGAGGCCACCTGTGCCCTTGCCGACAAGAGCGAAGACCTTGTCTGAGCCCTCAGCGTATGTGCAGAGGAGCCAGTTTGTGTCGACGTTGTCCTTGCGGACTTCCTCGTAAGCTTCACGAATTGCTGGGTCAGAGCAGTCGGCCATTTTGGATTGTGAGGTAAATGTAAATCGGACAAATCATGGTGTACAATGACTTTTTCAATGACACATTTATCGTTATAAATTGAAAGCGATTTTATTTCCATGAAAAGAATATAATATACTCAACGTATAATGAATATTATAGCTATTGTAATATTACAGTTTTATTTCAACTCCCACATTCAAAAAGATAAGTTATTAGTAAATCCAACCAGATACAATAAAGCTATATATTTTTCCATTTTACAAAAGTCTTCTCAAAACATCAGAATTTCAATTTTAAATATTTAGAAAATTTAATTTTTATCTAATCATTATTATTAATGTAATGCATAGATTCTAATTTTATAAAAATAATATACTAATGACAATGGTCGGGTGTCGAACTTGCATAATTGCCTAAAATTTGATTGAAAAAGGTGATATGGTTCAAAACAGCTTATTATGATAAACTTTTTGAATAATTTTATGGTGATTGCAAAAATAAAATTGTAAATAATTGTGAGTAAGTTTATCAGTTTTGAGTGAACAAATTGTAATCTGCTTTTTTATTGTATGCCTAAGGTTTATTAAGCTGGCATATTTTATCGCTACTTTGTAACCTTTTCAAAAAGTGAAGTAAACAAATTGATTCTACGATAAATCTTCTCAAAAATAAAATGAATGAAGTAACCATCACATATAAGACCAAAAACAGCAGTAATGGATCCATACACATGATGAAATCATAAATCTCATATGCATAATTTGTTTTTCCTTACCAATTTCTATCCAAAAAAAATTGGGTGGCGTTTTATAGCCACTATCATTATAATCTATACAGTCATTTGCAAACTACTTGTTTACTCACATATTTTTTGGATTTATCTGAAAAGTCTCCATTTTTCTCATGTCAAATATTAGAGAAGGGAAAGTAATATCAAAAGATAGAATTAAATACAAGAATACAATCATATTAACAATAGAGAAGAAAAGGAAAATGAGTCAGAATATATTTATATGAGAATGAATAACGTTTAAGACAGAATTTGCATGAGAACTGTATCGGAATCCAAACGTTTTACAGTTCGTTTTCAAATAGCATGTAATAATCATAAATTTTATTTATATGTTCAAATAGTGTTCAAAATTTCTTGGAAAATCAATCTGAATGAAGGCGGATCTAGAATAGCTACTTTTATTTTTAAACTAAAGACTGGCATAATTATATATATATTATGGATTATTTAATTTTAAGAAATATGTGAAGCACCGCTGGTCTAATGGTAGAATTTCACCTTGCCAAGGTGGGGGTCCGGGTTCGATTCCCGGGCGGTGCAATAATTTTTAAATTTTTTAATAAAGGATCATTTCAAAACCTGATCGTTTACTTGAATTAATTTTTCTGCAAGGTTTAACCAAATATCATTGTCAAACGAGTGAACGTAAGAAAAGAACTACTTTTTTGATATATAAATAAAGTATCATATTCATTCTTGAATGAATAGTTGATAACAGTCGATGTTATTCTCTTACCTATGAAATATATGGTCATTAAATTTCTGTTTGCATAATAATAACTCATTTTTATTTATTGCTTTTTCAATGCGCTATAAGGGGCGTCATCCCGTTGAAAAATTTCTATCAATTATAATGATATTGTATACTTTAACAATACTATATTCTTATCCAGGTAATGCCAGATTCATATTAGAAGATCCTCGTAAATTTAATTTTTTGGCATGGGATATTAAATGGATACTAGACACGTCTATAAATCTTCCTTTCAAAGAAATAATGCTTATTAATAATAGATGGAAAGAATATATCAATTCCTATTATATAACAAATCAAACAAATTTAGATTTTGTTTCCATCCCGTTTGATAGAATTTTTCGATCCAAAGGTAGATATTATCAACTAGAAAATGTTCTTGTTTGGAAAGAAGGAATATATTATAATGGTACCTTATTAAAATATGATTTTCATGAAAAATATCCTCAGCAACGAATCACTTGCAAAGATATAGTTCCATTTGGGATTTTTGTCAGGATGCCGTTCAACACATATGGACACTTCCTCCACGATATACTTGCAACACTAGTTATGTACCCCGATGATGTACTGAATCAAGAATTATATGTATTTCATAACTATAATTGGAATGATAAATTTAAAGAACATCTTGATGCGATGGGATTGACTCACATTCATCCTTATGATTCTAAAATCAACGGATTTGTTCTTGTGCATAAGCTCTACTACATACATGCATATGAGAACACTCATGAGTTTGATCATCTCGGATTACCGAGAGTTTCGAAATATTTCAGATCGAATTTGAAATTTGACCAAATAGAACCAACAAAATACAACATTATCAACAGAAGACCGAATGAAAGACGATACTTCACGAACATAAAGGAATTGCTTAATGCATTGAAAGTGAAATTCCCCAATATAAATTTCCAAGAAATTCAATTGCAAGAGAAATTAGTAGACACAGGTCGTTTGTTTGCAGAAACGAAAGTTTTGATTGGAAGTGGCGGCAGCTTGTTGTTTAATTCAATGTTTATGCATAATGAAACAGGCGTTGTGTGCTTGTTTGCGAATAAGATAGATTTACCAGATAATATTGTTCTTGCTTGTTTCGGAATTTATAATATTGGTGTTGTTCATCCAAATATCAATTTTTATGAAGGACAAGGTGCATGCGATATCGAATTAACTGTTGATTGCGTGGACAAAATCATATTTGCTGTTGAAAATAAGAAATATCCTCAAATGAAAGGATATTATCCTGTGATTGCGAATTATTCGTTATTTTTCCAAGTTCGAATGCGTAATTCCTATAATAACGGGGCAATTTGGAATTACGCGGAGAAAAGAATAGAATGATTGTTATAAATTTTGTGTGAATAATTATATTTTTTTTTGGATTCAAGATAAAACCTTGAATTCATTATATATGAAACGGAATAGTATTGCCAAAGCCACAAATATTTGTCATTTATTTGAAAAATTATCTACATCAATCTTCAAAATTTGGATATTCTGATACAGATCAAAGGCATTAGTCTTCATTATCAATGAAATGGAAGTGTATCTAAATATTTTTTAATTTTGAAAGAAAAAAAAAGAAAATTGTCTAAACATTCTATATTTATACATAATATATGATAAAATAAGTACCAAGTACTTATGTATATAATGAGTTTCCATTATTACTGCTTCCTGTGTTTTCAAAGAACCTAATTGGAGGAATCTTTTCGTATTCTTCGCTATTTGGCCTTTCTTTATCTTCTTCGAGGAGTTTCTCAAGGAGTTCATGGAAAATGGCGAGAGTAACGTAAAACCAGATACATAATCCCTGGAAAATAAATGATGTAAAGTATATCGACGGAATAAGCTTAGATTTATCAGCTCCATAAGCCATCTCATCATAACCATCCAACAAATAGTTACCGTTGCATGCAGAAATGAGTAATTTTGCTGCTTGTCGTGGAGATGTGTAATGAGGACTGTATCAACCGAAGAGACAGACTCCAACGTATATGTATCCGAAGAAGAAAGGTAAGCAGCCAACTAAAAACTTTAAAACCGGACCAATTCCCAAATTTAACATGCGAACAATGATAAAAAGCGAAGGAACAAGCCTAAAGAACTTGAAAAGGACAAAGGAATGACAGAAAGAGGATAAACTAAGCATAAACATCGGCCATGGCAATCCATCATTTACATCTTTACCGTATTGAAGGAATATTGAGACACAAGTGATAGACACAGCATCTAAAAGGAAGGATATGGGATCCCAGAGGTCAAGTTTGGCCCAAAAGTACTTGAGAACTGATGTTCTTTCAATAATTGCTTTTTCTTTGGCCTTTTTGTAGAATTGAATAAGCGAGATAACTGTCAAGATACAGCAGATCAAGGAAAATACTATAATTAATATAGAGCTTGTAATTGTATACTGGGATAACATAGAAGAAGTTGCTTTCTTTGAATATCTGATAGATCTTTCATGTAGGTTCTTCCATACAATGATTCCTGTTCCAAAAATGAAATCAAAGGAAGATTTGACACCAATATGATACGAATCAATCGTTCCAGACTCTCTTGGATGCAATGTAATGATCATACTTATAGTGTATGCTGTAAATTGATCAAGATATTTCTCAGCGATATCATGAACTTCGGTGATATTTTCTTCGGTAATTTGAAAAACTTTTGTATCTCCATCAGAAAGATCAATAGTGAGGTTGATATTAGATGATCTTGTTAGAGGATATGAACACGGGAATGAATCTGTGAAATTGATGTATTTATAAAGTGTTCCGTTAATTGCATCGAGTAAATCAGACATTGTATAGATTTTGGCATCACCATATATATCTTCAATGTCATCATCTTCTGTGGCATCACGCCCATCTAAGAAATAGCCATCTATGGCTCTTCCGAAATCTTGAAAGAAAGGAATCATCGTTGTTTGGATTGAAGATGCTAGAATGAAATATAAGATGATAATAGCAAATTCTAAGAAGCATGCAATCGGAAGCTTGTGATTTGTTGCCCATCTTAAAAATAATTTTTTAGGAGAAACATAGGAACGAACTCCTTTGTATTTATGACGAAATATAGGATGTGTTTCAATTGCAACTTGGTCCTGATGACCTGCAATTGTCGCAGTCTGAGGATAACTAAGTCTAAAATCGTTCAATGTAAAAATGGAAAAAACTATAGGATATAAAGTACTCACAAAATCTAGATTGAGAGGCGGTCAATGACTTTTGAGGGGAAATTAACGCATGGAATTTAATATTATTTAGGTTGATATTCTTGCTTATTATTTCAGAAAAAAATCTTAAAAATTTCAATATGAAAATTGAAAGCAATTCAAAAAAATTGCTAACATGTAAATTTTAATATCCTATGCATAATTTCATATTTTGAACATTTTTTATTTTTGTTTAAAACTTAAAATTTTGCGAATTTAATATAATTTATAAAATATAATACGTATATATATTTAAAATACACTAAATTTAATTGTTAATTGACGTTTTTGGGAATGAATTTTATCAAAACATGCCTGAATCCGAAAATTTGAAAGAACGAATTACACAATCATATATGTAGAATTCAAAATACAAACTTAAAGATTGTATACGTTTAAAATTATTCAGATTGTGTTTGATTTCCACTCATTCTGTTTCTTTTGAACTCTAACACTAACATTTCATGATGATTACATGATCCATTTATACATGGTTGAATTGTTCCAGATTCAACCAGAAAATCAACCCAAATTTCTCAATGCATTCATGTTGATTGGACAAAATTTAAAATTTATCAGCCTGTTTCCAGAGAAACTCATATATTCCCTAATGAAATGTAATTTTTGCTACATTTATTTCAATCAAATTTCAAAAAATTGACTGCAGAGCTTGAAAAGGTGATGAATCATGTTGTTATTAGATGTACATATTAGATTTACTATTTCCAAAAAAATGCTCAAATTTGAATAGTTTTTAGAAAATTTGGAATTACACTCCTTACATTATATATAATTAAATGTTTAAATTTTATTTATTTTTCCCTTTTAATTTTATAACGTGCTCTATCAAAACTAACCTCTCAATTGAAGGCCACAAAATCTAAGTAGGAGTAGGGGTAATTTTAGCTAAAAGTGACACACCTGTAAAAAGTGACACACCCGTGAAGGGTGTGATTACCGATCGGTAATTTCGACAGTTTAGAATTTAAAATTTTTTATGGAACTGTTGCGAGTTTCATAAAGAATTTAAGGAATATAAGCAAAGATTTGAATCAAAATCTTAGACCTAAGCCGCTCGATTCGCTCGCGGCTTCCGCGAATTACAGATCAGCAAAGATTTGAATCAAAATCTTCGAACTAAGCCGATCGCTTCGCTCGCGGCTTTCTTTATTATTTTAAATTTGCATATTTCCATCAAAAGTTCATAAGGTAAAAAATTTCGTTTATATTATTGCAAAATAAAATCTTCATTATCAAAATAATATTAAATAATAATATAATATAATTTATAAACAACTATTATTTAATAAAGTTTAATTGCCAAGGTTCATCTAATTTTTTGATTTTTAATGTTTTATGAATTTTATTTATCATGTATACATCTAATGAAGATTATATATGTAGAAGATAAGTACCTTAATATGTACGTAAATTTTAATGAAATTTATACAACATTATAAAAATTTATGAATAAAAACTTGATATAAAATAACATTTTTATTTTTACTAAGAAAAAAAAGGTTTTTGATAATAAATTTATTTTATTTCGAAAAAGTAGCAATAATCGTAAAAGGGTATTGATAGGCTTGCTAAAGTAACTAATTTTAGCTGTCAAATACTTTTGTATTTTGAAGTAAATTAGTATAAATTTGTTTTTACTTTTATTTCGAAAAAGTAGCAATAATCGTAAAAGGGTATTGATAGGCTTGCTAAAGTAACTAATTTTAGCTGTCAAATACTTTTGTATTTTGAAGTAAATTAGTATAAATTTGATATTATTTTAACTCCCATTGAAAACCTCAATTTTCCATACAGAGGGAACGGGAATAGCATCCAATATTCCCTGAGAATGGTTGCGCATTCTCAGTTCCCTCTATATTTCGAACGAAGCTCTCATCGGTCTTTTTTTTTAATACTAAACGTTTTTTTTCCCTGTCACTTTTAGCTAAAATTTGGGTTTGCCACTACCTTACGGTGATTGCATACAACAAAATATGAATGAATATACTTAATATGATCCACTGAATTAGTTATTAAAACTTAAAACATTGAACTTCATGTTTTTGCCCTCAACCACTTTGAAATCAATCAAAAATAATCGATAACATGATATTTTTATCAAGTTATCTGCATATTTAGTCACAAAGTATTATATATTCCCAAAAAAAGACATGAATCAGATTTTGTAAACCTTATTGAGCAAAAATTTTTTAAAAGTCACTTTTTTGTCAAAAATTTTATTGAGATAAAAAAAGGTCGTTTTAAATATTATCCTAATATCTAATGAGCACAGATCACATTGATGAGTACACTGATGCTGCTGAAAGATATAGGAACATATTTAATACAGTGAGTCAGGATTTAAACCAGTATGAGAATGAAATTGGAGATTATACTGAAGCAGAAACAAGAAAAATCGATGCTTACGCGGAAAGTTTGTTCGAAAAAGTGCTTGACAAAGTGCATCAATACAATAAATCCTCATATACTATGTACAAAAACTGCGAAGACGTTGATAGTTGGTTTCAACGTGTTAAAACACTACAAGATACAATATTTAAAGTAGACACGAAAGATACAGCTGAATGGGGCAACTTTCTTTTCAAACAAGCTCAGAATTCTCGTCAATTACAAGAAATGGAAACAGAAGTTCTTGCTAAACTTCGACAGTTGGTAAATGAAGAAGAATCACCAGAGTATATACGCCTTAAATTAATGAGAGATGATATGGCTTCTCGTTTAGAAATCAGAAAATCTGTTGCAAATCAACTCGAAAATGAAACTAATATCGCAATTACACAACTCAACAATACAATACAGAGCAGAGATACGTTTGTTCGTGAAATGGAGAAAGCAGAACAAACTTTGAAGATTTTTACAGCAAAAAACAGTTTTCAAATCGTTCAAGATGCCAGAAAGAAGGAGATAATTGAACATAATTGGATCAGAAGGAACATTGAGCTTGTAGATTCAATAGAAACCCTAAAAAAAGAAATTGAACAATTTCATAATCCAGAAAAATTCGAATCTGAGATGAAAAAGATATCTTTACAGCAAGATGCAGAATATAAGAAGCTTAATTCCCAATACGAAGACGAACTTTTCATTGTTAACCACGAATTAAGTCAAATTTCGTCAACCCATCAGTCAATGATGGAAACATTGAAGAAAGAACTGAACGAAATAAGATCTGAACAACTTAAGCAGGAAAGGAAGTTGACAAATACATCAGTTAAGCAAGAAAAAATGTCTTCTGACAGATTTATCAATAATTACAAAAAAATTCGGTTTGCGAGTATCAAATCCATTGAAAAAGAGTTCAAAAGAACCACAATAAAGCTAAATGACCTCATAAATATCATTACAGAAGACCATAAAAAAGATGTTGATGATTTAAAAGCGAATATATCGAAAATGTACCAAGAACTCCAAGAAATACTCAAAAGAAGACAAGGACATATAGGAAACATGACAAATTTCCAATTAACTCAGCTGCAATCGTCAAATCAAATTTCATTAGCAGCATTACAAGCCAAAAAAGAACAAATCATTGAAAAATCGCTTCATAAGGATATAGAAATTGATGCTTTGAATAGACAAATAGTTCCTGTCGAAGGAGTTTATAATGATCTTTACCAGATTTACTCAACAATGCTGGATCAGCAGAATAACTTTGAGTTGATGTATAAAACTGAATGCGATAAGATCAGTGGTATACAGCAGTTGTCTGAATCAAGAAATAAAGCAAGATCGAGGTTTATTTCAAATGCAAAGAAAATTATTTTGATTCTTAAAGAAATTTTGAGAAATAAGATGAAAAGAAATGATCCATTGAAGGAAATAATCAAGAATCATCGTAAAATAACAGCAAAAGATGATTTTGAAATTAAAATTATTCCTGAATTTAAAATTAAACAAAGAGAGATATCAGAAACTCAAGAATCACAACTTAAAGAAGAAGAGGAATATGATAGTGAGCCTTTACAGTTCGAAAGTCCTTATAAACCTGAAAATTCTGAAATAATTTTACCAGAAAAATCAAATTCAGAACAATTAATATCAGACCAACCAAGTACATATCATAGTTATGACATTAGTAATCAAGAAATCACAGAAAATTCAACATCTCATATTTCAGAATTTCCAGAACATTCTTTTGACATAAAAACAAGGTCATTAAATAATAATGAGACTATTGAAACCTCGCAGAAGAGTAATTTTGAAAATTCACAAGTTATTTCTGAAAATCAGAAAATTTCTTCGCAAATCAATGAATCAGCGAAAAGCTTGCAGCAAATTTCAGAAATAGCACTAAATAAAGAAAATGAAGCCCTAAAAACAGAAGAATTTAGTGAAATTTCTGCAATTTCAGCAAAATCAGCCACAACATCAGAAAAATCATTTACTTCTCTTGCAAGTGCAGGAGTTCATAGTTTAAATGATGATTCTGCCGAATTCCTTCCAATACAAATAATAACTCCTCCATCGAGTTCTTTTTCTTCTCAAAAAGACTTTAAACCACGAGAACCAACACAAAGGAGGTCATCTGAATGCAGAAAACCAAGAAAGGAATCATTGTCTGCACCAGAAACCACAACTAGAAAAAGATCTCTTTCTGGAGTTGTAAAAACCAAAAAAGATCCAATAAGAACTCGAACGAATAGGTCGGAAAAAAGCTCAGAATTATCACGTCCTTCTCTTCTTCTCCCTAAAACAGACATAATTCTCGGTGTTCGACCTGTTTCTGGAAGATCTTCTCATTCGGAATCATTTGATTTCAATGCAAGCGAAAGAGAACCAAGAGTGAGAAGAAGGACACAAACAGAAGAAGATAGATCATTCAGATTCGTAATGAGAGGCTCTGTTTTTGGCGAAAAACCAAAGAAAAGAAGAAATACAACAGCATCAAGAGTCAAAGTTGAGAAAATCCTCAAAAAATAACAATACCTTTTATATATTTGTTTTGTTTGTAAATATTATGTTAGTACTATGTAAAAAAAGTTTTTTTTATTTTAAATTTGATATTCGTAAATATCATTATGTAAATTTGACAACAAATAGTGCTTCTCAGTGTAGACAAGATGGCTTCAATCAACATTTATTTAAAACCCAAGGATTTTTTTTTTGAAATCTAAATGTGAAATTAAGTATGTTTTATGACATTACTCATGTCAAACAGTTCACATGAAGTGAAGTAATAATATAAGACAGTATTAAATAAAGCCGTTGAGAAAGTGTCAAACAAATTCCAACGGCTTTTGATCAAAAAAATTCAGAAAATTCTTTCAATAATTTTCGACACAAAATTATTGCTTATCAATCACATAGAACTGCAGCAGAAGTATATTTACAAAGTGAGATTGATTTATACAAAATTTTGTTTGAAAAATTTATTTGAATATCCACGCCTCTTTAAATTTATTGAAAAATAAAACTTATTACAGGTACAACACAAAATGTTAAAGCAGTTTTTGGGCCCCAAATAAGTTTTCGATTCAAAATTTTGATAAATTTTTGATGTTGAAATGAAAATCCATGTCAATATTTTGGTTATAACTTGATTTTCAACCAAATATATAGTACACATCATGAAACATATAAATTAATTTTAATTTTTTTTTAATTTTGAGTGACAAAACAAGATAATTGTCTCCTGATCTAGATGCAAATCAGAGAGTAATTACAAATTTTGTGCCCTCGTTGGATAATTTTGCTTTCTAGGCACGTTTTTGGCAAACAAATTAGTCCAAAAAATTGTGAGAAAACATGACAAATTTTCTCATAAATCATTGAAAATTTCGGATAGCTATAATTGATACATTTCTAAACAACATACTATTAAATAAAAAATTCCGACAACTCCCCAAATTTTTATTTGAACACTGTCTTATTCTTTTTTTTTTTTTCTCCTCATTATTCATGTCTTATGCTTATACCATTTATTTTACTCCTCCTATGACTACACCCGTCTTTTATGATAGTATTATCATATATGATGAGAAAAAGCTACAAACTAATTCATTATTACTTTCTTTAGCATCAGACAACTTTTTTTCATTAATCAAAGATCGTGACAAGCACAAATTTACAGAAAATTCCACATATAACATCGATATAGCAAGTATTATGCCTAATTACAAAAAATTTGAACAAAAAATTTTCGAAAATTTATTGAAATTATTGGAAGGACAAAAGATAGATGCCGGAAACAAAGATGTTGACGAAATCAAGCAGATCTGTAAAGAAATCAAAGCAGAAAAACTTCTTTATTTCATCGATCGATCCGTTGAACAGTCAAAAAAACATAAAACGAGCACATCACGAAGCGTATCATTTGTAGAACTTTTGAACCAAAAATGTACAGATTTTCTTAAAAGATCGAAAATTTTACAAAACAAAAAAGAAGATTTACTTAAAGAAGAAGATATCAGATATTTTACAATAGAAGATAACATTCGACCCGGCGAAATCTATTTCCAAATTATTGACGAATCCTTAGATTTAATCGATTTTGATTCCGAAGAAAAACTATCAAATTTACATCCGATCTGCTTTGCAGCATCGATAAACAGAGAAACAATCACAGAAAAATTTACAGAAACCTCAAAATCATTAGACCATAATACTTTAATCGACGCTTTATGTTGTGCGGCCATTTACGGATGTTTTGACACATTTAAAGTATTATTTTATGCTCTCAAGGATCGTGAGAACAACTCTGACTTCGACGATGAAGAAGACTTTTCCATTGAAGACATTTTTGCTGACAAAAACATTTTTTTGTGCGCAGTCATTGGAGCTTCCACAGAAATTGTTGATTTTATCAACCAAGAGGTCGATACAAAGGACATAATACATGAGAACAATCGAAGGAGTCTCCATTACACAGCAATGTTTATCTTTCAAAACGAAAAAGATAAAGAAAATTATTTGAAAATAATGACAGAAAAATTGATAGAAGTTACAAACGATATTATCGTCTTTGATGATAATAATAAGTCAGTGATGCAATATATTGTTGAAAATTATGATGAAATTTTGGGTGACAAAATTATTAAATCGTTTTCCTCAAAAAATAATCAGAATGACCAGAATTCTCGACGAAGAAGACAAAACAACTACAAAAAAAATCAATCAATCACAAAAGAAGTGACAAATGATTTAATCAAATACGTCAAAATTAATGACTATGTTAAATTCAAAAATTTGCTTAATCTATCTTCTGTTTCAGGCATAATCATCGAAAAGTTCGAAGAGAAGCCTTTTCTGAATATAATTTGTGAAATTCCAGAACGAACAATTTTTATTAAGGAATTTTTGCTTTATAATCAAAACAGGGTTATAGGTTTAGATCCAACCAATGGCTTTAATTCATTATTTGCAAGTGTTTCAGTAGATTATAACGAACAAAACATAATTGCCATTTTGGAATCCGGTATTGATTTATTTTCACGTCTTAAAGTTAAATTGTCTAATGGTAGTTTCCAAGAAAACACCATATTTTCATTCTTATCCCAAAAAAAGAACTATCCGTACTTGAATTTGATTTTGAAATACATGAAAGACACCAATTACAATACTAATAATGCTCGCAATCACCAAATAGTTGCTGACACCGAAGAACTCTACAAGATCTTTGGCTTGGATTACTCGATGTTCAAATTTCATGTTATTGATAAAAGATTAAAGCCCGATCTCAAATCAGCTGAATCCAAAGTTTCATCCACAGCTTCAACAATTGTTTCCGATAATATTCCTGTTAAACAAAACGTTTCACGCAGCGAAATTCCACAAAAAATCTCCAAAATCCAACAAATCCCACAAATTTCAACAAAATTTCCAACACCTCTTTCCAATTTCAGCAAAAAGATGCAGAACGAAGCAATTAAAGATGTCCTGGACCCAGAATATCCAATTAATTTCCAAGACAGGGATGGATTCACACCTCTTATTCTTGCCGCCAAAAATAATTTAGTATCAGTTTTAGAAAAACTAATTACAATTGATGGCATTGACATGAATCTCAAGGAAAAGCATGGACACACCGCAGCAAGCATAGCTGCTAATGCAGGTCAAGCAACAACACTTTCAATAGTATTAGATCACTGGCGGAATCCAGATCTTTCAGATGTTATGAAATTACTTTATGAATGTGTTATCAAAAGTGACACAAAATTCATTCAACTCTTTTTCAAGAGATTCGAAGATACAGCTGTCTATAAAGAGATGCGCATGAAAGATTTTGTTGTCACTAATGATGGCCAGAAAGCCTTACAATTAGCCGCACAAAAAGGACACACCGAAGTCGTAAAATTTATTCTTCAAAAGATGAAAGTTTCAATTGATTCTGTTGGTAAAGGTGACACTACCGCCTTGATGGCAGCGATTTCTTCACATAAGGAAAAGACAGTAAAAGAGCTTCTCGACATCGGAGCCTCTATTGATCTTAAAGATGATCTTGGTAAAACTGCATTAGTTCGAGCAGTAGAAAGCAAAGAAATAGAAATCATCAGAATGCTTCTTAAGAAAGGTGCAGATCCAAATGATGGTATTGTCCAGAGAAATGAAGGAATCAGATCAGCTTTCTTAGTAGCTTTACTTAATAAAGAACCTGATATTGTTTCTCTACTTCTGTCAGAATCTAAGTATCATCCAGTCGATTTACATACTATATATAACGGAATGTATCCTCTAGATCATGCGAAAACTTTGGCGAAACAGTTTGAGTCTAACCCAGAAAAGTATCATTTGATGACAAAAATTATTAATATAATTTCAGCATATTTATAATTTCATTCCAATTGAAATTTAACTTGTTTGTAAAATTGTTATTCATTTGTTTATTTTATACTTTTTTTTAATGTTGCACTTACCATTTATGTGATCTTCTTATGATATCAGTATACTATAGCAGAAGAAATCTATCTTCTAAACTGCAAGGTTGAGTAGATCATGTTTAATGAAGGATAAATGCCAAGTTTTTTCCAAACTGCATATACATCATGATCAATGCCCAATATTGTTTCATAGGAGTCATATATTAAGATGTCATGAATGATGAATGCTGCCAATTCTTAGAGATAATTAGGTGAAATTAATCTAAAGAATTGGTACTTTCTAAGAGCGAGTGATGGTTTGGATGTACTAATTAGCACAGTCATATGCCACTTCCAACTCCTATTTATAGTAGGAGAAACTAATTCTGAATGTTTTTTTTAGACAGAGTTTCTCCTACTTGGGATGAGAATGAAATGTTTTGGGGTACATTTTATCTTTCATTCCCATTAGAAAGTGCCCAAAATATGAGATAAACTTGTGAATTTCACCCAATATTGGACATTTTTTAAGTGACATCGGATGTTTGAAAATTCTAATTCTACACCAGCGCTTTGCAGCCCACAATTCTAAATTTGCAAGTGTTGTTATCAAAATACATTTTGAAATGAAATTTCATTGATATATTTTCATAAACATATAACAATGAGAGCATTTTCAGTCTAATTTTCGATTTTAATTTTTTCAGATTTTTTGTAAAGTTACGATATTTCAAAAATCGAATCAGTGGATGAATCTGAATTTCGAATACATTGCTGCTCATATCAGTGATTATATTGAAAACGAAAACTTTTTTGATACATTCGATATGGAGGCTATCAAAACAATCATGAAATATTCACGTTTGACAGCTGATCAGTACATTACTCTTCTCAAACAGTCTTCACCAACTCTTAGTTCCAAAGAATTATATATCAGTACACGAAAAGCAAATGTTACTATCGAAAATATTGAAGAAGTCATTTCAATTCTTACCTTCGTCAAAAAGTACATGAAATTCCATATATTTGATGGAATCATTGATTTTCTCAAAGAAAACGACAAACACATGGGTGATTCTACAGAAGAAATCAAAAAACCTCAAACAGAAATAAAAACATTACAAAATCAAATACAAAATGTTTCCAAAGAAACTACAGTCACTCAAACTAATGAATCTCACAACTATTCTGAAGAATTTTTAACCAAAATCTCATCACTTAAGAAAACAAAAGATTTTGATAGTGTTTACAAATTCTTTGAAGAACTTTCTTCTGAAGATAATCACGAAATGATTTCAAAGGCTTGTGAAGAAGGACTTTGGTTAAAAAAGACAAAATGGGATGAAATGAATGTACTTCATTTTGCAAGCCAAAAAGGAAATCTTAAACTTGTCAAATCACTCATTGAATGTGGCTGTGATAAAGAAGCAAAGAATAAATATGGAAGAACTCCACTCATGTATGCATCATGGTATAATAATCTTTCAGTTGTTAAATATCTTATCTCAGTTGGAGCTGATAAAGATGCAAAGAATAAATATGGAGATACTGCACTCTCATATGCAAATAGTAATGTCAGGAATTATCTAAAATCTATTGGAGCCAAATAACATAATCTAATCTGATTGGATAATTATATTAAAATTAACAATATTCTTATTTCCAATCTATTTTTCATATGAATATTGTTTGTTCTTCATTTAAAGTTACCATAAATTGATGTTATGCAATATCGAGTATTTCTCATCACTTCATTTTTAGTAAAGATATTAATGATATTGAAATATATATTAGTAGAGTATATACTAAAGTTTTTATTTCTATGATATTGAAGTCTTGAAAACTTCCAGTATACAAAAAACTACTTCGATGACAAGAATTAATTAATATTAAAGTTAATTAAATATTTCTCATTGACACATTTATATATATATTTCTCCATTGCATTATTATTTTGAAGTTCCAGGAAATGCAATAAAAAGATGTCTTTCAAAAGAATGAAATCCATGTAATCATTACAGGTAGAAAAACAATTACATAGAATATACAAATAACAGTATGATAGATGGACAAAAAAATAGTTTGTTCGATGAAGGAGATAAAGAGATTTTTAATGTTTATATTTTTTGCAATTTTTCATTCTTGATTAAAACTCAAAAATAAACTTGCCATCTATTAGGATACGTAAAATAACTCATATCTATCATATTAAAATTTTCGAAAATTTCGAAATCAAAAAGTTCATTTTTCGCGAAGAAAAAAAGCGATGAAGGATAAATTCACAATTTTTTTGTCACTTTTATATAAAAAGTTTTCGAATTCATATCTTGAGAATTTATGTTCAATTCAGATAGCGACTCTGATACCGGCACTGGATGGTCTAATTTATCATTCTCTAATATTTCTTTCGAAAACATGAAAGATAAAACTCTCTGGAATGTCAATGACTGGGATTTAGTCACCACAACACCTTTTAAAGTCTTCGATGTTGATAAATCCCAGTTCTACTGCGAGTTTAATAAACATAAAAGCAACAATCTTGTTTTTAAATTCAAACTTTTGAAGGGACCACCATCAAAAGTCGGAATTAAAATAGAAATCATCGACCAAACAAATAAAGATGAAACAACATCTCGATTTAGACAGATAATGTTCGAAAATAACCAAGAATTTTATACGTTTGATACATCGATCTCAATTGAAACGGTTGATGAGATGACATATAAAAATAATCTGAAGATTTTATTCCAATTTACTACTTCCAAGATCAGAAATTCTAAAAATAATTCTGCTTTCGCAAAAATTGTCCAACCTCCAGTACGCATGTCTCCATTAAGCAAAAAAGTCAATAAAAACGAGATACAAACAGCTAATTCTCCAAGTAAACCAACCAAATCTGTAAATGAACCCAAAAATTCTGATTTTGAAAAACGTATCAAAGAAATTCAACTCAAATTACCTTACAAAGCAAAAGAAACAGAACAACAAGTAAAAATACCATCACCACTTCCTCAAAAAGAAAAAATACAAAAATCAAATACTGATATATCAAAAAATACAATAAACAAACAAGGGTTTCAAATCAAAGAAAGCATAAAAGATGAAAATGAGTCATTTGAAGGCTTTCCAAAACCTTTTGAAGATAATGATTTTCCTGATACTCCAAAACGCGAAACACCAAAGAAAATACAGAACTCACCAATATATGTGTCTGATAGCTCATCCACAACCCCAGCAAAAACAGGTTTCAACGGAATTATAAATCAAGGCAATACTTGTTATATGAATAGCTACTTGCAAGCCTTATTTCACATACCAGCCTTTCGATCTCTTATATATCATATTGATACATCTGATGTAAAACCAAGGGAAAAATCAATTCCCTTTAGTTTACAAAAACTCTTCGCTTCTCTTCAACTTGGAACATCTCCAGCATCTACAAAAGACCTAACAAGGGCTCTCGGATGGTCAGAATTTGAAATCATGGAACAACATGATATTGAAGAGTTTGCAACTAAGTTGTTAGATGTTTTAGAAGCAAAATTGAAAGGAACAAAGTTTCAAAATGCTATTGCTGATCTTTTTAAAGGTATTTCAACTTCAATTTTCGATTGTACAAAAATTGATTTCAAATCATCGACTGATAACACTTTTTATGACCTCCAAATGACAGTACAAAATATCCCATCCCTTAGAGAATCCTTCAATCTATACACACAGGCAGAAGATTTGGTTGGAGAAAGTCAATATGATACAGAGATCCATGGAAAGCAAGATGCGAAGTATTGTACAAAGTTTAAGCATCTTCCGAAGGTTTTCTGCCTTCTTCTTAACAGATTTATATCAGATTCAAGAGGAACTCACAAATACAACTCAAAATTTGAATTTGAAACCGAAATAGACCTCAAACAGTACATGGTAGAGAACTGTGACCCAAAGGAGGAAACAAATTACCAATTATACGGAGTTTTAGTTCATTCTGGATCTTCTTATGCCGGACATTATTATTCGTACCTAAAAATAGCCGATGAATGGTACAAATTTAACGATACAGCCGTTACCCGATCAACTGAAGAAATGGCCGTAAAAGATAATTTTGGAGGACCATGGTATTCAACTTCCTTATCGTATATGAGCGTGATCACTCCATCAAAGGAGAAACCATATTCTGCTTACGTTTTGATCTACATTCGAAAAGATTCTTTTAATGAACTTTTTTATCCAATTTCCAACGATGAAATCCCAGACCATGTGATAAAGCATGAATCACCAATTAGTTCTCCGCAGCATAATCCTCATTTTTCATTTGAAGACAAAGAATATTATTTAATAAGTGAGTCTTCATTGAAACAGAACGCGAAAAGCTATCATCAAATAGATCTACATAACACTGAAAACGCTATTTTGATGAAAGTCAAACCTTATTTGATAACAATCGACGAATTTATTGATGAAGTGGCCACAGCAGTAAACATGAAACCATATGAGATCAGAGTATGGAGTATCAACGAAGAAACAGGTAGAATTAATAGTTTAATTACAAGATCAGATGATACGGCCGATTCTCTCAAAGAAAAGACATTTTTCGTTGAATTTGTGAAAGACAATGAAGAAATAGAGTACAAAACCCTATTTTTGTCTTATTTCTTCTCTCCAAGATTATCATCTCCATTTACTTTTATGAAGAAGATGCTAATTAATGCATCAATTACAACTTTCGATGACCTGATTGTAGAAAGTCGAAAAATTTTGAATTTGGAAGATAATGTTGAAATGGTCGTTTTTTATTTGACAGAAAATGGCCAATTAATACAAACCGATCCATCTTCAATTGTTTCTGATTCCTGCAAGGATAATGGAACAACTTTGGTTTTCCAGTGTAAAAATCCTTTAGAAGCTCCATTATCTAAGTTTGAATTGGAGATATCTTCAGATTTAGAGAGCGATGATGGTTTTGAGGTAGAACCAACTAAGAAACCTGCTTTTGATATATCATTTAGCCCAGGAATGAACGCTATTGATATCATCAAACAAATTAACGCAAATAGGAAGCATTAATCATCATAATTTTTATTATTATATCAAATTTTTGTATAGTAAATTGTTTATTTATCTTTTTGTTTAATAAATTTCTTGATTTTCATTATTCAGAGCAAATTTATGAAGTTTTCATATCATTACGAGTTAATTTATATCTAATGAATAGTAGGATGATCAATTAATGCCGAAAATACCTTGAATTAAAATTTGATTTCAATAAATATATAAATAAAAACAAAATAAAGGACTAATTTCAGTAAATCACATAAAAAGACAGCTTCCTAAATCATTTTGAGAGCATGAATATGAACAATTATTTTGACATGTGATATGAAATAATATGAGTTATAACAATAAAAAGAAATTAGAAGCAATCCAAGCAAAGAATAAAGCAAAAGAAATGCTGTTTCTGATGCAAGAACGTGCACGTCAAGCAGCTTCCCAATTTTTACCAGAATCACTTGAAAATGATCCAACAAAAGACTTACCTGACTCAGTTCTATGTCCCATATGCTGTGAAATTATGGATTTACCTGAAAGAATGCCAATAACTCTATTTCCATGCGGTCATACAATTTGCAAATCTTGCTTTGAGAAAAATAAAGAAAATTATAGCAATAAGTGCTGTGAATGTAGGGCACTTATAACATCTCAAGCTGTAAATCAACCTCTTTGGGATATAATCAGAAAGAAAGCGTATTTAAAGGAAAAATCAAACAGTTCTGATTCAAAATTTACCGATGAAAAAGCAAGTAACATCACACTACTTAATATTTTCCAACCTTTGCTTGAAAAAGCGATTCAAAAAACAAAAGCAGCCAAAGAAGAACTAGATATCATCCAAGAAGAATATGATTCTGCAAATGATGAGTACAATCTTTATTTAGAACAAATTACAGAACTTACAAAATCAATTGAACAATCTAATTCAGAATTGAAAGTTTTGATTGATGATGAATCACTACAGAAATCGAAATTGGCAGAATTAATACCACAATATGAGGAATTAAAGCTTTTGGCTGGAGTTATCGAATAATTCTTTCTAATAACTGTCAAACAACAAATAATCCATATGTGATATTATGTGCTTGGATGTACTCATTATATTGACAAGCGCACAACTCCGTTTATCCTGAATCAATACGTAGCTTCTGTTTCCAATATTTTAACCTACCTTATTCAAAATATGTTTCACACTTTTTCTGAGAAGATTTAAGCTGATAAAAGGTGTGAATACATATTTTAAAAGGTTCTGATACTTTTTTCGAGCTTACAAAATAAGTTTTATGGAAAATAATTCATTTTAAAATGCGTCGTAGAGCATGGAACTATACTCCACTCCATTTTAGAGTTCATAACATGTCATATTTAAATTGTTCATCTTCTTATCTCTACTGGTGCTAAAAAAGATACAATATATAATGGATATTCTCCACTCAATTATGCATCACAAAATGGTCATCTTGAAGCTGTTAAATATTTTATCTCTATTAATCCTGATAAATATGCAAAGAGTAATTCGGGATCTAATCCTCAGTTTCAAAAACTCATGTAAAGGTTACCCAAATTTCGATGGTGACAAGTAATAAAAATAAATTTGAATTTATACGCACAGATGCAGCTAGAGCGAAATTTAATCATAACCAAGACTGCCAAATAGATTATTCATAAATATTAATGTATATGCGAACAACTAAAGAAAATTTAATTAATGAACAAACATTTCTTGAAATCTTGATATCTTGTATTATTTAAAAATCTTGATAAATAATTTGTATTATTGTGTATTTACATAAAAAATTGGTTAAAATCAGACAAATAACATTTTTGGCGATAAAAATCAAGAAATTCGTTATTTTTTATCAAACAAAAAATGAGTGAACCAGAGAAAAAGGAAGAGACTGAAGCTCCACCAGCTGAACCCCCAGCTGAAGGCGAGCCACCAGCAACCTCAAAATCTAGCAAGAAAAGCGAAAAACCAAAGAAGAAGAAATTATCGAAGAAAGAACTTGCAAGACTAAAGCGTGAAAAGGCCGAACAAGAGCGTCTTGAACAAGAAAAACTTGAAGCCGCTAAAAAAGCTCAGCAAGAAAAGGAAGAAGAGTCCAGAAAGAGAGCTGAGCAGCAACAAAGATTAGAAGAAGAAAAGGAATATATTAAGAACTTCAGACTTCAAAAGGAAGAGAAAATACAAAAGATTGTTGCTAATTTTGAAAAAACAGAAGACTGGGAACTTTTCAGTCAATGTAGTCATGCAATTGATGTTCGTTCTGAGGCTGATGTCAATACATTCATATCACAGTTATCAGAAGTGAATGAAACTGATATTAATCAGCTTTTCGAGCACATTCATTTAGCAAAAGTTATCGAAAATCAATTACGTGAAAGATCAGAGAAAGCGCAGCTTGCCAACAGAGTTCCTTTATATACAAGATGCAACAGACAAATTGATACATTACAACAATTAATCAATCAAAAAATCGAAAACATTACAGTAAATCACCTTGCATTCAGCGATAAATTCTCTGGTGCCAAAGGTGATGTACAAATCAATGGTGGATCCGATGATATTACATATGGTATGTGGGTAAATCTTTCAAAGAATCCAAGAATTAAAGATGTAACAGTTTGCCAAGGCGTTACAGTTGAAATTCCAAAGCCAGTCGCTATGGCATCTGTTGCCATTCGTGGAATTCGTAACAAAGAGAAGCCATTTGATGAAAAATATCTTTTCATCGATCGCCTTCTTCACTGCGACTTCTTACAACTCCCTGCTCCTCCAAAGCACATAGGAACCATTACTATTCGTCAGCCACCTCACAGTTCTTCACTTGTAAAGATCGCATATCCTCTCAAAAACGCCAACGCTCCGCAGCCACCTCTTAACTTCCGTATGGCTCTTGACGAAGCATCTCTCAGCGAATACTGCCAGGATGCTACAATTGTCATGATAAAAGACGGAAAACCAGATGCATCTCCAATTACAAAATGTTCGATCGAAGACAACGATGTTTTGTTTAGTTCCAATCTCATTGGAACATTCGGACTTGCTGTACCTCGTTACAGGCATTTTCCATTCCAATTCTGGGAAATTTCCAGTCAATCACCAACATCCGTTGAAATTTACATCCAAACACCTGTTCTTCAGCTCGCGTTAGTTATCAACGGCGATGGACTCGTTTCCATGGAATCTCCATTCAAATTTGAAAATTTGACACCTGTTGCAGCCATGAATTTCCTTCTCGAACGCGGCATCAATCTCGAAGCTCCCGAGGCCATTGAAGGCATAGAGCCGAAGAACGCGAACGTGGAAGAAGTTCTCCACACAGGTATCGCTGATGTCGCAGTTGGATTTGCGATCAGATGTTCGAAATTCAACAGCGAAATACAAAGTGACAGAGCGATGTTACTTTTCAGGGAAAAGACGAATTACGAGGAAGAACCAAACGAAGACGATGATGAGAAGAACATCAAGGAGAGCCATGTAATCATTGTAAAGGCTGATCACATTGCGGAAGTCGAAAACATGGAATTAGGTGACACTGTTTCTCAAAAAGCAGTGAAAGAAGCAAAGATTCACCAACTTTTGCTACCAATGTTCTTCGATAACGCAAGTGAGGATGTGCAGAAGACTGTTAGAGAGGCACCACCGTTCTTGTATAATGCATTGCTGTTCTTCATGAACAAACTTAGACTGTTTTCAATGACTCAATAAGTTTTTTATTTTATTTATATTTATTTGAATATTTTTGATATAAAAATAACTAAATATTTATTTGAATTTTTATTTAAAACAACATAGAGATTTTGGAACATCATTATGAAGCAATTGATATTTGTTGGAACTTATATTATCATCCTTATAACTTCAATGAATCTTGAAATCATGTAAACTATTTTTTTGCGAGTTTTGAGCGTTTGTAACTTGAAATCTGATATACACTATAAGGAAGCTCTAAAGTATAATGTTCACACACTGCCATAACTAGATAATGAGCATATTTGCAATGTATAAAACCATTTATCTTCACTGAAATTATTTGATAAGTATTCTCGGCTATTGATTTCACTTTATATACTTATAGGTATAGAATGTAGTTCTATTTCTATAGATAAATGGGACTTTAATTTGTATATTTTATATTGGAGGTGCAAATTCGTGTGCAAACTTTCTATATTCCCAGATTTAGAAAACGTAAAACATTTTATTTTTTTTGGGAATGAATTCAGAGGAATGGTATGATACTGGTACTAAAACAACATTTCATTTTGATGATAATGGAATGTTTGTTGATTCTAATGGAAAAGGACCTCAAAAGGGATTTAAAAACAATGGAAAATTCAGCGATTGGTTACACAATTTAGTAGTCAATAGAATTAAAAAGCTAGGATTAATTGAGAAATGTCATCCAGAGAATGGAGCTCCTATATATCATACTTCTAACGCATTTAATTCACCAGAAAAATTATTAGTTATTATTCAAGGCACTGGAAGAGTAAGAGCTGGCGTATGGTCAGTAGGTGTTTGCGCATATTCTGGAATTAATGCAGGATCAGTCTTACCAGATATTATCGAAGCTCAAAAGCGAGGAATGGAAGTAATTGTATTAAATCCAAATGACCCACGTTCCGATATATTCATGACAAGATATAGAACTAATCTTGGTATGATTAGACACACACTTGCTGTATTTGAAGATTTAATAATTCCAAGTGATCCAAAACGTGTTTTTATTCTTTGTCATTCACTAAGTGGTGAGTGCACAATAGCTATGATACGTAGATTCCATATGTGGGTGATTCCTCACATCAAAGCCGTCGCAATGACCGATGCTTACGAAAGTCCTCCAATTGTTGAAGGCGTTAAAATGACCAGTTGGAGTAAACAACACTTTCACAACTGGATATGTTCCGATAAAGAAATAAATTCTCCTTTACCAGAAGGAACAGCTTCAATCCATTTCTCTGCTGGAACAAAAGATCATTCATTAAGCACTGCAAAGGCACGGCCATTTATTTGGCCTTTCTTTGATGAGAATGGCGCTGATAAAGAAACAGATGAATTGGATAAATTTGAGGATTATATTGGAGATGACATTTACATTAATCCAATTTTCCACTACATACCGTATTGTAATATTGCTTAAGATTATGTTTAATTAAATATTGTTTGTATTATTATTTATTAAATTTATGAGAATATTTTCTTTGTACTGCAAATAGACTAATTCTCTATATGTGAGAAATCGATAAAGTCTATTAATGTTCCATTATGAAGAAAAGTAAGCCATCAAATGATTTTTTTAGAAAACGAAGTCATAGGATTCTCTTAAATATTGTTATAGGATCCTTTTTTATGGTGACTATATTCATCCTCTTCAGAAATAATAAAACAGAAATGGACTTTGATGATCCTTTTAAATTAAAAAACAAAATTTCATCAGTTAAATCAAATCCAAAGCCACCAAGGTCAGTAAATGACGAATCTTCAGTGTACATTGCTATTTTCGATGAAGAATACGAAGAGAAAGTTTATCATGAATACGTATATAAGCAATGGATATCAAAATTACGTCAAAACCCAAGGATTGATGGTGTTGAATTATACTCATTAGTCAAATGGTCTAGTCCAAGTTTTGATTTATCAACTATTGTCGTTCAAAATCCACCTCATTTTATGTCGGACCCAAGAGCTTGGCAGTTATACCATATACTAAAGTTATATATGGAGCGTTCTCTCAGCAATTGGCTATTTTTGATTGGTGATGCTGCTTATATTAACCATGATAACTTCGAAAAGTTTATTACAGACGAAGTCCTTCTTTCATACGATCCAAATTCGATAATGTTCAAAGGTTCATGCGTTGAACCTCGCTATTTCTTCCAAGAACTTCAAATTTCATCCGGAGTTCTACTTTCTAGAGAGACCGTCCGAAATATCATTGATCTCGATAAATTCTGGAATCATACATTTGAAATAGAACTGAATCCAGATGATGCTCTCGGTCAATCTTTTTGTCAACTAAATGCTTGTGCAGATCTTGGAATTAAAAATGGATTCATTGGTGGTGGGTTTAACAGCGATCGTGATTATAACGTTCTCTTATCTGGTGATGATTCAAAACTGCCTCCTTGTATTGTTGCAGATAATCTCAAGAACCCGCCAGCAGGAATTGCAGGTAACTGCGTTAAATTTGAACAGAGATTTAGTGAGTTTATATCTTGGGCTGGGGCCAAGAAAAATTTGAAAACTCAATTCCTGAAAAATGCAGAATTAATGGTTCGACACATTAAACCAGAATACGGAATTGTTTGGGATAGGATGAATCCAATATTATGCAAATTATAGATGTTGTTGTTTTAAATAAATAAAAAAAATCTTCAAATTTTTTATTATACTCATTTTCATATATAAAGTTTCCTCACCTTGAGGATACATAGAGACATATATATTATATTTGATATCACCAACATAAATTGCAACTAGATCATCTATGACGCTAATACACCATAATCGTTATTGGATCAAATTTTTTATTTAATTGCTAGAGGTGACTGTTGGCCTAATATATGCAAAAATCAAAACCTTATTTTCAAAATTGAATGAAATTTTACAAAAATTTTGAAAATTTTGGGAATATGATTATACAATTAGTATATAACATGATTTTCAGATTTGATTTTAGACAATCTGATTTTTGACACTATCCGCTGTCAAATGCCTTATTTTTCAATAGTTTATTTATTCAAGTTTCTTTTAGATGTTTTTAATTCTTTCCCTCTTACCTTTTGCAAAATGCAAAGGCAGAGGCCTCCATATTAATGGAATTAATCAGAGAAAGAAAGCTCCTCGATTTTCATTTGGACCTCACCTTCCAGAAGAAAATCGTCCGAAAAAGAAAGTTCCTCAAACTTCTTCATTTGATGACTATCTTCCAAAAGAAAAAACAGGTTTTTCATTTGGACCCGATCTTCCAGAAGAAAATTGGCATCCTAAGTCATTTGGACCCCACCTTCCAGAAGAGAATACAGCGATTCCTCTAATGCCTGCAAATGTTAAAAAAGTAAATAACGAAAAAGATTACTCAACAAATAACTTAGAATCAATCGCCGATGAAGTTGCCAGTACTTTCCAAATCGATGCTGATAAAGTTCGTCTTTTCTTCAGACTCAATAAATGGTCGAAATCCAGCAAACAACTATTTAACGTGATTCAGTTTGATAGATTAAACATGGCAAGAACAGTATCTTATGCTGGCACTGTTGTCAAAATCACAAAAGATTTTGATGGATTTCATGTTCAATGCCGCCGCGTAGGTATATCTGCAATTCTTGCACCTGTTGTGCCGGCTCTTATACGTCCACATCCAGAAATGGAGGCCTTTCTTCTTAATAGTGATCAAGTAACCAATATTTATAACAATTTGGTTTCACAAATTCAAGGTGATCTCAACGCTTATAAAAACATATAACTTTTTTCGAGAAATAAAAAATGTGGTATCTAATTCTTTCAAAGTTTGGCATTTATACTTGATTTGAAATTTTATCAAAGTTAATATAATTATAAGTTCCCATTCAACGAAATATAAAAATGTGGAGAATTATACATATAATTTTTACATAAAACACTAAGAAAAATTATCAGATAATAATTTTATTCAGTTTTTTAGCATCGAATTAAGTAAAAGAGATTTTCAAGGATGTAAAAATGAATGATAATCATATGTATTTAGTGCAAATTAATATTAAACCAGAAATTTCAAAAAAAATTCGATTCATTCTCGTAAATCATGTTTATTATATAATGAATTGTGTTCAACTTTTCAGAAAGAATATTATTATATATGTAAATATATATTTTTCAGAAGTTATAAAATTTAAAATTTTGTGAAGTCCGAATTTGAGCTTCGCTCAAATTCGGATTTTACAAAATTTTCATTATATGAATGTCAACAAATGAGCGAAAAAAATTTTGTGACGTACGATTATTTTCTTTTCAAAAAAATTGAATCAACAGAAAAGCAAATGAGGGCCTAGGTTCCATCTCCAAATAACCCGCTCGCAACATTTACGGTTGATCCGGTCACATCCATTTCAATCCTTAAATGAATCCATGTATCCCCTATGATTTCCTAACGCCAAATTCAAATTCTGAATTCTCATATCCTTTCAGAATTCCTTGATATTTCAAGCTGAAACCAAGCTTACAATCAGCTATTTATGTAGCTTACTCAAAATTCCTTTAGAATAAAGATTTATGTGTAAAAAAATTCAATTTTTTTTTGAAAAAGAAAATAATCGTATGTCACAAAATTTTTCATTTGTGATGTTCATATAATTATTCTTTTTTACTCTTCGCTTAAGAAGCAAATATGAAATATTTTAATAATAGTGGCGCTACCAGCTTGATTGATAACAAGATCATGGTCCAAACACATTTTTTAAGTGTAAATCATAATAAACCGACATGTTTGGAAGATAATCTAACATATACTTGTTTTAAGTACTCATATTTGTTTAGTGATCAACGTATCTTGATTTCTTTTTCGCCAAATTGAGATTTTAATTTGATTTTCATTGATTTTCTTTTCCAAAGCACAAAATTAATCCCTGATTGGAATATGATTGGTTTCATACCAAGAAAGAAAATATTTTGTTATTTCAGATAATTCATAATTGTTAAAATTTGATTATTTGTCAAGCAAGTCGTATCTAAGATAACCTGCCCGCTAACATTTGATGTGATGTCGAATATTTGCATTAAGGAATACAAGTTATTGATTTTTGTTTGATCTGTTAATAATTTTGCACTTTTTATTATATCTTTTACTAAATTTTTATCTGGAGTATTCGTGGCTTTGAATTGTGTCAATCTGGATGAAATTAATAAATTTAATTTTTCATCTAATCGGTTAGATTCTTGGAACCACTGTGAATAAGATAGTAGTGCATATTCTGTGCATTTTTTAATGAATTTATCTTCTCCAAATTTAGCTAATGCAGTAATCGAAGGATTTTCAGAAAATTCGCCAAGTTTTTTAAATTGAGCAAAGCACTTCATGACGTCATTCCGCCATTCTGTTGTAGTTTTGTACTTGTTATGTATTAAATTGTCTTTAATTGTTTTCAGATCAATCGAATCATTAAATTTTGTACTGTAATCTAAGTCAGTAACACCATCTGGAATAAAGCATTCATTAAATACATTTCCTATTGGAGATTCCATGATGTCTTTCATAACTTTAAGGTGTGGTCTGATATCCATATTCTTGCGGACTTAAAGTTTTATGTTAGAAATTCAGAGAAATATCAATTGTTATATGTTCACAGATATGGTCGCTCAGAGATTTTATATTTGAGTCAAAATCAAAAAAATCATATCGATTGAAATCAAAAGGTTTTATTTATTATTACTAAAAACAATCTATTATAACTCGGGCGTAGTACTAGCGTTTGATAACTTCCTCTCATTATCATCAGCTTCATCACTTTCTGAGTATGAATACTTGTCCAAGCTTTCTTTCTTTTCTTCGCTTCCTTTTGGTTTAAATACAACAAATCCGAAGATGATTGCAAGGATTTGTATTCCAACGAAAAACAAGAAAGCATAACCTAATGTCATTGATGATTCAAGGTATGGCCATATCAAGCATACAATTGTTGATAAAATCCAGTTCTCTGCTGTTGAAATAGCCATCGCGTTGGCACATAAATCTGCATCAAAGAGATTTGCTGCGGCAGCAAAAGGAATTGGACCTGTTCCTATGCCGTATGTTAATTGCTCAAGGAACAAACCAACCATGAAAACGTATGATGAGAGGTTTAGTTTTTGATGCAAGCAAAGTAAAGTAAATGCAACTAATTGTCCGAAAGAAGAGATGATCCAGCATATTCTATGGCCTAATTTATCTACAACTACAGCTGCGATGCATGTTGATATTAGCTGAATTACATTTGTTAAAATTCCGATCAAATTAGAGGAAATTGTTAAGTTTGCCTTTGAGAGAATGATTTGCATATTGGACATAACAGCGTTGATACCTGAGAATTGTAAGAAAAACATGCAAAGAAACGCAATGAAAAGTTCTTTTTTGACATTCAATAATTGCGAAACTTTAACCTTGGCTTTCTTTGTTTCTGGCTCGGGAATAAATAAGAACGTGCATGATAAGATGAATGCAGGAAATGCGCAAATGATTGAAACTGCTTGCCATGAAACATAAATTCCCAAAATTGTGACTATTAAGAAACCTGTTGCAATACCAATTTGATTCATAAAACCAAATAAGAATTTCTTATCTTGTGGTGCAACTTCTGCTATAAATGTTGGACAAATTGTGGAATAAAAGCCAAGTGTCATACCAGATAACGCTCTGAAGATGAAAACCATTGCTTTGCTGTTTGAAAGGCCTAGAACAACCCAAGCAAATATTCCATAAAGTGATGCAATGAATCCTGTCCATCTTTTTCCATATCGATTTACAAAAGGATTGATTGCTAGTGCTGCAACCATAGCAGCAAGTAATCCGATGCATGTAAACCATGTTGATTGAAGAGTAGTCATATTAAATTTCTCTGAAATTGGTGTTAAAGTAAAAGTTGTGTAAACTAAGCCAAAACCCATATCAACACCTCCTAGTGCAAGGAGTACACCACATATATAAGGATTTGAGATCTTAGGTAGATTAACCATTAATTTTTAATGATTTTTCTGAATTGTTAATAACTCATTGAATTTGAATACCTTTCAAAAAATTCTGAAGGATTTTGCCAGAACTTAATTAAACTGCTTAACTTCATTATTTATACTGTATAATACCTTTTTATTAAATTTACAATTTTGAATTCCTGTGATAAATTTGTGATATTTACAATCATTGTTCCCGGATTATAATATCAAGAACCTTCTATTATTACAAATTATACTCTTTCTTTTTGAATAACATTTTATTTCAAATCTTCATAATGTTGTTCATAAAATGTTATCAATCAACAATAAGGAAAACATTATCCAGAATGCATCTATTTAAAAAAGATAATTCATTTTGAAGATTACAAATTTTCTGATTTACATTCAAATTTTAGATTCGGTGTTGTTTTTATATCACATGTTCGGTGTATTTTGGGATTTTGGAGTATTTGAAGTTATGTTATCTCAGATTTCTAAAATTTTAATGATATTTACTTTTTATTTGAACCTTCATTTAGCTAATGATTTAATAATACAGATTTCATCTAGTCCTTATAAGAGAATTTTGAATTTGTTATAATAAAAAAACAAACAGATATAGCTTACACTTCTATAATAAAGATACCTTTTATAGAAATCAGTATGAAATGTGTTTTGACTTATTGGAAGCATATCAGACATAATCGCCATAATCAAAAAATCTATATACCCAATAAGTAATAAATTTGTCGATATAGATTTTCCATAAAATTAGTTTTTAGTCTGATCTTAAAATAAATTTAATTTTTTATAAAAAAAATCACATTTAAAAGTACCTTTTTAGTAGCTCGAAATCCTGTTGGTGGATTTCGGGCGTACTTCAAAATTAGCTTTTCTTCTACATATGCAAGCTATATTTTAAATATGGAGCAAATCGGATCGGCGAAAGTAGTTTAGTTACCTTTATAATCGTTTTTTTTTCTGAATCAAGATAGCAATTTAAAAAAGAAACGAGAATGTATCACTATATTGTAATCAATGCATATATGCCGTATAAAGAAGCTTAAACTTGTTTTAGAAGATGAGCAAAAATATCTTTTTCAAGAAAGAAATATGAATTAAACTAGGCAACTAATGCCAGAAACTTTATGCAATTGATCATGTGGAATAAGGGTTTCGTTTTGCGAAAAAAACGTACAATACGTAATTTCGCTAAAAAAACATTTAGCTAGCAATTTCGACCTTTGACTCCACTCAAGACGTCACTTTTTTAATTTTGCGGTATCATATTTTTGGAAAATCTTTATGAATATTATATAAAAAGTCTCTTTAATATCTATATTTCATATTTTTATCGATTTTTAAAGTTTTTGCGAAAAGTATTCAATTATTTTTGCTATTTGGTCGGGTAAATGTCAGATTTGCGACATTTTCTGATATGATATTCAGATTCTACGTTGATAATAATGCTTATAGAACCCTCTTGCTATTGTGTCAAAATTGCGAAACCGATAGCAAAAATATCTCGCAATATCAAAATTGAGATATTGAGTGAATTATGCATTATAGAGATTAAAAATCTGATTTGTGAAAACATCTCATCAGTTTCTAGCTAATTCAAAAATCTTTACTATCTTATTCGATTAAAATGAAAAGGGAATAGTTTCATTATGCTTTAAATGACAGCCTTATAATATAATCATAGTTTTCGCTCAATATGCAGCATTTTTTTTTCGAAATCTATGGTCAATATCCTAAATACTGATTGCTTTGCATTCATATCTCTTACATTTTCTATACCCACATCACTATTCATTGCTATTCCTATCTTTTTCATTTTTGTTTGTTTCTCATAATTTCTCAAAAAACATGATAACTTGATATTTGTAAATGTCATACTTTATAACGTAAATAAGAACTTGACCTATTAAGAAAAGCAGTAATGAAAAGAAAATCTGAAATTCATAAAAATTACAAGTTTTTGATGACAATTAGCTTAATTAAACCAGGTACAAGATTATATAATTGTATTTTCTATCCAATTATCCATATAATATCTTATCCAGAAAAAATAACTTGATCAATACCAAATGATTTTTTAACTAGTAAATAAAGTATTTTCTTTACACACACATTGTATATCATAGTTTTTTTTTTGGTTTCGCAAAACATCCAAAAACAAATATGCTATAAAAGTGACAATTTTAGCAAAACGAAACCCTTATGTGGAAAGCAAATGCCCACTTTTATTCTTCATGATATTGGATTTGTTTGAGCATTTTATAAATTCGGAGTAAAAATATATGCAAAGAATAGTATAATATTGAAACAACATAGCCTTGCTTTGATAGCTTCTGAAATCTTTCCAGATTCGAGTTTTCCAGTAAAGAAATCTTTTATAAAATTTTGAATTGAAATTTTTTTTTGTATCGGGGAAAAAAATGTTGTGGATTTTAATGTGGACATTTGATTTCAATTCAAGTTTATTAGCTCCCATGAAATCCACAAATGTACGAGAAGTTGGCCAGTACTCATTACTTGGATCTGCGATTCCTTTTAAAAGATATATTCAATTAACTTCCAGAAATACAAAAGATTCTGGTGCAGTATGTCGTAGAATCAAAAATCTAAATGATAACTGGGATATTTATTATGCATATGGTGCAATTCATCCAAATTCCACGCGAACACAAATTTTTTATTACACAAAAGAATTTTGTCCGGAAAATTCTGCAATTTGGACAGGGTTTGCCATTAAAATGCAATATTTGGCTAATTCAGACAATGTTTCAATTTATATTCATACAAATAATTACACAGCAAAGCCATTTCCACGAGATCCATCATGCGTAATACCTATACATCCTGAAAGTCGTAAGATGAGATTCCATGTTTCTTATGAAAATGGAAATGTTCTTGTAAATGCTTCAGAATCGTTTAATCCGTTCATAGAATGTGGTTCATTTTACTACAATTTAATTCACGGCTACTTTTCATTATATTCGTCAACTGAAGGTGAAACAGAAAATAATAATTTATTAAATTTTGTTTACACACCACATTCTCCTGAGATTCCTAACCCTGAACAAGCTACAGAAGAAGCAAAGAATCGAAAGGCTTTATTACATGGCAAAAAACGTAAAGCGAATAAGAATCTTCGTCGAATGCGTCAAAAATACACAACTTATTACAGACAACAGATGCAATATGAAGGCCAACAGCTCAATGGTGGCACTCCAAACACTGTACAGTTGCGAAGAGCCTTCAAAGAGATCAATGAACTCTATAAAAGAGCTGCAGAAGGATTAGATATCAAAGAATTAAAATCTTTCATCGAAGAAACTGTTGATGAAAAGATGAAACAAGCTCTTGATAAGTTGCAATCAACAGCTGATGCAGTTAATGAGTTCAAGGCAACATATAATGAAATTTTTTCAAATTCTGCGAACGCATTAAAGGATATTTTAATGGAAACAAAGATTATGATGGATAATCTTAACTCTACATTGCATTACAAGGTATCTGATCTCTTTGATATGCCTTCAAGTGAAAGAAAAACATTAGATGAAAACATTGTTGAGAAAAATGACAATTTTATGTTTTCTTTAGTAATGATTATTGTTTGTTTCATTGAGTTTGTCTTTTATATAGTTTTCTTCTTGTACAAACACAAAGTAACTGATCATTTCCACAAAGCTGACTGAAAAAAATGTTTCGTACCGAAATGGCTAACAAAAAAAGTGACAGAAAACCTTAAATTGCGCGGCAATTTTAATTAAAAAAATAAACATGAATTTTTGTGATTGATATTATGCATTTTATTTATATTATATAAGATTTAAATTTAGGGGAAAAATTGGAAAAAAAAAATAAGATTGGAAGTCTTTAGGTAAGAAGGAAAGGGCAAGAGATATATAGTGTACCTATATACCTCTTGCCCTTTCATTCTAAGTAGAAATGGGAGAAACTTTGTCCGCATCATAAGTTATGCGGACAAAGTTTCTCCCATTTCTAATGGGAATTGTAGGCTATGAGGCACTGATATATAATCAGTACCTCATAGCCTACAATTTCCCTTATTAGACTTCCAAACTTTGAGTTAATGTCAAGACATTAACTCAAAGTTTGGAAAACTTCACGTAAGAATCAATCGTCAAAAACCTCGATTGCAGTTATATTCATTGTGTTAAATTTGATTTATTTTGAAATTTTTATAAATTAAATTTTATATAACATAAAGCGTTATGAATTAGTATTTCCATATGAATTTTATCTCGAAAATAGTAATTCTGTACAGTTATATTTCGGTTAATTTTGGAAATTTCTAGGAATAGTTTAAGATAGTATGATTATTTGTTTTCTTTTGACCTGAAAATCCCATAGTATCATTTTTTTGGCTCCAGTAATTTAAACTCTTGTTCGCGCGAATCTTTGTAGTTTGCATCAAATTTTGAATTTAAAAACAAGAAAAATAGTGAAATAAAGTAAAGAAAATCGAGGTTTTTATTCGTAAATAATTGGCTTTTGATTACGTATGGCTCTAAAATGAAGATTTTGTTTTGGAATTTTATCATTATTCTTTTGTCGTGAAATTTTCTATGCTTTCTTTGAGGCTGATGACCTGGCCATCAACCAATGTAAATCTTTTTCGTGATCTTCAAAATCTGTTGGAGTAAAGTGTACGCCTGTGATTGGATTAATCGGCAGGCTCGCGTGAGGCATATTATTGTAAAAATGTATTACTTTTGGAATATCTTCATTACATCTGCAATTTTTTTCTGCATTGGGCCACCACTTTTCTATCTTTCCATTAGCCTGTGGATTTCCAGGCTTATTGAAAATTTGTGTAATTGAGTGTTTTTTGCAAAGTTTCGTGAATTCTCCGAAATTCTCTTTCCCGTTATCCGTCCAAATCGCGTAAGGATAACCGGGAATCGTTTGTAAAGCTCTTTCAAGTATTATAGCTGTATTATGAGCCGTTTTTTCTTTCATGAGCTGATAATCAATAATTTTTCGAGAACGATCGTCGATTATGGCATATAAATATTGGCCTATCGTTCCACGCCAGTAATGAATATCGGCGTGCCATATTTCATGGCACTTTGTTGCAACGTAATTTCGAGGTTTGTATTTTTGTTCTGTAATTTCTTGATTTTCAGGAGGTTCCTTGATGAGGGCCTCATAAATTTTCCTTCCCATTCTGTAAGACGGAGGTGGAAATGGTTTTTCGATGTAATTAGCTGAAATTAAAGATTCTTCGACAGAATTTGTTTTTAAAACTGGACCATATGATTTCGGGACTTCAGTAACTAAAGAAATTCTATCAGTTTCTTTAAGCCAGTTACCAGAAGTAAAAAGGTTTGCATTTTGGAAGTTTTCTTTGATTTGCTGAAATTCTTGAGGGTGACTCTCAATTTTTGTAAGGTCTGTTTGAATTTTCTGTATTATTTTGTTGATTCCAGTATTCGGCATTTGATCTTTGAAATTACAAAATGCTTGAGCAGCATCCAAATCGATTTCTTCTGGTTTTCTTCCTTTTGGAGGATGATAAGGAATTGGCGCACGTAATTTTACTGCTTTTCGAAATGTGTTTTCAGAAATTTTTGAATATATAACTCTGCCTTCATGATTTATTTTAGCTTTCGCGCAAATATCAGTTAACTTAACTCCATTATTTGATTTTGTGATGGCTTCACAAAGCCAATCAATATCAATCTCTTCTGGAGAATGTCTTCTCATCTAGAATATTTTCTCATCTAGAATATTTTCAATACTTTACATACAAACATTTTTATTTCTAAAAAACTTTTTAATTTTTTCTAGGATATATGAATGAAAATAGTTAGAACAAGATTTTGAAGCTCAAAACATTAAAAATTATTAAAGATTTGTATAATATGATTAAAAATGGGAAATAATATGAGGCAATATAAAGGAATATGAATATTAAATAAATATATCTAAATAGAAAGAATCAGAAAAATCAAATTATTGGCGCCAAAAATGTCACCTTTTTGGTGAGCCATTTCGGTATGAGATAAAAAACAAAATTCGAATTCTTTGTTTTATTTTGTTATAATTTTTATTGACTTTAATTTGAAATTTATTTAGATGTGTAATTTGTATGCTGTTAATCTTTTTAGCACTCTACAGAATTTCGAAAACAGCCATAATTATTGATTCGCTTCGGGTTCTAAAAAATTGAGAGAATTGAGGGATTTAAAATGGATTGAAGAGGAGTTCTCGTCTCAATAAAATAGTCTTCATGATTTAATTGGGAAATCTTATGAGTAAAATGAGAGCGAGACAATTTTAGCACAATCATCTGCAGTTTGCATAATTAAAAATCAATTTTGCAATATACTATTTAAATATTGTTTAATCAAATAAAAATTAAAGCTTAATGGTGTAATTACCACTATCTGACATTCTCTCAATTTTTTTGACATCCGAGCTTTATACCCCAATATGCTATGATAAAAAACTAATATTTTCCCTCTGGAAAAAGTTAATATAAATCACTACATAGTACTTCATATGACTTTTATACCTTTTTGTTATTAAAAGAAAGATATGTTGATGTTATGATAGCATGTCAGAAAGTGGTATGTGCACCCTTAATTCAAAAGGAATAATTTCATCATGGTGCATTAATTCATACTGGGCAAAATTCTTAAAATCAATCCTTGTATTTTGAGCAGTTCGTTGCAAATAGCTAGACCCACAGCAGCAAGTAATAAGAGTCCAACAAATTGCCCCTAATGTAAATGATGTATTGTTTTCTTGACTGGTTGCACTGAGTAAACCGATTAATTTATAGTCTACAAAAATGTATTTGCGTAAGAAATAAGTTGAATGAATTATGTTTTCTTTCGCAATACGGCTAAGTCTATTTGTACAAAGCAATAATACCACAATATGATAATATGCACTTCTCCAGTCAAAAGTGTCATGAAAAATTTTTCAATTAGATTTTCATAAAAAAACATTTCAAAATGATAAAAATTACAAGGGAATTATTATATTTCAGTTGATTATATATCTTATACAACACATAAATTAATATGATTTCTGTTTAAAAAGTCAAGATATAACTGACATTTCTCAAATAGTGTTTAGATTTAGTGCATTTTGCATCACCATCATATTTATTTACATTAATAAAGCCATTTAAACACAAGTTAAATTTTACCAATTTTTTATAGATAACTCAGTACCAAAATAGACTCAGAATGAAAAGAAATAAAAAGTGACAAATTGTTTACGTATCGATGCAGCGAACCCTTAAAAATTGAGACGTTTCCTGTCATTTTTTGAGATTCTCTCAAACCTCTGAAAAGTCCGGATAAATATGCTAAATACAGTGGATATCGGATATCATTTCAAAAATTTTCAATAAATTTTGCCCAAAATTTTGATGGGTTGTTCATGCTCATCCTCGGATATAAGTCCTTCAGCTGAAAGGAGTTTTTTTCACGTTCGGATGGATTTTCTAGATGGACCACATTTTCAAAATCTCCAATTTAAGCCAATTCTTTATGATAAAGTAAATGAAACCAAAACCATAGTCCCCCCTTGTCATGGTTCCAAATTCGAAATTAAGAATGCATTTCCTATTATTCCATTTTTATATGATGGTGAAAACCTTAATTTTCTCGTAGGTTGTGATTATTATTTCATCAATAACCAAGGGCAAATTGGATATTTGATTTTGACATACAAAGGGGAATGCTGTGATACACCAGACGTTAGCCATGTAATTCAAAGACATGTTGATGAAACAATTCCTGTGGAAAGAAGGATGATGAAGATTGCGAAGTTGTTTTTCGAACCAGTACAAAAATGTCTTTTCCCCAAAATCTATGACTTTAATTGTGATCTCCCTAAATTTTACGAATTCAAAAAGAATTTACTGGCAAATAATTATATAATAATTAATCCACCAATTGCGCAACGTTCGTTTTCAATAGATGACAGTCTATTTATGAAATAGATGCACCACCTCAAATTATTCCTAAAAATGACGAAGAAGTTGATCATTTATCTCAAGAAGATAAAATAATGGATAAAAGTCTAAAAAGCATTCAAATTTGGCAAGAGAACTCATCAAATAAAGAAAATTATCAATCAAAAAGTAATTATACCCGAATAGAAGATGAATGGGAATATCAGGATTACACATCTTGTTTTGTTCCAATTCCCAAAGATAAACCAAATTACTACTATCACATTAAAAATAAAAATCAGACAAAAGGAATTGAAAGCAATGATAAAGTCTACAACCCGGTTATTGCATTTCGAGGGGTATACGATACTTGTCTATTCTTCTTTTATGGAACAAGTCTATTTGCGGTTTCAAATGATGGTAGAATTGCTGAGGGACAGTTGGTAGTTTTTCCATATTCGTATGTCCCTTGCTACTTGTATAACAAACTGAGATACCCTGCCAATTGTCGCGAGAAAATCTTAGTTCACCGAATGCAAAAATATTTTTCCAAGAAATGTATATATCAAAAAGAGCCCGCTTGCTTTCATAATTATCAAAATTATGGATTAGAAGCATTTGGTATTAGATCGGCACAATTGTATACTTTTGTATTCATTCCAATGGGAGACATTATTAAAAATGATTACATCAACCCTCGAGTGCAACTAGAATATAAGTTTAATGAAGAATTAGGTTGCTATGTAAAAAGACAAAAAAATGAATAAAAAATTTGATTTATTCCAAATTTTTAAGTTTACAATATAACTATTATTAACAGTTAGCAAAGTGTAATTCAAACAACTAATAGATATTGCTTATAAATCTAAAAAATATAGGAAATATTCAAAATTTTTTTATAATGGATACTAGTACAAATCAATAATGGATATTAAATTTAATTGAATTCACAAATATAAATCCGCGTTTCTGAGCCTGGATGAACGTTTCAATCATTGTAATGGCATAGTTTTAGTTTTATGAAAATGATTTTGTCACTTTTATTATGACAATTACTCCTTATAAAACAGCGGCAGAAGTTACACCTTTAATACCATCTAAGGAGGAAATTGCCCAAAATTTGAAAGCTGTTAAAGAAGCAATCGAAACAAATGTTCAAATCAAGCAAGGAAAACAAATTCAAGCAGAGAATTCGATACATACAGTGAGATTTCATACAGATGAGAAAGATTATACTGTACGTGTCGCTGATAGAAAAGTTGATCCATTCGATCCTGCAAGATTTCGAACTCGAAAAGTAATAGAACTCCAGGAAAAGGATCCGGAGCCAATCCTTACAGCTCCTGTTAAAAAACTTACTCCTGAGGAAGAAAAGTATTGGTATATTCCTCCAGTTATTTCTAATTGGAAAAATCCAGCAGGAAATGTGATCCCTATGGATAAAAGAGTTGCAGCTGATGGAAGACGTAATATAAAGCCAGAACTAAATGATAAATTTGCATTTATGAATCGCGCTTTAGAAGCTACGATGCAATCAATTAATGAAGCGGCGCATCAACGAGCAATTCAGCAGCGACAGCTCCTTATCAAGCAGCAAGAAGAAGAGAAAGAACAACAACGCGAAGAAGTACGTAAATTACGCGAAGAAAAAATGAAAATTGCCGCTCTCAAAAATTCGGAAGAAAGAAGTCATGATAAACTCATCGAGGAACATAACGAAGAAAGAAAACGCTTACAGAATAGAAGAAGAGATGTGTCTGGAAGGGTTGCTCCTGGATTTGCCCTTGTTTCTACGAATGAAGAAGTATTTGATAATAATTTGTTCGGAAAGAACGGAGGAATTGACCAAGGCTTCATAGATGAAGAATCTAATAACGCATACGATGCTCCATTATTTAGACAACCGACAGAAAAAGCTTATGTTCCATTTGCTGAGTCAAGGAAGTCAAATGCGGTTAATTTGTCTGCTTTATCTGACTCAAAGAAGGCTGGCGCTTCAAGCTTTACCATTTCATTTAAGAAAGGAAACGCTCAAAAACCAATCTCTAATGAAGGTCTTTATATACCTGATAAGGAATAATAATGTATTGTTATTTTGTATATAGATGATATAAATTGTTGTTTTGTTGTTTTTGATTGAAAATTTAATTCATATAATTTTTTTTAATGCATTAAATTGAAATTTATCAGATATATATTCATACAAACTGATGTTCTTCGTAATTTATAAATCACAAGTTGAAATCATCATAATTTATATTCAGAATTCACAGATAATGAATTTAAACCGCATAAATCATCTCTCTCTTTGTATCTGACCAAGTTGATTGTATCTATATTACTATAATTGCATAAGAATAAACTTTACTCTCTGGGAATGAAAAAACGAATCAAAAATTTTTTTATGGAAGAAGTTACAGATAATGATGAAATTGGTTCTCTGAAGAAACAGATCGCAGCAAACAATCTTTCTGGTTCATTGACTTTCCTTGAAAAGGCTTTACAAGGATTTTCGACCAGATACAGCAATTATACAAAAGTTTATCGTTCATTAAATGAATTATTATCATTCTTCAATATTGACAACGCAAATTTAGAGCTGGGAAGAGGTATCACTCAAGTTCTGCAGGTATATCTTCAAACTTCTATTAAATTTTGCAGAAAAATTGATAAATACATACCATCAATATCAGATGAATTTCTGATGAACTCGCCTGAATCTATTATTCGTGAAATGCGTCAGAGATTTGTTGCTGTTTCAGAAGAAATTTCAGAATCTACTGCCAATATTACTAATAAAAGCGCAGAAATGTTTGCATCTTATGTGTACATTCATGCTCACCATAGTGCTACTAACAAATCAAAATTAAATACTGCTGCATTTCCAGATATTAATGATATCCAGTATGATGTATCTCAAATTCATGAAGAAATGAAACATATTAAAAGTATTATGTGCTACTGCTATAGATTAGTTCTTATTGGTCAAGATAAAACCCAAGATATGGATAATGAAGCTTTTAATTTAATTAGCAGCTCTCTTTCGAGAGTTAAAGCTGACCTCGAGAATGCCGAAAAGACATTTGTAAGGCATGTTACTTCGCTTCATCACCTTGATATGTTATTAAACGGTACTTTGGAAGGAAGGATTAGAACTGGGCTTTCCAACCTCCAAAACGCAGGCAATGCTCAACAAAATGATGCTGATCAGCAATCAAACGAAAATTAAGATAATTTGCACAAATTAGTACCTGATTTTTCGAAATATCAATAAATTCCATATTAATACTTATTGTTTGTTTGTATATAGATTAAATATGATGTTTGTGAAAATGATATCTTGAAAATTTTTTATACCAACAAAATAATTGTGTATTTAAAGTTAAAAAGCTTTGATTTCACGCAGTCACTCCCTTCAATTTTGAGAATTTTATGAATTCTGCTTAAATTGAAGAATAATGTTTTAGATTATCAGACAAAATGTTTTAGATTCAAATAATTTTATGATATTTTGATTTATGAGAAGATAAAGATGATATACTTGTTTTAGGCAAGATCATTGAAATTTCAATGACTCAAACGGACGTTTAGAAATGAATTCGCTCCTCTCTACAGCAGAGGACATTCAATCTCCACCATCACCGCCACGCGGGATAGATACTCCAAAAACTAGTTCTAGATCAATTAGTGACCCATCATATCTTCAATCCCCAGCAACACCATTATATTCAGAAAAACAACAAGAACAATTTACAAAAAGAAAGCAAGAATTGGAATTAGAAGTCAATGTACTGATTCAAAAACGAACATCACTCGAAAATCAACTTAAAGAACTTAAAATAAATCGCGTTAGTTTTTCAGAATTGACATTACTTAAAGCTTCAGTAGCGCAGAGAACTAATGAGGATAACTCTTCTAAAATTGAAGAATTGATGAATAGTTATGCAGAAATTATTAAAGAAGTTCGTTCAAATCAGTCGCAAGTTGATATTCTGGAAACAAAAATACGAGAAGAACAAGAAAGAAGGAATTTAATATTCGGTGAAATAAGTACAATGGAACAAGCACTTGATTTAAGTGATTTATCTTATAAAATACCAGAGTTCAAAGGAGTTACTATGAATTTTGATCATAGTCAGTACACATCTGATATTGAAAGGCTTTCAATGACGTCAAATACATCTAAACAGATTTGCAATGAGTTATTATGTGCTAAACCACCATTAAATGTGCTTACTGAAGCTGCATCAGAATATTCTAAATGTACAGAATCAAAGTGGAAAGTCAGAGCAATAGGAACAAGTATTTTCAGAGGGGAAATTTCTGCTCTTCAAAAACAGCTAAGTGAAACAGATAATTACATCCACAAATTAGAAAATGAAATCAAAAATGATAAAAGCAAATCAGAAAGCTATCAAAATCAAATGAGGAAAGAAGAAATTGATTTAACCAATAACAACTTGACATTGGTTCAAAACTATAAATCACAGATTACTCAGTTAGAGTCTAAGATTTCAAATCTTAAAACAGAAGTAACAAATTCCGCAAATATTTTTGAATCAATTCAGCAAGAAATGGAACAGATAGATCATAATAGAGTTGAAATGAGTTTGAAGATGGCAAATTACTCAGAAAGTGAAGATGAACCAGAAAGTGTAACAGATACTGAAGGTTATTCTGAAGATTTGTCAGATAACCAGAGAAATGAATTATTAGACCGCAAACTAGTGTTGCAAAAGGAAGTTTCCAAACTACGAGAAGACTATCAGAAGTTGCAAGCTCAATCAAGTGCAAAGAAAGAAAAGAAAATACAGGAATTATCCAAAATTTATGCAAAATATAAATCAGCAAAGCATCGTCTCAATAAAAATGGCCTTTCTGGTGTATTGCAGCTTGATGACTCTCCTTTCCGCAAAAAGATTGGTCATCTTATTCATAAAATTGATTCAAATATTTTAGAGATCAGCCAAAACTTCGAATCTGGTATCTTATCAGCCTAAGTATCAATAACTTATTCTCTGAATCATACAATATCTTCTTATGAATATTTTATTTCAGGAAATATTTTGGAAAGGTCGTCTTTATATATTCAGCTCAGCTGGATCTTGTTTCTAGGTGATTCTGGATTGTTTTTTGTAGATATTATTTTTATCCGCGTTTATATTGATTTTGTTTATATGTAAAATATGTTGTTTTAATAGAAATTGAAAATTTCATAAATAATATGTTTTAAAATTCTAATATATTACAAACAAATTAAAATGATTTTGGAATAAAATGACCTGCTTCGTTAAATACAAAATTATTGTATGAAACAGGGGTACCATCAAGAAAGAGAAGCTTTGCCCATTTAGAAATTGCTTCTGGAGGCATAAAATCTTCATATTTAATTTTTTCTTGACTTTCTAAGTTACAAAATACTCCATTTCTAATTGGATCATCTATATATCTTGTTAGCAATAGTTCTTCGAATGATTGGTTCTTCAAAAGATGATCTTCAAGCAGAGATGAATCAAAATTAAAAGGAGTTTCAAAAGTATCAAAAGAATAATATTTAACGGGCTCTCTTGTCAAAGGTAATGTATCATTGCCCATTTTATAGCATTGGACATGGATTTTTTGGTAAAAATCTTCTTTTGATTTGTTAATATAACGTAAAAGTGGAACAAGTTGGCAAATATCGGATTCAAATTGATTTTCATTCTCATTTGAGAAGCCAGTGATATTGTGGAGAGCATAATGTCTGAAATTATCTAAAAATGAGTCAATTAAAATTTCTTCGATCTCTGTTTTTTCGTATATATAAGATCTTATTAAGTTTGCATAAAATGATGCTGAAAATGATGATATTCGACTCGATTCAGTCATTAAATTTGAATTTTGTGAAAGAATCATTGGAAATCCGTTATTTACGTATCTTCTAACGTATTCCAAATAAGAATTAATGTATCCTTTGAATTTTTCTTGGTTCAAAAACAAGGAAAGCGCTTTTGATTCAAGCAAAAAGCTTCCTGAATCTCCAAGATATGTTCCTTGTATAAAATTATATTGTTTCGTTAAGGGAAGTTCTCCATGTGCTAAAGGAAATGGAATTGGTCGAGAAAATGCATGTGATGCAATTTCAGCGCATTCATCGAGTTTATTCAAGTACATTTCATCGCCTGTTAGTGTATATATACTAATTAATCCTCCAATAATATGAATGAAGAGATCTTTTGTGTGAAGGAATCTATTTTGTTTACAAGTAAAAGATTTTTCAGTCCATTTACGTAATTTTTTGTACAACTTGTGATTTTCCATGATATAAAGCGTATCTAGTGATGATATTGCTGTAATTCCTAATCCTGAATGGTTTGAACAATCACCAGATTCAGGATGATAATAATCGCTACCTAAACATGATTCAATGTATTGTGTTATTGATGTATCAACTGTGTTATACATTAATCTTTTGAATCGAGTTGTTTCTTTGGAAATTTCGAATTTTAATCTGAAAGATTTGATTTTATGACGCTTAATCTCAGAAAATGTTGAAGTATCTGGTATCCTTGAGAATATCAGAAGAGCTGTTATGATTAAAACTAAAAATTCTGCTAGAAAGAATTTGAGTAAATCCTTCCTACGAACTTTCATTATTAATACTTCGAAGGAATAGTAGATGTGTAAAATATTGTCTAAACATATATAAATCATTCCTGTAATTCTTATTTTTCTTCTATTTTATTTGGAATGATTTTATACAATTAAAGAAACAGAAAGGATGTAATCCTTTGGAAGAGAAAGCTGTTTGTTATATAAAAATCCATTAAGAGAGGTAGGGCAACGATAGAAAATTTTTGGAAAAAAAGTTCGGAGATCATAAACGTATCATATTCCCTGCATGGTTTGGTATCTTCCGCCATGCGTTGTGCCAAACATATTGACACTTTCCAATAATTAATTTATGGTATGAGTCACAGAGTTAGATTATAAAAAGAAAGTAAATAATTGCAATTAGAAATCATATATGTCGGAAATCAAATGTTGATGAGCAGAAACCTTTTACTCATCATAAAAGAGATAAATCACTAAAGATTTGTATACATTAAAATTTGATATTTGGTGCTCGAAAACTGTCTGATGGGACTCCTCCAAAATGAACCAATCTATCGCTGAGGACCAAATTAGATGATGTGGATGGTGTATTCTCTAATTCTAACTTAGGAAGAATGGGAACAAAACGAATGACGACAACAACATGTCAAACATAGATTAAATATCTATGAATCAATAAAGTATACGTGCATTGAAGGTGATAACGATCACTTGAGGCTTATAACTCTTTGACTAAATTATGCAATAATTAAATATAATCATTTTTATATTTTTATACTGATAGTAATTAATATACTATCCTGCTTAATAAATGGTATGATCAAATTTGTTTGAAAATTTAATTATGTATATGAAACTATGTCTTCTATATAAAAATCAAAATTTTCGGACGAACCTAGATTGAACCTTTATGAAAATCTATCATTTTTGTTAATTGAGTTAATATGAATCTTTTACATATGTATATATAGCATTGATAGCTTATATAATCATGGTTTATTCCATATTAACATATTTTTTCAGTTAAATTTGTTAATAATATCATGTAACAAATTAATTCAAGATTAGAATGTCTACAAAATGCTAACAAATAAGAACAAAATACGATTTCTCGACTTAAATTTTAATATGGAGTAGTTTTTCGTTTAAATCTAATTAAAAATGAATAAAAACTTATCTTGTACTATTTTCATTCAAAGATTTTAATAATGTAAATCATGCATTTTCATAATTCAGTACAGTTCTTTTTAGAATTAAAGTTGATGAGGATGATATTTGTGATTTAAAATAATTTGTTAATGTTCACCTTTTATTCATCACCTTGTGGTATGCCCTAAAGCAATAGCATTATCAATTCTGCTGAATTGATCAACTCAAAATTCCAAAAAAAATTCAAAATTTCAAAAATGAAATTAACCAATTTGAATTTTCACATGAAAAAATCAATTTCGAAAAAAATTTGGAAAATCAAAGTATTTGATAATTACTCAAATAATCAATTTACATCGTTTTTACTCATAAAAAACAACTAATTTTTGATTTTGATATCATATTTGATAAATACTCATTCCAGAGTTGACGTAATGTATTAATTATTGTTAGAGATATTGCTTTCGCAGCAAAATTCTTATTTCATGAAAGAAAAAAAAAATGATTTTATTCCAACAAAAACAAGTAAACAGATGAATGGAAACGTACTATATTTTCATAAATGTAGTAATCAGCGTGTCAGCTTTTGTTTATCATGTTCGAGTCAAAATGTATTAACTTGTAATAAGAAATATTCGAAGATTATATGAAGTATTGAGCATTCTTTGTAGAAATATTTGTAATTCATTACTAACATATATAATAAAGTTGTTTTTTTTTCCTTATTGCAATAATTTTGTCTGATTTTAATAACTTTTCATGTATACGAGTTGTGTGAATATGCATCATAATATGCGTAAATATACTTATTTGCGACGAATAATGTGGTTGCATAATGGAGGTGCTAAATTTTGATTTTTAATATGGGGCTTTGGTATGTATAATCATGTTCTTATCTCAACGTAGGAGTATTGGTGCAATATGATTAAAATTTACGAGGTTGATCTTAAATTGAATAATTCTGGAGTATAAATCACAATGCAGCTAATTCTATGTTAAAGATAGATACAGATTGTAGTAATCAATTAGGGAGTACAAATTCATTCTTTCATTTCTGTCGTATTGAGCAGAAAGGAAGAGATCATAACCCTAGGAAAAAAAGCCCAAATTTGTCACTTTTCATAGTACGTTAAACTCAATTCGCTCGGCGAATGCCGAGCACACGTACTCATCATTCAACATAATATTCTCATTCTTTGGTTATTATAGTGCCAGACAACACAAGATTTCAAAGAATTACTTGAGTTTTCAATTAATCTTAATCCGATTTTAGATTTATCGAGAACTCCATCATCACAATCACATACTTCAGTGCGGTAACTACAATTATCCATATACAGAAGGAAGTTCTTTTCGAACAACTCATTTGGAGTCTGTTTTGGAAAGAACTTCTTTCTGTCCGACTTAATTTCATAGTTCCTGATCAACCAAAAGACAGAAACCACACACTATCTACTTAGGAAAGGAGTTCTTTCTAAATCTTCCTTAAATTGAGATTTTACGAGAGATAACCCTTCTATTGCACTTAAAAATGAACATTTTGATATCTTTAGTATCACACATGGTCATATATAGTATTTCATCTACATGAATACATTCATCTTTCGAAGTCTCTCATTAAATGGGAGGCTTCGAAAGATGAATCGTTTTATTCATACAACTTTAAATCTCGAACACATTTAGAGAGTGAGTATATCATTTTATTCTTGTTTTGAGTTTATTCTGATTCAAAATTGCAGTGAAAACAGAAGTTCACACATCATATCTGAATGTGAGCTCATCTATACTTATACGATCTCAATACCTCCACTCTAAGCATAAGAGGTGAAGTTATATAAAAATTATCAGATGCGTTGAAGTCTCAAAAGTATTGCCTGAATGCTTGTTTCATATTTGTCCAAGTAGTTTCAATGAATAAATGTATTGTTTTTTATAATTTCGATTTATTTTTAGAAAATATTCAATATAAACCTTTATTGTGTTATTTACATCTCATAAATTCTCTGTCTAAATCATATAAAAGCGCGTTTTACCCCTATGAATCAAGAAATTCATTCAATATTCATGGTATATTTATTAAATTTATACGATTTACTAATAATCAATATTATATCCTCATAAATAGCAATATATTTTGGTAATCTATGATAATCATATACAATATTTGAAATCAAATTTTCATTAGATTAGGTTCCTTGTTAATAGTAAACCATTATATTTATTACTAATAATAAAATCTATGTGTCGTATTGAAATTCAATAAAATTACTTATTCGGTCCAAAAAAACAAATTAGATAAAATTTTTCTTTTTTTATGTAATTTTTGTTTTTCATTTTTCTCAAGATCCTAAGTTATGTTCTAACTTTTGACATCATATCCTATCATGCTAGGCTATATATTATAGCATATCCAAAAGGCAAGGAAATCTATCAGAGAAGCCTTTTTGACCTATCGTTGCCCTACCTCTCCATTAAGACTATCAAAAAAAAATATAAAATATATTTTTTGAAATGTATGAACAAAATAACAGTGTTTACTCTATCTATATATAAACATAGTATTAATTATCTTCATCCGCTTTTTTCATTTGCAAAAATTTTTGAATTTCATTTCTTTGTTGCAAATATTGAGCTGAAGGGTTCTCCTCTAAAGGTTTTACCTTATATTCCTCTAAATCAGGAGGAACCATATTTGGATTAATATTATTTTGATTAAACTGCGTCAAAGTTGCTTCAACATCGGCTAAATTTATTTTATTGTCGTCGCGAGCTCTTGTTTTGTTTGCAGATTGGTTGATTATTTGATAAGTTAATTCTGATGCGATCAAATTTAGTAAATCGTTAGATTTATCGGGCAATTTCATATTTGGATCTATAGAATTCATAATTTCTTTGAAATCAATCTTATCATGTTGATCAATTTCAAGAACTGATCTCGGTCTTTCAGCTCTTGTTTCCATTTTTTTTGGAGTTTACAATTATCGTATTTCGCTCTTAAAAGTGACAACTTAATAAAAATGGAAGTTGTTCAGCTAATTATAGAAGACGAAAATGTTCTAAAACTCAGAGGATTGCAAAACATAGAGCCCACATTCGAGATTCGTCATGAAGGAAAATCATATCCATGTAATCCAATTCCAGCTGTTGAATCTGCTCATTTAATTTTCGAAGGATTCGTTAATACAAAAGCACTAGGATTCATAGAGTTACATAATGAAGATAAAAAGCACCTTTTGCCATCAATTATCAGTTTTTTGCATGGAAACACTCTTCGAATTGAACAGAGCAATGCAATGGATATGAAAGATATCGCCCAGGAACTTGGAATACCTTTAATTGAAGAATATGCAAGAAATTGTATTTTCTCTGATATGAGCAACCAACAGCAAATGGATAGAGAATATGAAGCGACATTTACAGTAGATATTAACTGATCAGCTTTTTTGTGTTTGAAATAAATGTTTTTAAATATATATCCCTAAATTATCTTAATTTATCGCTGTTTCGTATATATTTCTTTAAAGTTTCCTAATTTCTTATTGACAACAAAGAGGATGTTGTTAATTACGAAGGATTACAAAAAATTAAAAATATTTTTTAGTGATTATGATAGATTCTTGGGGTATTATTATTGTCGTCTGGCGGTTTTAGACGACAATGCGAATTTTCAAATAATAGGATTTTTAGCCAGATAAAGAGCTACTCCATATATCATGCGTGTTTGCATACTATATACATAGATGGAATTGATGTTCTTCCTTTATTTAGGTACCGAAACATGCTTGAAAAATCTAATTTTTAGACGACAATGATAATTTTGTCACTTTTCCAGACGACAATAATAATTTGTCACCTTTTTAGACGACAATAATAATTTTGTCACTTTTTCCAGACGACAATAAAACATCCTCTAGATTCTTCGCGGCAATGGATATGTCGATTATTTTCAAGCAAAATCTCCAAAAATATGTGAAGAATGAGTAGCAAAATTTACATAAAAGTGACAATTTAATCTAATTAATGATAATTCTTTCATTAATCAAACTAGCAAACAGTTTACCACCATGCGCGAGTCTTAATAGATGGTATCTCGATTGTAATATGTCAACCAGTAAAGATCCATTCGTTATTACTTGCCCAAGTTCTGGATATTATGAATATAGCTGCACTCCAGTAGTTGAATGCGAAGGTGAAACTACTGTCAAACAGAAAGTCCTTTGCTACCCAACAGATGGCAAAAGTCCTGCAATTGCATTAACATTATCAGTTGTTTTAGGTTTTCTTGGAGCAGATCGATTTTACCTTGGATATCCAACAATTGGTATTTTCAAAATGTTTACTGGTGGATTCTTTGGACTCGGATGGTATATCGATATTTTCCTTATCGCTTTAAGAATTGCAAAACCAGCTCAAGGAAACGTATACAGATTTGAACCGAACGCTAACTTTAGAATCCGTCTTCCAGGAGAAGTCTGGATGTAAAAATATTGTAATGAAATGAAGAGAGTTTTATTGGCTTACAAATTACTCTCTTTATGACTATAGTGTTATTACTTTTTCATTGTTTAAATTAATATTTTTTAAAAATATATTTCGAAATTTTATTTTAAATGTAACGAATCTGGCAATGATTATATAGGTAAAACATAACGAGAAGGTGTTATTTCAATACTAGAATAACTAGAAATTCAAAATAAATTAAAAATATCAGATTGGACGTTTGAAGATAAATCCATTCTTCTTATAAGAACTCATTTAACATGCACACATAAACAATAAGTCATTATGACATAGCCAGTAAGAAAAAATGAAGCTCGACGATTCAGACGATAGGATGGACGGTTTTGGTCCGTCCTTTCGCAATGAGATACATCGCTGCTTACCTTCTTGCTAAGGCTGCCGGAAACGAGAAGCCAACACAGGAACAAGTTAAGAAGATCCTTGAAGCCGCTGGTGTCGAAATCGATGCTGCCCAGTTAGAGGCTGTTGTCACAAAGATGGCCGAAAAGCCAGTCGAAGAGCTCGTCGAAACAGGCAAGAACGAAATGGGCAAGGTTGGCGGTGCTGCCCCAGCTGCTGCTGGTGCTGCTACAGCTGCTGCCGAAGCTCCAAAGGAAGAGGCTCCAAAGGAGGAAGAAGCTGCAGCACCACTCGATCTTGGTGATATGTTCGACTTTTAAAGTACTCTGAAATAAACAAGTTATTGCATACATAAAAATATACATCTAATGCCTTCATCATTTATTAACTTATTGATTGAGTCTAAGAAGTAATCACTGATATTCAGCCTATTTATTTTGCTAGAAGTTTTTTTTTTAATATTTTAATATGTTTTTTAAAATCGTTCATATAAAGAGCCATGAGGACATGTTTTAATGTAAAAGTCTGTAACATCATTACTATTCCCAAAATAGGAAAGAATATAAAAATAAAAATATAAAATTCTTTCGGATATATTGGATAATTCAAGCTTAAGAGTTATGAGGAATAATACTATTGAAAAAAGATAATAAATCATAGAAAATCAGATATTAAAAAATATATCAATTGAAATACATATAAATAAGTATGAATTTCAAATAAAAATAGAAGTGCTAAAGCCGATGATTTTTTTTTAATTTTTGGAGATAATTTTTGATTAATATTCGATCATGGCTTTGCAGTTTTTTTGAATTTTTAAGTTGACTTGTTTATTTCAAAGTGCTTTAAAAGTCGAACATGTCACCAAGGTCGAGTGGAGCAGCTGGTTCTTCCTCCTTCTTCTCTTCCTCCTTTGGAGCCTCTTCGGCAGCAGCAGCACCACCAGCAGCGGCAGCAGCTGGAGCAGCACCGCCAGCGGCGCCGTTCTTGACGAGCTCTGTGACATCGTGGTTCTTGAAGTAATCAGCGAAAAGATCAACCCAGTAATTGTTAAGCTTAACGTTAGCAGCCTTGATGAGTGTGTTTAACTTTTCGGCTGTGATCTCGATGCCATCGTCGTTAAGGATAAGAGCGGCGTAGACGCAAGCAAGTTCAGCGGACATACGAAAGGCCGACCAAAGGTAAACCGCAAAAAAATCTCAAATTTAGCGGTTTGACTTTTCAAAAAAGGCATCATTCTTGTTGATATTTTGTAAGAATTACTTCATATTCTTTCAGCTTATAAGTAATCCTTTGATTTGATAAAAGAATACGAAGTAAAAATTCAAGATTTTCGTGAGAATTGTTTTAAATATTGTTATATTAGGATTTGCATTGTTTTTTTATAAAGTAGTAGATGATTATGTAATTAATTAGCCAATCATTCAATCCATATTTAAAGCTACATTCATTTTGACCGAATTTTAAGGGTGCACACGAGAGGATTATGTAAACTTCAGAATTTAGAACCTTATTTTTAGGCATTATCTTGGCTACCTATTTAGGCTCGAAAAGCAAAAAATATCAAAAAATACAACTTGACTCCATTATGACCCTTTCATGGAGGTAGTTTTTATCCGCTAGTATTTTCCCTTTGAATCTCTTTACAATTCGAAATCAAATTCAAACCTCAGTAGAAGAAAGGAAGAATCGACTTACTACGGTTGTAATACGAATAAATACATATATTTAATTATTTTTATTTACATAATAATTGTTTGAAGCTCATATTCCATCAAATCTTTAAATAAAAACATTAAAATGTTGAAAATGTTCATATATTTTAATAGGGTTTTGGCACTTTATTGAGGAATTACTACATACATAGTCGAACTGAACTTGATATTTTGAAATTTAAATTATTTATCGAAATTAAAATTTAACTTGAAATTTATAATTATTTAGTCATATTTTGCATAATTCTAAGTAGATTTTGTAAAAAATCAAGAAAGAAAAAAATTAAAGTGCTTTATTTTTTCTTTTTTATAATAATACATATTATTATATAATTAACATATTCATAATGTTTCACCCTTTCAAAAATATAATCCTCCTCCTCTCAAATAAACGTACATACAGGTGGCCTCTTTTTTCAAAAAATTAAAATTTGAAATTTTGGGCTCAAATATTAGAGATTTTTTCAACCTTCAACGATATATGTTGTCTATATCAGACCTCCTTTCTTTTTGATACAAAGGTACATTCACTATTTTTGACAAAATTTTAAATTTTCATGGGGTTGTAAATCTTATAATAACTAGATGAATAAGGAATGAATCCCAGTATAATGTGCATCATTATATTAAACACTATATGTAAGGCTAATGATTCTATTAACACTTATGAAGATCTATAGTATTTGAGCAGATAAATTTGATAATTTCCAAAACTCTTATATTTCAAAATTAAAGTGTGCGAATGCATTTAAATGAGAGCAAAAAGAGATTGATGCTGTTAAAACTAGGTGTTAATTTCCAATTATTTCGCATCACAAGAACTACCCAGTAAATTCGGCTATCTTTCTTTGCAATTATTCTCCATTATACATATAATATAATGGTTAGGGTTTGAAGAAAAGTTACTAGAGAATTATTGACTTTTGAAATAATGCAGAATTTTACTTGAAGAAATCATTAATTTATGAGTTCCAAATTGCTAAGCATGACGAAGGATCATTAAATTTGCTACAATTATATACACTTATTGCAGAATTAAGATTTTTGAAATTAAAAGTTTGAAATATTGCCTTTTTGAATAAAAATTTAAATTTTATTATATAATCATGATAATATCTTATAGAAATTAAAAGAAAATATTTTAAACCATTCAAATATTTTGAATGTCTTATCAATTTAAAATATTAAAAGATAGCTTGATTTTATCATCATTAGTTGTTATCAAAGTTTTCTTCTTTTGATGAACAACAGTAAATGATTTGTTAATTACTTGTCTTCCTTTTTCGCAGCAAAATCGAAAGTTATGATGATAATCTTGTACTCAATTTTGAAACTCTCTGATTTACAAGTAAGCATTCCTTTGGAAAAGCAGTCCTATTCTGTTTTCAAGATATTTTAAAGCCCCTATTTCATACAATGCGCAGATCTATTCGAAATTGCAAGAACTCTCAAGAAAAATGCAGCAGCAAAGAAGATTCCATAGTTTCTAGCATCAAAAATTTACAACCTTAATACAACAGTTAAAGAGAAGCTCGAAAAGAAAATATTTAACCATAAAGCTGGAAACCATTCGATATCTACTATTGGATCTAATAAAAAGTTAATTATAACATATTTAACATGCTATTTGTTGACTTTGTTCCATTATATTACCATATATATCTTTTTGAAATCTAAAATATTTTTACGATTTTAACCATGTGTTGTTGAAACCATATATCAATCTTAGCTAAAGTATAGTTTATGAGTCTGTCACCATCTAACGTATGAATTTTCAAAAATGTCAAATATGTTCATTTTTTCTGTAGATTCAGCCATAATTTCACGCTGTTATACTATTCAACTATTATTTAATATTTTTATCGATTTAAATATATGATGAGATGCTTAGTTCTCCTGGAAATCGATTTTTAATCGCAATTTTAACTTTCCAAAAAAAATTCAAAAATAAAAATCCCTCTCAATTTTCTAAGTTTTATAACTCGCCAAATCTCTAGCCAAATTTTTTTTGGCCCGTATAAATATTGTTAGGCACTATATAGGGATGCTATTTATCCTATTTTCATCCCATTTTACTGTTATCGCCTAGTGAATGTACCTTTTTTGATACTTAACATTGTTCCTAAATCTTAGCCGTTAAGGCTGTTCTGAAAATATTTTTTTTTCGAAAAAATTGGAAAAAAATTCTTAAAATTCAAAAATCCCTTAATTCCTGAGGATTTTGGAAAAAAGTTTTTACTTGAACATGTGTATATTATATGAAGTATATTGATAAGGTAAAAATCAAATTTTATTGCATATTCATCGAGAAAATAAACGAATCCCTCAAAATTGAGAGGGTAATCCTCCTCCTCTCAAATAAACGTACATACGGGTGCACCCTTAATGAATGATTTATATGAAAACATTCATATTTTTTAAGATTGCTATAGTTGCTTTCAAATATGAAATCATGAAGATGATTGTATAGCGCTCCCAAAATCTCAGTAGTGAGAGCCCCGCAATATAAAATGTAAACCTCTGTGTATTGAATTGGGATTTGTAAACCTCACTACTCTAATTTTGATTGAGAGGGCAAGGCTCTGGACGCTTAATTTGAGGGCTTTTTTTTCTATGAGATTAAGAAAAGTTTTAAGACGAAGATTTTTACTATCTATATACAAGACAAAGAATAATAATAAATAGTTTTTTTGGAAAAAAAGACGATAGGAATTATCAATTAAATCCAATTGATTTTGGGTCGAAATTAAGGAATACATACTAACTTCCATGTAGTATCCTCTTTTCGAAATGAAATTTTGTAATTTGGAAAAAAACCCATAATAAAATTTTGATTTGGAAGAATTTTAAGCTTTGTTACTAGAAATTTAGATTTGTAGTTCCAAAACAATATGACCATACAAATAATGGAAACATCCAGCAGGAAATGATTTGAATTTGATGGCGAATTAAGAAATTCTACTTGACCTTTTAACGCAAATGGAAAAGCATCCATTTTCTGCTAGTTTGGGTTTGCTTTTCGGCTTGCTAATTCATTTATCCATCATACCACGAAAATAATAAACAAGCATTTTTTGTTCAGAAAATTGAAATTGCATTGTTTCATCAGAATTGATGCAGTAACTAACTGTAATATATCAAAATTCATTAAAATGTCTTGATTTTGAGTTTCAATATATTAATGATTAAAAATGTGACCCAAATTGCAAATTTTTAATAAAACCAAGCAATCCATGATGCATACTGTTATAAATCCATGAGAAAGACAGGACTAACAAAATTAAATGTTTACATTTATTCAATATTCAAAATGCTTATTTTGAATTATCAATATAATTAAATCATATCGCATTTCATGCACGTTTTTTCTCTCAAAAAATTGAATTGCTATTCAACTGCGATTTTGAGATGACTATATGTTCATAATGAAACAAGACTGTAATGTGATCTCTTTGAGTTTTTTGTATTTAGAGGTTAAATAAATTAATGTATTGCACCAATGTGTTATAACGTGTCGATTTATAATAAAGTAATTATTATAATAAATTTGATATTCAGCGACGGCGCTACGCGCCTTTTAGCATTCTGGGCACTTACGTGCCAAAAATGCAAGCTTGAGAAATTTGAAACGAAGTTTCAAATTTCTGCCTTGCTGTTATGTAAAAAGATTTTTTTGGTGTCGAATTTGAATGTGAATATAAAATTTAGTTTTTATTTATTTTTATTTTTTTTGTGAGATATGGATTTTTTAGAAGATATTTGAGATGTCAGTCTCAATTTATAAAAAATTTTAAAATTGAGAAGAATTTTAATGATATGAATTTATTTGATATTTGGATTTTTTAGAAGATTTTAAAGATGTCGGTCTCAATTTTTCAAAAAGCGGTTAATGTGTCGCGAGCTTGAAGTCTAAAACGGCAAATACTGAACTTTTTTAAAATTCGATTGGTCAAATAAGTTATACATTATATCAACATTCTAAAACAAATTTTAAAATGGAGTTTGGAAAATCAAAAATTTTACAAAAAGTGACAAAAAGTGCCAAATTGCCAGTATATGAGATTTTAATGTTATCACAATACACATACTATATATAGTTTAATGTTTATAATATCAATGAATTTTATTGACATCATTAAAATTGAATCATGGAGTTGATAGATATTAATTAGTTAATACTAATGTATAAATAAATGTGAATAAAGATATGTTAAAATTATCGAGTTTGATTTTTTGAGTTCTGAATCTCCCGAATTTCCCATACAAACATATATTAATTTTATAAAATATAGAAATAAAATCAGATTCTACAATGCTTTTTGAAATGTGTCCAAGTGTTTGTATATATATACACGTTCATTTCTATCGGCGCGCGGAGCGCGCCGATAGAAATGAATGACAAGGCTGTCATGCACCAGTGTGTTATAACAGATCGATTTTATTTGAAATTTCATAAATTAATAATTATAATAAATTTGATATTCAGAGACGGCGCTACGCGCCTTTTAGCATTCTGGGCACTTACGTGCCCAGAATGCAAGCTTGAGAAATTTGAAACTTCGTTTCAAATTTCTGCCATGCTGTTATGGAAAAAGAAAGTCAGTACAAAAAAATTTTTGAAATTGAGAATAAAAATAATATCGTGATTTTTTGTGATAGATGGATTTTATAGAAGATTTTAGAGATTGAAATCTCAATTTATAAAAATTTTTTAAATTGAGAGGAATTTTAATGATATTATTTTATTTGATATTTGGATTTTTAGATGATTTTAGAGATGTCAATCTCAATTTAAAAAAATTTACAAAAAATGATCGTAAAATAATCGTTTTTGTTCAAATCCTTTTCATTTCGGGAAATTGAAGTTAAATATCAAAGAGATGGTCTATGCATATGTTAAATCAAATCATTAAAAAGTGTTTTGATGACTTTTTCTAACCGCAAATTGTCACTTTTTGATGTTTTAAAATTATTATATATCCTATATGCATATAAGATACAAATTAATATTAAAACCCCAAAATCGATTTTTGAGAGAATCAAATTTATCACATCTCATCGTTGTTCCGAATTAATATTTTATTTGTAATGTACATATTATCACAATTACATTCATCATATTAAAATTCAAAAATAATTTTTGAGTTTCAGATCTCCCTAATTTCCCATATAAATATATGTTTATTTTATTAAAAATAGAATGTCCAATTATTGATAAAAATCGACCCGCTTTTCTACCGGTCAAGCTGTATATATATAGAACCCATCCATGTAAACCTCGATGTCACTTTTGCGGCCTCGCTCCGCTCGGCCGCAAAAGTGACATCGAGGTTTACATGATGGAAAAAATTATAAATTGTTTATTAAATCAATACTTATATTATTTTCAAAGCCGAATAAACTGATGTTGTAAATATAATTACCCTAATTTTTTGAAGGAAATTAAATTTCATTAAATTTATCGAAGTCTAGATTCACAAGAAGATATATTTTGCATTATTTTGATGTGAATTTATGTTTGTAATATTACAGAGATAAAAATTTAAGTATTTCTAAAGCAAATGTGGTTAACTTAAGTTATTTAAAATTCAAATGACTCTTTGAATTTTTGAGAATTTGAAAAGGCTCTCAAATTGTTAAAATGAATTATGTTTGCTTGTTTGTTATTTTGTCTAAGGCTGGTATCAAGGGATGGCATCTTTAATTGAATTAGATCGAGAGAATGGTAAATTCCAAGTAGATGGGAACGTTTCAGATAAACAATTTTATAACGACACTCGATTTCAAACATTAATATTAGTAAATTGCTTCACAATCGGTCAGTCCTCGTTTGGGAGATGTATCAATCTTACGAGTATCACTCTCCCACAAGAATTGTTGATGGTCGGGGCCAGAGCGTTCTCGGATTGCTACAAACTTGCACATATAGTGATACCGGATTTGGTGAAATCGATCGAGAATGAGTCATTCATATACTGTTCGAGTCTTGCCACTGTTCAGCTCCCAACAAACTTGGTTTCGATAGGAAAAAACGCTTTCCGATCTTGTTTTAGACTACATTCGATTAATCTCCCGGATTCGATACAATCAATTGGAACAAGTGCTTTTTCTGGTTGTAACAGTCTTATGATCAACAAAAATCTTCCGAATAATCTCGAAATACTGAGTGCTGGAACTTTTTCTAACTGTTTCCTGTTAGAAAGAGTTAAGATTCCAGACAAGATAAAGAAACTCGACAATTACCTTTTCAACACATGGAAAAACCTCACTGAAGTTGAATTCGGACCAGATATCACAGAAATTGGTATTTATTGCTTCACAGACTGCAAAAAACTTACAAGAATATCAAATTTACCATCTGTTGTTAAAATCGGAGATCATGCATTCGAAAACTGTGAAGAACTTTTATTTTTCAATTTTTCGAATGAAATCAAATATATTGGCTCGGCGGCATTTAAGAATTGTTTAAGTTTTGTTTGTGTAAAATTTTGGGATTCTGGAAGTTTAATAAGATTTGAGGAATATTATCCAATTAATCTTTCCCAATTAACAGAGATAAAATCTAGTTCTTTTCAAAACATTGGAAGGAAATTTATCCATGAAAGTTATCTTGATTATTATTATATTTATCATTATTATTTTCGTTATTATTATAATAATTATGATTATAGTAATGTTTATGGTTATGAGATTTATATAAGATCCAATGTATTTATTCTATCAGAAAAATGTAATTCTATTGGAGATTATGCATTTTGTGGAGCCTATTTGTTTCCAGAGTTTAACTTTTCGAACAGTATCACTCAAATTGGAAAATATGCATTTTTTAATAGAACTGTTTTCAAGTTTGGTACTTTACCAAAATCTCTAAAAATAATTGATGAAAATGCTTTCAACGGATTTTATATTTGGAGTAGTTATAGGCACTACACATATTTTGGCAATCTTGTTATTCCATCGGGGGCGGAAAAAATTCATAAAAATGCATTTTCGTATAACGATTTTATAAATGTTACAATACTTGATAGCGTGAATTCAATCGGTGAAGCTGCATTTGAATTTTGTATTTTTAATAGGGATGTCTATTTAAGTAGTCTTACAAGCATCTCAAAAAAATGTTTTTATATGACTTTTTTTTGGAAATTACTTGTTCTTCCAGATAATTTACTTGTAATAGAAGAAATGGCATTTATGCATTCTGTAATAGATTCAATCAAACTTTCTAAAAAACTGCAAGTTATTGGCAAAAAAGCATTTTATATGGATGTTAATACTTCAAATTATCATATGTGGGATTCTCCACCCTTCCTTACTGAAATTGTTTTCCCTGAAAGTTTATATTTGATTGATGATTATGCATTTTATGATAATTATATGTTGCAGAAAATCACTTTTCTAGGTAATAATATTACATTAGGATATGCCTCTTTTACAAATGTTGGAAACAGACGAGTAAATTCATGGATTTTTAGAAGTTTTGATTATAAAGACGCTGTGTGTAATATTAAAATGGAAAATCAGAATTCTGGTGATATAATCTTTGGAAATAATGCATTTAGTTATGCAATCATTAATTTTACAACGGATGTGAATGTAAATACTATTGAAAAGTATTGTTTTTATAATGCATCGATTTTTAACTTTCATTTGAACCAACATTGTCACTATATAAAAGATAATGCATTTTCACTGGTATACTTCTGGGGATCACTTAAATCAATCCGATTTCCTGATAATCTGTCTACAGAACTTGGAAAAAGTATATTTGCATACTCAAATATCGAAAACTTTTACACCTTTGCTTTTATTAATATTGTTCCTGGAATGTTCTCAAATAGTAAAATTGAGGATTTATTGAGAAATCCATATCTTAAAAGTGTTGGAAATTATTCTTTCTTCAATTGTTCAGAACTAAGAGAAATTGATCTTGGCGATCAATTAGAAACTATTGGCAATTATGCATTTTCACAATGTCAAAAGTTGGAAACAGTAACAATTCCCCCAACATGTTATTCTATTGGAGAAAATGCATTTTCTCAATGTCCAATGTTAAATATAACAACTGTACCACAGAGATTAGGAGAAATAAAATATCAAACATTCGCAAATTGTATAAGTATTAAATCAATTAATCTTTGGTATATTAGAAAAATAAATTCACTTGCTTTCGATTCATGTATCAAATTAGAAAGTATTGTTATTCCAGATGAATGTGGAGAAGTTTTACAGTATTCATTTAGTAACTGTATATCATTATGTTCAGTCATAGTTGGAACATTTTGTAAAGTTCACGATAATGTATTTACAAATTGTTTTAATTTGAGTTTTGTCTATTTCAAAAATAATGTAATTATTAATGATTTTGCATTCAAAAATTGCGAAAATATTACTGCAATTGCAATCTGTGATAGTATTACAATTAATCCATATGCATTCAACTCTTCTCTAAATTCAAGTTTGCATCTTTTGTACCTCGGTGCAAGGAAAAATGTTGCAATCAATCTAGCTCGATTTGTGAAGAATGTAACTGTTAGTCAAGCATATCATGGAAAATCCTTCTTCAATTTCATTGTTAACAAAATATCCACTGAAGAAATGCATCAATTGATGAATGATTATAACTGCGGAGAATATATTGAGTTCGAAGATATTTATTTACCTCCAACGCCTGCAGATCCTACAATATATAGACCTTATTTTAATAAAAATGTGTTATTCTTTTCTTTTCTACCAAAATTATAAACAATCGAGTTTTATTAACTTCAAAGAAAATTGTAAAATTAATGATGGTGTAATGATCGTGCATTAGGCATTTGATTCTCATTTTAATGAATGTTTTCATGTGTTAAATCTCGCCACAAGAAAAATGATGGACATGATTTCTTAAATTTGGTATATCAAATGGCCTTTGGCTTTATTTGCCAAAAATGGTCAGTAACTAATAAAATGATAGAAGAAATAGTTTTAAAAAAATTTTCAAATTTCAAATAATTTCAATAAATTACTCTTATAATAAAATATTTTCTTAATAATCGTGGCACCGCTGGTCTAATGGTAGAATTTCACCTTGCCAAGGTGGGGGTCCGGGTTCGATTCCCGGGCGGTGCATTAATTTTTAATTTTTTTTTCTTTGTGAAAATTCAATGAGTTCTTATGCAGCTGTAATGTTATTCTATAGTTCATGCTTTTTTATGATTACCTCAGCTTTTACAAGTACAACAAATTATTAATATTTATATTTTCCAACTAAATTACCTTTTAGACATTTTCCATAACTATTTTGCTAATTCATTCCAAACATTCAGGATTGGAAGTAGTAATTCACTCTGATCACCAGCATTGCTCTTTATAAAGTTCTTCAATCTTCTGATGTTCTCTTTTGAAAATTCTAAAGGAACAGGAGAAGGTCGAAAACGTCCACGATCATCTTCAAGATAATCGTCTGGAATTAAATCAATTACATAGGCATCAAAGATTTCTGAAAGTTTTTCACCCGCATTGTCATGGAAAACAGACAAAGCACATTGTTTGACAAACACACAGCTTTTTAACGTTTGTGTCACCATGAGTATCATTACATTACAGCAAAAGTGCACAATAGGTGATGATTCTCCAAGTATGAATAGAGCCTGCTCAGACCCTCCTTTAGCAGCTTCAATAGCATAATTACACATCGCTTTGCGAACATCATCATTACCAAATTTATCCAAGAGTTGATGATTCAGATATATTTTATGCAATATACGTGCCATAACAGTATTTTGCTCTACTAAACTCATATTGTACGTATTTTTGGTTTTAAATGTTTCTTTCAGATCTGAAAGAGTATTAATATTGCCATTTAGAACCTCTTTGTACAAGTTACTACTTAGTCCTGCATATTCCTTTTGATGACCGAAAATATCTTCCATAAAACCTCAACAAAAAACTTTTAAAAAAATGGCTTCAAATTTTAGAAATTTACCATCCAAAGATTTTGATTGAGCTAATATTTTCAATTTCCCTTAAATAGACTATATTCATTTAGTGCTTGTACTAAGATAGTAAGGCATGTGTATAATATGTAGCTTAGGCATCTCTTTCTCCATTTAGTATCATCTTGTTTCTTCAAGAAGATATAAATTGCGTCTTTAAAAAGTATTTGTAGTTTCAATATGTTTTAATATATTAGTTATGTTTGTTGATATTCTAATGGACATCATATAAAGCATTTTTTGGTTGAGATTGGTCAAATTATACTTTATATATTATAATTAGAGTAAAATGTTATACAACATCAATATACACATGAAATCATACTGTGATTATGATAATCTCTTACCATTTTTGCAAGAATCAAAATTTGAATTCTATATTGTATTCAATCCTGATAACTAAGATGCAGTTTCCTATAAAATATAGTGTTTTGATGAAATGAACACAAAAAAAGTAATAAATTCCGTAATTTTTCTTTCAAATTTGTTGAATAATGGTCATTTTAGGATATAAAATAAAAGGAATAGTGATCTATTGCCTAATTCTGATTTCTTATCAGTAAAATAATCAAAATATTGATGATGATTATTTTCAATTCAATAATTAATAAACGTTTCGTTATTTCTTTTTGGGAATGATTTCAGACGAAAAGATAATCAGTCAACTTGAATCATTGGGTATGAATGACGTTACAGAAGAATTTAAAAAGATTTCTGGCTATGGAAAGCCAATTGTTCCAACATTTTACGCCAAGAAAACAAAAACTCATCAAAATTTCAGAAATTTGCTTTATTCAGTACAACAAAAAGCATTTTACATATCGGAAGATGAACGAAAATTACTTGAAAAGAATATAAATCCTGATTCAAGAGATATTGATGTTTTATCAATTGATTTTACAGGCTTAAAGCAATCATTTCCTTCGGAAAAACAGAGAATATTAGCAGATGATATAATAACTACCTTCACAGACCAAGATAAAAAGTTTAATGGCATAAAATACCACGAATTCATTGATTGGTACAACAATTTATTGAACGTTTTGGAGAAGATTAATAGTATTGAAGAAATTGATTCGTGCCAATGTATTTCATCATCCTGCTTACAACAATTTATCATTGAAAAAGTTAAAGAATTTTCAACAGTGTATCCGAATACAACTGATCCAGAATGGACCAAAAACATTTATTCTACATATGTTCTCAACAGAATTCTTTTCGATCTACAGTTAAATCCTTATCAACGAATTTCTGTACCTTTACTTGTCAAATCTAAAGCATTTTCCGAATTTATTGAACTCGACAAATACGATACCTGCTCAGTTTCACATAAAGAAGTTTCAATGATTTATGATCATTTTACAAAAGTTGCAGAGCCGCAAACATTAACAATCAAGAAGGAAAAGATGAAAGAAATATACTCATTCAGGTTCAATGATCTTTTCATCGATAAATTGTATGAACACATCGAAACTCGCAATAATGAAGCCACATTCTTAGGATTCATTCAGTTTTACATACCCCTTCGCTTTATTTCTGAGTACCCTCATGCAATAAACTTCTTTTTCAAGATTCTTGACGCAGATGATGATGGAATTTTAGGTCGTGATGACATTTATTACTACTACAAAGCTCAAATGGCCGAATCTTTGCATACAAAGATATTTTTCGATCTTTTTTATTCTCGTCTTCTTGATATTTGTACATTAAAAGTAGATGATATGAATTCTGCAAATATCGAGAACTCTGGATACTCTAGAGACATTGTTAATACGCTTATTGACGTTGAAACCTTTGAAAATACATATTCAGTTCCAACAGCTTTTGGAATGGACTTTGATGAAGACGAAGAATATGAAGAAGAAGAGAAAATGGACTTTTAAACTTTTGTTTGTTATAATTTTCGTTTGTTTTTTATAGCATTTTTTGGCTATTTTCGCATAGCAAAATTTGTAAAGTATTCAATTTATTTTTTATTTCTTTTTGAAAAATGAGTTTTAAAGCCGATGATATGACCCCAGATAAAGTTTCATTAGAACTCCTAGAGAAAATAGAAGGAATCCTAAAGAAATCTTCAGAAATTATCGGTGATAATAACATATATTCAAATCCTGCGCATGCAGATTCATTAATTCGTGGATTTTTACGTCGTTCTAGTACGCTTGAAGCTAAATTAAAGTATGTTCAGGATGATTTGGCCAAGTTTCCATATAAAATTAATTCTGTAGAAGAAGCTGAATCCAGAAAAGCAGATTGTTTAGAAAAAATAAAACAAAATAAAGAAAAACTTATCAATATAGAGAAAGAAAATGATAAAATTAAGGCGCAAATCGAAGAAATCAATAAAAATCTCCCACAAGGTGGAGATAACTCAGAACTTTTCAAGTCCGAAAAGGAAATCAAAGATACAGAATCGGAAATACAAAGTAAAAATCAAGAAATTTCAACTTTACAAAGAGAATCAAAATTATTAGAGCAAAAATATGAAGAGGTCGTACAAATCGGAGATGAGCTCTCATCTAAGATAAATTCTGTTAAGAATGAAACTGCAGGAATAACTAATTTAAATACAAGCGAAGATTTAATCGAAAAACGCGAAAAAAGACTTAATATACAAAAAGCTCTCGATGCATTTATTGCCGAAGCTGAAGCTCAATCGAATGCTAGAAGAATTGTTTTATCACAAAGAAAAGAAACTCTTACAAAACAAATTTCTGAAGCCAAAGAAAGGCAAGTCAAAATTAACGAAGAAAGGAATAGAGTTTCCATTTTGAAAGAAGATATTGTTAGACTAGAAGCTTTAATTGCAAGAGAAAAAGCTCCAAAACAAGAAAATGTCGAAATTGTTAAGAAAGAAAAGCCTCCAATGAACAAAGATAGAATATCAAGGTTGTGCTTGATGTTAGTTACTCAGGAACCATCAGATGAATTAATAAATTCAATTGGTTCGGAGTTATGTTGGAGTAAAGATCAGATTGATGAATTTCTAAAAGGAACACGTAAAGATAAAGATCCTGGTATTGGTCAACAATGGGTGAGCTGGTTAGATTCAGTCACCAATGATTTATAATTATTCATTGTTGTTGTTCATTATATTGTATAGTAAATAATAAATTTGTTAGTATTTATAAAATAATTGATCGCTGATTCGTATAAATACATTCAAATTATCAAAAAACAGAAATATATTTTGATAAATTAATAAAATATGGACTCGAATAAAGCACCAAAACTAATACATTTCATTAGAGTTATAAATGCTAATCTATATTCTGAAATTACTATATAATTCATAAAAATTCATCTTTATATTCAACAATTCGTGCTTAATTTGCTGATGTAATATGAAATTATCTGTTTTTAGATCAATCTAATTAACTCCCATGTGTATACAATGAGAAATGAAATCTCATTTTTTCCAAAAAATTTAGAAAATTCTAAAAATGAAAATAAAAAATACGAATTTAGATATCAAAAAATGAATTTCAAAAAAATTTTGGAAATAAAATGTTTTTAATTTTATATATATTCACAATATTCTCCTCAAATATTAACAAAAAATAGGTTTTTAAAAAATTTATTATATTTGGTTGGGAAATAACTGGATTTACGCAATGATTAAAGTGAGAACTGTTTTGTTTAATCGATATGAACACCAATTTATACAAATGAAATCATATCTTTACTCTTTCTTGAACCGCTCTCATTATCGTTAGATTTTCGATATTTTTCTTACAAATCTAAATGACAGCAACATCTGATACAATCAATGCCTCTCTCTTAAATAGTGATACACTCATTAGTGTAGGCAGTCTTGAAGAACCATTATCAACACAGCACGAAAAAGATAAAAATGGCCAAATGACAATGTTGCAAGCAGTACTAGTTCTTACTATAACTATTACGGGTATAGGTCTTTTGTCTGTTTCGTACTGTTTTAGATCTGGTGTCTTCTTGAATTTAATCTTAACTCTAATTCTTGCCTCTGTTTCTTTCGTTACATTCATTTATCTCATCGATTCATCCGTCAAATCAAATATCCACGATTATTCACAGCTAATGTCTGTAGCTCTTAGCTCGAAATTCGTTATTGTTGTAAATATCATTCTTGCCGTCTTATTATTTGGCGTTGGAATACTTTACATACAGTACACATACTCTCTTACATCAGCCTTCCTTAAAAACTTCAAAGGAATTCCAAACTGGGTTTATAATCGCTGGTTTTTGATTTTTACCCCAGTTCTCTGCATTAACTTCCCACTCATGTGTCTGAAAACAATGCAGAAGCTATCATTCGTTTCATTTGCCTCTATGGCACTTGTTTTTGTTTATTTCTTACATTGCGCTTATTATTTCGGAAAATCAGTTAAGAATGATGGATTCGATCCACAAAAACAAATGAAATACTTCAATTTCAGCAGGATTTTCCTCTCAGCTATGGGAATTCAAGCTACTTCTTACACATGCCATCCAAATATCTTCCCAACACTGGTTAAGCTCGAAAATGGTACGAAAACACGCAAAACTATTGTAATGGCGTGCGTTGTTTGCCTTGCTTACTTGATATATACAGCTCCTGGACTTCTTGGGTATTTTACTTTGTTTGATAAGATCCAGGACCCAGTTGTTATTACATATTATCCAAGTGGACAAATATTTACATCGATTACTACAGGATTATACGCTTTATTAACTGTTTTCTGCGTTCCATTGATTTTATTTGCTTGCAGACTCTCAATTAACGATATTATCTTCAAGACAGAGTTCACAACACTCAGATGGAACTTAATTGCACTCGTATTACTTGTTCTTGCAGCAATTATCGCAATTACTGTCAAGAAAATCAATTCTATCTTCGGAATCATTGGTGGCGTTCTTTGTCCGTTAATTGCTTACATATTACCTGCATTTTACTATATAAGAATATGCAAACCAGGAATTTTTAAGCTTTTGTTCGCATATTTCGTAATTTTATTCGGTTTCGCTATCATTGTTATTAGTCTTTATAACTGTTTCTAAATAATAAACAACTTCGCTTATAGATTATCTATTACTATCATTAAATAACTCAAATAATTTTAATTTCTATCAAAATTTTATAGGATAATTCATGTTCATTGAAATGTTACTTTATAATTTCATCTGTATTGATGTTTCATAATATCTGTTATTCAAAATCTTATAAAATCATACACTTTGACAAATATCTTGATATAAATTGTAAATCGAGGCAAATAAACACCTTTGAACATATTCTATTAGAGTCTATTATACTTTCTGGCGAATATACAAGTTTTTATGTTTAACTCAGAAACTTCGATATTTTTTTCGATGAGTGTAATAATTTCATGAAGTTAGTTGAGGAAGATAATATCAAAGTGTAATACAACCATTGCCATACATTGTCACCTTAAAAAACTAAGAGCAAAGGGTTAATCATTTTGTAAATATGGTAATAATTCTTTATTTTAAGGAAAAGCATAATTAATGTCATGTACTTAGTTACAATGCATTGTTCATTGAGGTAGATTACAAAAGTTGCTTTGACCAATTAGCGCATTCCAAAAATAAGGAATTATTTTGTGGGTATTAGGTTCCTCATGCAAATATATCCGTAAATTTATGCTTATTCATTTATCGGCCTTAATTTGAAATCAATCCGATTTCAATTACTTCGACATCTCAAATAAACATTAGATTTAGTGTCATTATTGGATAGTAATATCAGATACGCCAGAAATAACAAGCGAAATTTTCTTGATAATTATAGCGCCAACTTACATCATCGGGGATACATGATTTTCTCTCAATTTTGAGATAAATTAACGTACAGGCTAATTTATGGCGCGAAGAAAATTTTTGTTGCAAATGGATTCTTTGCCGTGGAAACATCATTTTATTAAATAACCTTTACAAAATCAATCTGACCTGCTCCGATCTTGGGCGCCAATTTTACCCGCATAAAAACCGTTTTATGAAAAAATTGAGAGGGCGCGCGCGCAAAAATTGCAAAAATGCGCGCACTCTGTGAGAACTTCATTTCTTTCAATGTCCAATCTCCTTGACGAACCAATAGAATTCGAAGGCATCAAGACAAGATTGCCCTTCACATCGAATGCTATCAAAGTCATGAAGGCACGCTACCTTGTTCACAATGAAGAGGGTAAAGTCTACGAAACACCAGAACAAATGTTCACCCGCGTTGCTAAGGCATTAGCATCAGTCGAAACAGACAAAGAGAAATGGACAAAAAAGTTCGAAAAGGTCATGATGAACTTCGAGTTCATCCCAGCAGGCAGAACACTTGCTAATGCAGGTGCCAAGACAGATCTTGTTTCAAACTGTGTTGTTCTCCATATGGAAGACTCTCTTGATTCTATCTTCCAGACACTTCAAGATGCAGCTTTACTTCAGCAAGCCGGCTCTGGCATTGGATTCCCATTCCACAAGCTTAGACCAGCAGGTTACAAGTGCAAGCGCACACTCGGCTCATCATCTGGCCCACTCTCCTTCCTTCGCATCTACGCTGAAGCTTTCCGCATTATCCAGCAGCACGGACGCCACGGTGCTAACATGGCTATCATGCGTGTTGATCACCCAGATATCATTGAATTCATCCATGCCAAGGAACAACCAGGTACATACGAGAATTTCAACTTTTCAGTTGCCTTTACAGATGAGTTCATGGAGCGTGTTATCAAGAACGATCCATCTCCATGGATGTGTAAGTGGAATGGCGAAAAGATGGCCCCACGTTACATCACACGTGATGCAGCTGGCAGAGTCGAAAATATTCAGCCACTTACAATCTCCGCTCCAGAGCTCATGAACGAAATCATCCATCTTGCCTGGACCAACGGCGAACCAGGCTGTGTTTTCATTGACACAGTCAACAAAGCAAATCCACTTCCAGGACTTGGCCCAATAGAATGCTGCAACCCATGCGGTGAACAGTTCCTTCATTCTGGTGATGCCTGCAACCTCGGCGCTATCAATCTTGAGAAGTTTGTCGTTGATGGCAAGATTGACTTCAAGCACCTTGAAGAAGTTACACGCACAGCTATCAGAATGCTTGATAACGTTGTTTCTCTTACCAAGTTCCCTGTCCAGAGAGTTACAGACATGTTCACAAACAATCGTCGTATCGGACTTGGCATCATGGGCCTTGCCGACCTCCTCTTCCTCATGAAGCTCCCATACGACTCAGAGGAAGGCCGTGCCTGCGCAGAGGAAGTCATGAAATGCGTCCAAGATTCAGCAATCGATGAATCCAAGAGACTTGGCCTTGAAAAGGGATCATTCCCGAACTTCGAGAAATCTGTTTGGGCAGACAAAGTTCCAGCCATGAGAAACACTTCTCTTACAAACGTTGCACCAACAGGATCAACATCAATGCTCCTTGATGTTTCATCTGGCGTAGAACCATATTTCGCTCTTGCCTACAGAAGAGGAAACTGCCTTGCTGGCCCAATGAAGCCATTCGTCAACAAGCACCTCCAGAAGGCTCTCGAAGATTGCGGCTGCTTCACAGATAAGATCATGGACAAGATTCTTGAGACAGGTACACTCGCAAACGTTACAGAAGTTCCAGAACAACTCCGCCGCGTTTTCGTCACATCTCTTGATATCAAGGCTGAAGATCACATCGCTATGCAGGCACGCGTTCAGAAGCACTGCTGCAACGCCATCTCTAAGACAATCAACTTCAGACGCGAGGCTACAGAAGACGATGTCCGCGCAGGTTTCATCGAGGGATGGAAGAACGGATGCAAGGGACTCACAGTATACAGAAATGGAAGCAGAGACGCACAGGTCCTTGAGACAAATGTTAAGAATGACAAACCAGTCAAGACATTTGTCGATACATGCAAGGATGGAAAGTGTGATACCTAATTCTTATTTTTTCATAAAAAATCTATATTTATTTAATTAACTTATATTACTGAGTACTTTGCATAATGTGAGAAGTTGTATGTAATGGATTTTAAAGATATGAAGAATTCCAATATTAAACTCAATTTTTGGATGATCTCTATTTTCAGTGAAATTCAAGCATTTTAAAAAGCATTCCTTGATTTCATCTTTATAAGATCACTAAAGACTCATTTATTTAAAGAAGAAAAGGTAACCAATTTGACTGGAAACAGATATAGTTTTTAAAGAAGAAAAGGTAAAATTGATTCAAACTATTCGTTAAGGGTGCACACGAGAGGATCATGTAAACTTCAGAATTTAGAACCTTATTTTTAGGCATTATCTTGGCTACCTATTTAGGCTCGAAAAGCAAAAAATATCAAAAAATACAACTTGACTCCATTATGACCCTTTCATGGAGGTAGTTTTTATCCGCTAGTATTTTCCCTTTGAATCTCTTTACAATTCGAAATCAAATTCAAACCTCAGTAGAAGAAAGGAAGAATCGACTTACTACGGTTGTAATACGAATAAATACATATATTTAATTATTTTTATTTACATAATAATTGTTTGAAGCTCATATTCCAACAAATTTTTAAATAAAAACATTAAAATGTTGAAAATGTTCATATATTTTAATAGGGTTTTGGCACTTTATTGAGGAATTACTACATACATAGTCGAACTGAACTTGATATTTTGAAATTTAAATTATTTATCAAAATTAAAATTTAACTTAAGGGTTTCGTTTTGCGAAAAAAACGTACAATACGCAATTTCGCTAAAAAACATTTAGCTAGCAATTTCGACCTTTGACTCCACTCAAGACGTCACTTTTTTAATTTTGCGGTATCATATTTTTGGAAAATCTTTATGAATATTATATAAAAAGTCTCTTTAATATCTATATTTCATATTTTTATCGATTTTTAAAGTTTTTGCGAAAAGTATTCAATTATTTTTGCTATTTGGTCGGGTAAATGTCAGATTTGCGACATTTTCTGATATGATATTCAGATTCTATGTTGATAATAATGCTTATAGAACCCTCTTGCTATTGTGTCAAAATTGCGAAACCGATAGCAAAAATATCTCGCAATATCAAAATTGAGATATTGAGTGAATTATGCATTATAGAGATTAAAAATCTGATTTGTGAAAACATCTCATCAGTTTCTAGCTAATTCAAAAATCTTTACTATCTTATTCGATTAAAATGAAAAGGGAATAGTTTCATTATGCTTTAAATGACAGCCTTATAATATAATCATAGTTTTCGCTCAATATGCAGCATTTTTTTTCGAAATCTATGGTCAATATCCTAAATACTGATTGCTTTGCATTCATATCTCTTACATTTTCTATACCCACATCACTATTCATTGCTATTCCTATCTTTTTCATTTTTGTTTGTTTCTCATAATTTCTCAAAAAACACGATAACTTGATATTTGTAAATATCATACTTTATAACGTAAATAAGAACTTGACCTATTAAGAAAAGCAGTAATGAAAAGAAAATCTGAAATTCATAAAAATTACAAGTTTCTGATGACAATTAGCTTAATTAAACCAGGTACAAGATTATATAATTGTATTTTCTATCCAATTATCCATATAATATCTTATCCAGAAAAAATAACTTGATCAATACCAAATGATTTTTTAACTAGTAAATAAAGTATTTTCTTTACACACACATTGTATATCATAGTTTTTTTTTTGGTTTCGCAAAACATCCAAAAACAAATATGCTATAAAAGTGACAATTTTAGCAAAACGAAACCCTTATTTAACTTGAAATATATAATTATTTAGTCATATTTTGCATAATTCTAAGTAGATTTTGTAAAAAATCAAGAAAGAAAAATTTTAACGTGCTTTATTTTTTCTTTTTTATAATAATACATATTATTATATAATTAACATATTCATAATGTTTCACCCTTTCAAAAATATAATCCTCCTCCTCTCAAATAAACGTACATACGGGTGGCCTCTTTTTTCAAAAAATTAAAATTTGAAATTTTGGGCTCAAATATTAGAGATTTTTTTCAACCTTCAACGATATATGTTGTCTATATCAGACCTCCTTTCTTTTTGATACTTAACATTGTTCCTAAATCTTAGCCGTTAAGGCTGTTCTGAAAATATTTTTTTTTCGAAAAAATTCGAAAAAAATTCTTAAAATTCAAAAATCCCTTAATTCCTGAGGATTTTGGAAAAAAGTTTTTACATGAACATGTGTATATTATATGAAGTATATTGATAAGGTAAAAATCAAATTTTATTGCATATTCATCGAGAAAATAAACTAACGAATCCCTCAAAATTGAGAGGGTAATCCTCCTCCTCTCAAATAAACGTACATACGGGTGCACCCTTAAGTATATCAATAATGTTTTCTTAGTTTACATATTATTGATATTTGTATCATGCTGAAATGTGAGATCAATTCGATTGTATCATCGCTTATCTTGATGTGGTAAATTTTTGACATTTCAACTATAAATGGAATAATTATAGGTTCAAAACGAACAGTGTAAATGTCGTCGAACATTTCAATGCATACGAATTTGAAATCAATATGTGTATCTTCTACAAGGTACTGATCAATGTATGATTTAAATTTTTAGAAAATTATCTCTGTTTTAGTTTAATAAAATAATATTGCGCGGTGAATTTGTATCTTAAAATTATGTAACTGTATCGGTAACAACTTCAAATGTCTTATTGACAAGATTTGTAAAAAAAAATCAAAAATATACTTGAGATCATATAAATGTGCTCTTCTCTTTATAACGTAAGAATTGATCAAAGATAACATGTGTACTACTGATTGATTTTGGAGGATTGCTATGATTAGAGACGATTTGATTAAATAATTCAATGAAAAATGGACTATTTGATTCATCAATTAGGAGATTCGATTGTTTGTATTCGATTGCACTTCTGCATTTGGTGAATTAATTGTATTTAGAAAAAAAATTCGTTCTTTTACTCTTAAAAAATTAAAAGAACGAATTTTTTTTCTAAATACAATTAATGGCATCAGATGATTAGATTACTTTTTTAGAAATCATCAATCAAATTTGGCATATTTTTGAAAGAATATCTAAAGACAAGACACCCAATAAGAGTTTTTGTGCATACAGTTCTCGGGCGCCTATGTCACATTCACAAAGGACTCCGTCTTTATTAGCAAACTCAGAAGAAATGTTTAACTAAAAGAAAAATTATTTCATCAAGACTAATAAATGTTTTAAAAAAGCAAATCACATCATTAACATATCAGTTTTAATTACAAAACTCAACGATACATAACAAATTTCTTCGAAATTTAAATTCTCATTAAAAAATTCTTTTGATACAAATTAAATAGCTACATATTCGATTTTCCCATTGATACGAACTTATTGTTTTCATTCAAGATTTACAAGAAATCAAATACTTATTTCACAACAACAAATATCTATTTGTACTCAAACACGAGCATGTATTTACTAATAAATTCATGTTTTTACATCATTACATTTGACAATACTATCAAAACAACCCAAAAATCAAACTAATTTTCGATATTCTTTATTCAGACCAGAGAATTCATATAAATCATCGATTACTCAAATTTAAGTATTCATTTAGTGTAATAATTGTTAGATATTAGGCGTTTTATATAAAGATTCTCCCTATTTCAAATTTTCAAGCGAATTAAGTCGATATTTCATACATTTTATAATATACAAATCATGTGTAAGTACAATAGCTTTAATTATTTACAATATTGATCATTTTATTACGAAATCCAAAAATTTAATCAGCAAAATCGATGTTTTTATATAAGATTAGAATGATTTACATCATTGTTTCCATGCACTAGCTGTTAAAATGCTGATGACAGCTAAAAGAATCGCAATTTCATAACTTGAATATAAGATTCAAATGAATCGGCATTATTTGACATTTACATCATTGAAATGTCAAATAATGCCGATTCATTTTTTTGATGAAAACAATGAAATTCAATCACGATTTTCAGATAACAGTATCAAAACACACATCAACTATGAATAGGGTTGTTGAAAATATCAAAAATTAGCGTTTTGAAGACACCATGGTGTCTTATAATTTTCCCTTCCTTATTGGCGTGTAGAAATAAATGCGCCAATAGATTGAAGAAGAAGAATTGTTTTTCTCTTAATGAACTTTAATCCTTTTGATATAAGAATTTTAAAAACATTAATATAATTTCGATTTCGGAAATTAAATTTCCAAATTTTTTGTCGCTTTCGGAAATAACAGGATCCCGCATCCAACACGCAACAACAAAACACAAAACACACTTTTTGGTTCTTTCATCGTTTTAATCGTAATTTATGTAATACATGATTTGGATAAATTTTACAAAAATAGAACCTATATTATATTCTTTTCAAAGATTCTTGCAAATCATCAAAAATAATTGTATTTTAAAAAACGATCAAATTATCCTTTCATTATTTTAAACTTAAATTAGTTTTTATGATTGACTGAAGCAATCATATTTATTCATCATTAAATAAACAAAAAAATAATATTTGAGAGTTATTTCAAAAAAAAACACATTGAATTTATTAATTTGTCTCAATTTCAGTATTATAAATTTTTATAATTTCAATATTTTGAAATACACTTTTTAATATTTCAATATTTATGATATTTCAATGTATTAAGTGGTCTCAAATTGAGCTTCTCAAATATAAGTTGGCCTATTCAAATAATAAAATTAAATAATATTTAAAATAATAAATAAAAGTGATTGAGGTCATAGCAAAACGGCTGTTTCAGTCATTAATTCTTAAAAATAAAAAGGGTAAAAACTAAATACAATGGGTAAAATTCAATAGTGTCTGTGCTATCGTTCAATTTGAAGGTGTCTTTTGAAACCGCAATACACATTGAATTTTTGAATAGTGTATTATGGTTTGACAGACACCAATGAAAAAAATAAAATGATATTTATTTTAAATATATAAGATCCTTATATAAAATATAAATATTTTATCGTTTTATTTTCTTGTTTTAGAAATGTTTTTTATTGAAAAATCAATAAAACTAACTCCAAAATAAAATTTTTGATTTAAAGACACTATGATGACACCAGGCAAATCTTCCAAGACACCTATCGTCGGGAATCTAACAACCCTAACTATGAATAATTTACACTTTGATCAATCACCTGATGATGTTTGGGAGCACTTTTACAATACACAACCTAATTCAGAACCAATTCAAGGTACAAACGTTCAAGCAAGATCAACAAATAATGAATGCTTCTTATATAACTGTATCTTCATTGAAATTACGACCAAGAGTGCCATTTATTTTACGAATACAAGCAATAAATTTCTTAACTCAGATTGTTCATTTACTAACTGCAGCAGTAATACAAATGGTGGATCTATATACTTTAAGTGTAATAGTTCAATTGTTCAATACCGAACATGTGGCTACAAATCAAAAACAAACTCTGATTGGGGACATCATTCATATGTTGATTCTTATTCAAATAATAAAAATTATCTTTATGAAAGTTCTTTTTATTTATGCGGAAATTTAGGAAATTCAAGAATTAATTCTCTTTATTATGGAAATATTGAAGTTAAATCAATCAACACAAGTTTCTGTGAAGCAGACTATGACTCAGGAATATTTCTTTGGTATACAACAAGTCTAAGTAATGTAACATATTCATCATTTTGTAACACAACATCAAATAATTTAATTTTAGAATTAGATGTTGGTAACTATAATTTTTATTTTTGTAATGTTTTGAATAATGAACACAAAAAATCTGATTATGGAACATTCTATGGAGGTGCATCAACTGTTCTTATTGAAAACTGTTCATTTCTTGGAAACACAGGACCAGGAGTAGAATTTTATCAATGGGGTTCTGGTTCAATTACAGTTAAAGATTCTTTCTGTGACAGAATAGATAAAACATATGGATCAGTTACAACAAATAATGTTCAAAATATATATTCTATTCATCATCATTCTCACGTTTCATCATATCTGTGTGAAGCAGAGCTTCCTATTATAGATAAAAAGCCTATGAAATCTGCTTTTGATTTATATCATCAATTTTCCTTTAGACGAAGGCGTTATGGGAGCTGCTTATATTAATATTCATGATTTATGAATTTATATAATCAAAAAATTGTAATTAAAGACCATTATTAACGAAAGCATTCATCAATTGTTTAATATCAATTGAAATATGAAAAACTTTATATTCAAAAGATGATGCGGCTTGATTTCTCAATTTAATTTTCAAAGAGTTCGTATTTGTTACAGTGAATTTAAATAATTAGTACTGATATAGTAATGCAATAATATCGGGAACATGGCTCTTAATTTCGAAATAGGTTTTCTTTGTAAGGCATCTAAGTATTAAGGCTCCAGTCCCACGCTCTCAATTTTTAAAATTGAACATATCCATAAATAAGAGTTATCATGACTTATAATTAAAGTTATAATATTTGTGTAATATGAGCTATAATATTATATTATGATACTTGGCGTAGTATTGCAAGAAAACTCTAATTGATGGATATATTCACTTTTAAAAATTGAGAGGGTGGGACTGGAGCCTTAACAAACTGATATTTCAATAAAGAGTTCAATATTATAATAGAAATTTGCTATGACAGAAAGAATAAAACTATAGCAAAAAGAATTATTGTTATTTCGATGATATTTTGTAATATTCTTCGTTTACAAATGATTGGACATTGTATCTTGGGGAGATGTTGGATAATAAATTTAACGATTTCTTATTCAATTCTATTATATCATTGCTATCTTGAAGTGGAAAATTTTTCTTAAGAGTGCACTTACACCTGTATTACATGTCCTTCGATTCAGATGTTTAAGGTTAATTTTCAATGACACTTCACGCCATTTGTCAGAAATTTGAATTAAAGTCAGATACGCGTAAGTGCACCCTTAAGAACATTTGTCATTACAAGTATAAGTAAAGACACTCAAGATGCATTTTTGTCATTCAATAATCTATTCTCTCGCTATTGCAAACAATTTCAAATGTCGCATTCAATTTCTGTGTAATACAATATCATTCACTAGGATCAGTTTATTCATAACTTTACTCACTTTTCAACATATTTCTGTAAAGCAGGATAAATATGCTTCCAATACGTAACATCATTTATCATTTTCCTTTAGACAAGTGCGTTAATTTTTCAAGGATTTATTATTATCGTTTTTTATTATTAAAAATAATTTTTTTACAAACAAAAAAAAATAAAAAAACTCATTTATTTAAAAGAAGATTAATGAATCTTCGTTCTTTGTCTGGAGTGCGACGTCTTTAGCTGTGTGTCCTTCGCTGTCAACAACACTCAAATCGAGGTCTTCACGAGAAAGGAGAACTTTGACAACTTCGATTTTTTCGTTTTCAATAGCGTTGAAAATAGGAGTTCGCTTCATCAAGTTCTGACGGTTGACATCGACATTTTCGTGTTGAAGCAACTCTTCGACGAAACTAGTTGAGCCGCATTTAGCGGCAACATGGAGAGGTGTCCACTGGATTGAGTCGACGCAGTTCAAGTCAACGTCATCTCGATCGGCGAAAAGACGGATTAAGTCTGAGAAATCATTAGATGCAGCGATGTGAAGAGGTGTGAAACTAGAATCATCAGGAAGTTGTGGATTGACATCTTTGTCGTTCAGAAGACACTCAACGCACTGTTTGTGGTGGAGAAGAACTGCGTAATGAAGAGCACTGCGATTCTTCTTGTCGACGATGTTCTTCTCGATGCCTGGAAAACTCAAGAGAAGTTCTAAAGCTTCGAAATGTCCGTCACGAGCTGCCCGGATCAATGCTGTACGTGATGAGTTGTTAGTGGCATTGACATCAATGGATGGATCAGAAAGAAGAAGTCGCAGAACACGTGTGTGACCATTAATTGCTCTCAACATAACACTTTAATTGTCAACATCTTCTTACAATTAAAGAATTCTGTAACAAATTCAATTTATTTGATTTATCAGATACTAATGTTTTAAAAAAGCATATTGTTTTGATCAATTTCATCTAATTCAATATTGCATTCTATTACTGCTACTAAACAATTCATTGTTTCGGCATATTCCATACAATTCGTATTTGTCAAAAAATTAAACATCAAATCCCAAATAGGATATAAATGATTTTTGTAGATACTAATTCTCGAAATTAATGTAGAGATGTTGGATATAAGACTAGTCATATATTAAGGGTGCACACGAGAGGATCATGTAAACTTCAGAATTTAGAACCTTATTTTTAGGCATTATCTTGGCTACCTATTTAGGCTCGAAAAGCAAAAAATATCAAAAAATACAACTTGACTCCATTATGACCCTTTCATGGAGGTAGTTTTTATCCGCTAGTATTTTCCCTTTGAATCTCTTTACAATTCGAAATCAAATTCAAAACTCAGTAGAAGAAAGGAAGAATCGACTTACTACGGTTGTAATACGAATAAATACATATATTTAATTATTTTTATTTACATAATAATTGTTTGAAGCTCATATTCCATCAAATTTTTAAATAAAAACATTAAAATGTTGAAAATGTTCATATATTTTAATATGGTTTTGGCACTTTATTGAGGAATTACTACATACATAGTCGAACTGAACTTGATATTTTGAAATTTAAATTACCCAGATTTTCCTTACTTTTACCACTCCCCATGTAATTTCTGGGGAAAACGATAATTCATTTTTTTATGGATAAATAGATCGTTTTCCTAGAAAGGACCTCATATCTCTGGCTAAAAAGAGTGTCAGATCCTAAATAGATTATTGATCTAGTGTACAAATCCAATAAAAAGCCTATTTTTTTGGCTTTTTTGGTGCTCATTTTTTCGAAGATCTACATGAATATGGGGAAACCATCGGCTTTTTTTGGTTAACCTACATCTTCATGTAGTCTGGACTATCTTTCCTCGAAGGACCTCTTTACGGGTGTAAAAACTCATAAAGTTCTCAAAAGATTCATTCTCGATCTCCATGCTGAAAGAATTTACAATAAAAAAGAGATCTACGCATCAAACTACAGCCATAAATGAACTGAACCCCTAAAGCTCAGCTCTTAGTTTATCAAAAACGTCGAAATCCTTCTCATTGCAATCAAATTTTCTCAATAACTCATAAGAAAAATCGAATTTTGATTAAGCCGATGTTATAGGTATCACAAATACTACAAACTTGAGCAATATCGAAATTGCCAGCAAAAGTTTGAAATTGCATTGCTCATATTTGTTTTGTAAACTAAAAATCTGCTTATATTATTCATTAATTTTTTATATATTATTCATATACTTTAATAAAAACAATACTATTTCACCTTAAAAATGAATTTCATAAGTCAATATTATTTTTTTGAAAATGTATCAATTTTCGATTAAAACAACATGAGAATAAAATTTACGCAAAATTATTTTAAAAAATGGTTTTAAAAATTTACAATTGATTAAGAATAAGATTGCAAGAAGTTTTGAAGTTTAATTTTAAGAAAAAAAATTCGGATATTATTCATGGATCTAAGTAATCTGATATTTGAGTATCGGCACTATGCATAAAACATATATTTATAGTTTTTTTGGAGTTTTATGATTTTAAATATATTCAAATTTGGCAATCCAATAGATTTTTAAAAAATAGGTAAATAAAAATAGATTACATATGCAGCAGATTTAGAACATGAAACAAATCTTATAGTGACCCAAAAAAAAATTCATGATCCAAAAAAGAAAAAATTAGCTAAATGGGAATCAAACCTTGGCATAATGAATCATTATGTCGGATGTTTCCACTACACCGGCAGTTCGAAAAATACCCTTGGTGGTTCTATTTAATAGCTACTCCCAACGATAGGCGGTGTCCCCAGCTTTAGAGAGGTGGTAAAAGTAAGGCAAATCTGGGTATTTATCAAAATTAAAATTTAACTTGAAATTTATAATTATTTAGTCATATTTTGCATAATTCTAAGTAGATTTTGTAAAAAATCAAGAAAGAAAAATTTTAAGGGTGGCTTCCGACCAAATTATCACTTTTTAGCCCAAGTGAGAAAATTTCGTAATTTATAACCAAGTTTTTTAAAATCTATATTTAATAAAGATTCTATTTTTCTTATTAAATTTCAAAAATGAGGGGGTTCGGAATCGTCCACAAATTGCCGAAAGGGTTTTTGCCAGTTTTGAATCCGCTTATTTTTATCGACCAAAATTATAATAAATATAATTTTCGATAAGTATTCTACCCAAATGATTCTTCAAAAAATTATTTTTCGGATTTTATTCCGTAAAAAAACGTTACAGAAAACGCCTATAAAATTTCGAATTTTCTCTAAAAAATTCAGTGCAGGTCGATTTAAGAGATTTTTCAAAAATAATCATATCAGTAGATAGGGTATAATATAGAGAAGCTTTATGAATAACTTAAAATCCGGGAAACTCAATATTCAACGAGAAAAACGCTTAACGAATCTCACTTTTGGTGTAAACATCACAAAAAATTGAGATGGCTTTCTGGTCGGAAGCCTCCCTTAACGTGCTTTATTTTTTCTTTTTTATAATAATACATATTATTATATAATTAACATATTCATAATGTTTCACCCTTTCAAAAATATAATCCTCCTCCTCTCAAATAAACGTACATACGGGTGGCCTCTTTTTTCAAAAAATTAAAATTTGAAATTTTGGGCTCAAATATTAGAGATTTTTTCAACCTTCAACGATATATGTTGTCTATATCAGACCTCCTTTCTTTTTGATACTTAACATTGTTCCTAAATCTTAGCCGTTAAGGCTGTTCTGAAAATATTTTTTTTTCGAAAAAATAAAGGTAGTCTCACGAAAATACGTTATTTTCCCGATGCCTTGGAAGCAGCTTTGCAGGTTACCCGTAAGGTAACCAGTAGAAGTTTCTGAGCAAGGATGAAGAAGATTAAAGAGCCTTTTTATTGCAAACGCTATATTTGTAAGTGTCTTTGTAGAACTTCTCATAAATTCAAAGATTTCCAAAAACGAATTTTTCGATTTTGATATAATAAATGATATTTAAACAAATTATAGATGTGTTTGCAATTAAAAAAATCCGAGTTAACTACA